CCTGTAAATCGTCGCCCGATTCTGGCCGATCCTGTAAATCGTCTAACCCCCCATATGAAGGGAAATAACTCTCTATAGTGTAAATTTTAAATGCCTAGTATCTAACTTTCATAATCTTACAATTTACTCTTCTGGATAGATTTTTATCAAGAAAAGTTATGTCTCAAACGAACCAAACATAAAGAGATAAATTAAGATAGTTCCCAATTTCCAGAAACATCAATAAGGTCTTTATATGTGATGAGTTACTCAACCGGCTAGCTAAATTATTTCGGTATATTTTTGTCTCAACCGGAAATGCATAAGGTAGAATAAAATAATAGCCTGTGAAAGAAAAAAATCCGGAAATGCTGAATGATTTTTTTCTGAAAATATGACAACAAATTAACTTTTGTTATCAATTAAAGATGGATTGTTTAGATCACATGTAACTTTACAGGTTCGAACAAAATTCAACATTTTCAAAGATAATATTTTTTTTTGTAATAAAGCGGATCAAGTATCTTTAAAGGGAATTTTCGATATCGATAATCACAATGTTCCTCGGTTTTACTGACGTGTAAATCAAGACACATGTTGAATGACAAGTTGAATATATAAGTAAGTGACAACTGTATTTGATATTCGATACCGACACTGATACAGAAACTGTCTTGTGGATATGAACGCCAAAGTATATACGGACTGCAATCTGTGGTAGGTAAAGTGTTCACCGAGAACATAACAAATGTGTGTTACATGAGGAAACATTGTCGTGTTGGTCGCTAAGCGTATTTAATATACTACCAAAAACTTAACAGTTTTTAATTAATGTTTAAGAAAGAAAGGTTAAATCAGCATTTGAGCTCATGTAGCCGTTCATGTTTTATTTTCCTATATTCTTCAAAACGTAGTTCCCTCTTTGTATTTTAAGGGCCCTTGTCCGTAGATTTGTTACGAGAACAAAAACAAAAAAAATATTTAGAACGTTACTATAAAGCTTCTAACTGACAAATAATGGAATTAATATTATAGTGATATCATTATTTGCTTGTTTGTTTTACCCAGATATTTATATGTTGACAGCCACCAAAACCACCAGTATGAGCACTAACGCTATCACCACTTCTGTATTTTCATTTTGTGTGTCGAAATAAGATATTCTTTTAAATCGTGTTCCTCCTGCAAGAACGATTGCATTTTGCTAAAATCTGATCTGAGGCATCCTTGGGTGAAAGGGGCTCAAGTTAAATGTTGGGTCTTCACCATCTATAACAGGAGAAGTGTGGCCTATGCAGGGAAATAGATCTTAAAATTATTCTTCTCTGAATTCTTTCTTTATTTGGTCTTAAGCACACTTGGATGGAGGGAAATCAAATTTGCAGTGGGTCTTAGCCCTCTTGGGTGTGAGAGGTGGGGCCATTAGGAGAAACAAAATAATATTTTAAATACCTCTTCTGCTGAAGGAGTGCACCATTTCTTTCCCTGTTTGTTCTGAATTACCCTTACTTATTCTTTTGGAATAAAAGGATGCTGCAACCTTTCCTTGAGAGATGGGTAATATAAACTTTGAGTCTCAGCCATTTAAGGTGGTAATAGAGGCCTGTCAGTGGAAATAGAGCAAATTCTTTTGAATACTCCTTCTGGTAGAATGACAGGATTTCATCTTTAGGTTTGATTTGAAGAATTTTATGTTAAGGGAACTCAATTATTCATTAATGAAGTAAGGGTCAGACTCTTTGAGGCCACATGGAAGAGATCAAGAAAATGACAAGCTGGGTAGTCAGTCTTCTTCTTTTATGGTGAAGTTAATTTTGACCAAGTTTAGTCTGAAACATCATAGGATTGAGGGATTTAATTTTGTATAAATCAAAGTTCTGTCTGCCTGGGAAAAATATTTAAAATAATTCCCCCAATGTCTGACCCCCCATTCCTGGGGAATAAAATTCTTCCGCTTATATCAAGCAATGGTGTCCAAACCAAACCAGGTGAACAATACATGCACCATAAACCTCTTGTTTTTTTTATTGTAAATCAAATATAATAATTATTTTTGAAAACTATTGTGAAATAGGGGTAGTGTAAAACACTTGTAATTATCATTGACTCTTTAAAAAGTTGTGACTTGAACTAAAGATTATGGTATAAGTTTAACATACATACAAATAGTTCATGGCAGAAGTTCTTTTTCCTGAAAGTATTTGAAATGTGAATAGAAGTTAACCATATATAATTTGACATTACTTCTCAAGCACAGAAATGGAACAAAAGATTTGTATGATTTACTCTGGTATAATAATTGTCTCATGGAGGAAAAATGAGAGGAAATATTTGAATTTGAGCTAAAGAAAAAGAAGGAAGCAAATATATAAAATTCTACTTACAATCAGAAGAAATACAATGTTACTTTTGGCTTTAATCTAGAATTGATCATTATATTTAGCTTATAACTTTATATAGATACCTGTTAGTATTGCTGATGGTATGAACGAATGCATTATGGGTTTGTGTCACTTGGAATATCAGGAATCTCGCTCGACAAGACTCTTGTTGTCTGCACACCTACAAATGCTGTGATCAAACATCTGCTTCACTTAAGCAAAGATATTAGACATGACTTAATGAGTGGGAACAGAGACCTTTCTTGCATGAAAGATGGATAGTTTTCACTTTAGATAATCTTTTATCTGTGATGTGATTTTAAGTTCAATTTGTTTGAAGGTCTGCTTCAGTCTGCACTGCAAATCAGTAAAAATTATTTTGGGAATCAGAATTTATCTAGTCTGTGGAAGTCTTTATTTCACTAGACTAAGATATATATCAAATTGTACACCAAATGTAGATTATAAAACTACCCATGGTTTGAAAACATCAGACTATGTAACATTAGCAGGTCATTGCTGAATCAGGACAATATTCACAAGACATTTCAAACATTTTCACGTAAAGTATCTGTAATCATTTATCATATGTCTCAGACAAATTTTTGATAATTATTTCAAAATGTGATTAGAACAAGGTGTAGCAGAACAATGAGCTACTTTTGATAGGTTAAAGAACCATTACTGTTATAAACTAGAAGCCAAAGCTGCCAGTGGTAGCTTCAAGAATTACAAATAAGAGGTATAATAAAGATGTTATGAAAAATGTATATCATTACTAATATAAAATGTTTAGTTATTACTGTACGTGTTTTATACTCCATGTTTCAGCAAAAGAAAAATTTTAATTTAAATGATAAGAATGTTGTTACAGACCTTGTTTTGACCCTTTCGGCCATGTTTTAGCTGGTCATGGCTTCATATTTCACTCTTGAGACTTTCTGAGAGGTTGGCAATACTGGTTTGGGAAAAAATGTGTTAAATGGTTGTGAGCAAATGCATTATGGGGTTGTGAAGAAGCACATTTTTCTTTATTTTTTTTTTATGAAATTTAAGTTTCTGTTAGATGCATCGTGAATTCCAGTTCATTAAAGAAAAAGATCTTTTATTCATCATTAGTTTGTAAAATAAAGATGATGTAGATGATTTAGTAAATCTGATCTTAAACTATATATACCTATATGAGGCAAGATGTTTACAAATTAATTTATCAATTCCAGCATTAAATAATTGGACTTGCATACCACTGTGAAAATTTAACCACTGTGAAGGTCAAAATTATCTTTTGAACTCTTAAGACTCTAAAATGAATGAAAGACATGCAAAATATTATTGGAAACTGCATACTATATTCATTCTATGAAGTGTCAAAGGGGCCTAAAAAATCTGATATTGGAGAAGGACTCAATAGAAGTATTTTTGAATTAGAATCATTCATGACATAGGCTACACTTTTTCATTGAGACTGGTAGTAAAATCACTATTGTAAAGTTGTAACTACTGGTGACCAGTTAGTATTCTTCTATTGTTGGGGGACCAGACTCGAAAACCTTGATTATGCATAATTGTGAGTACCAAAACTGACCAGAATGTTGTATGAGGAATCTACAGATGGGGAAGAGGTGCCTATAGCAACAGTGGCACTTCATGGGTCAAATACGGTCACTTAAATGTAAAGTTGTAGTCTTGCTAGAGTCCCTATCTTTACCTATTATTTAGATAAATAACTTTCACACAATTTCCTTTCATTTGTGTATGGAGCTCTTTTAAAAATCATCACAATGACAATGATGAACCATTTTATTTTTCCTTACGATTTTCAGTACTGACAATCAGAAAATCAAAATTGCTGACAGGTAGCCATCTTGTATTTTCACAATAAAAGTTGTTATTGCTATTTCTTAAGAAATACTAGACGGATCTTTCTCATACATCATATCTAGCTGACCCATACTCCCTTTTGATTTGAGGAAAAACAAAGATGGCAGACAGGCAACCATCTTCAATTTGACTGTTAAAGATTACTATTGCTATTTCTTTTGATGGATTTTCAAATAATATATATATATAAAATCAAAAACAGTTGAAAGAAGAGAAAAGAACAGAACAGATTCAAAATTTAAAAAAGAAATGAAGATATCAAAAAATGATGGGCATCAAGATCTGTTTGGGGTCTCTTCTTCAAATTTGAAGGAAAAGAGAACAAAAAAAGAAATCTTAACTTTAGCAAAACTATTCATATTTGCTTGTTTGCAATCAAGAGACATCATACAATGGTAAGTCAGTTAGATGTAGGAATTCTTTCTTTTCTATGTAAGGAAACACGGATTATGGCCATCTCAATGAGAGTCCTTTCATATTAAATGACAGTAAATTTTCACAAAAATGGTGAGATATATATCTTCCATGTATCAAGCAAGCACTGCAATATTTATGGTAACAGAATTTTGTGTGATAACTGGTGCTGCTGAATGTTGTACGTTTCTGATGTGGTTTTGATGGGATATGAACCTTCTGAAGCCACAGCTGGTGTATTAATATTTTTTCCTGTAGTGTATAGATTGGAATTGAATGTTCTGTTTTGTTTATATGTTTCAGATTCAACGATAAAACCAAACAAGCGAAGAAATAATTTCTATAATGGCGTCTGACCAAAGTTACAACAAAATCGTGTATAAAGTCCACAGTCTCATAGAGAAAGGAGATTTGGTGAAACTTCGAAAGTTGTTGTGGGATAAACCTTTGAAGGAAAAGAAAGTTATTGTTAATGAAAAATTTAAGAACAAGACAGCCCTTTTTCATGCTTGTTTTCGTGGGGAAATTGACATAGTTCGTTTCCTTCTTGAGAACTGCATGCCTGACTTGGAAGCTACCGGTACACATGTTGTAGAAGAGGATGAAAGTTCTGAACATATTGTGCCCCCAATATGGAGTGCTGCAATTTCTGGTCGGTTGGATATAGCAAAAGCTTTGATTGAAAATGGAGCAAATGTACATGGGTGTTCAGATACCAAGTCGACAGCAGTGAGGGCAGCTTGTTACAGTAACAATGTGGATATGGTGAAATACCTTGTGGAGCATGGAGCTGACGTCAATATCCCAAACAAAAATGGTGCAACATGTTTAATGAATGCAATAGAATGCAAGGAGCTTTGTGAATTCCTTATCCAGTCTGGTGCTAAAGTCAATGCACAAGAGAGTGGGAGAGATAAACTGACTGCATTACACTATGCAGTGAACTACCAAAAGCTTGATACTATCAAAGTCTTACTGAAGCATGGTGCTGATGTGAATTTAAAAACAGTTGATGGCATATCATCTGTGCTGTTGGCCGCCCTTCTTAATCTGAAAGTCATCACTCACTTTTTCATCGACAGTGAAGATCTTCCTATTCCCATTGTTGATAAGATTAATGCTATAGAACTTTTAGGTGCAAAATCCATAGACTATTCTCAATATACTGAGGCCATAGAGTGGTGGACCAAGGGCATAGAGATGAGGGAACTCCATCAAATATCCAAACAATTACCAGATCACAGGGATTTGTATGGGGATGCCAAAGAACCAGAAACTATGAAGGAACTGATTGATATGGAAATTACATCCGTAAATATGTATTTGATGGCAGCTCTGGTTAAGGAAAGGATACTGGGACCTCTGAGCCAGGATTCTCTTCTTGGTGCTATCCAGTATGGCTGGGAACTTCGTGGAACAAACAGATTTCGGCTGGCACTGGAGATAATTTCCTACTGCTACAATGGATACATGATAAAGGAGTGGTATTTGCTAGACAATTGCCTTATTGCTATATCCCAAGTCCTGAATCTGACAGCACTGATACTGAAAGAGGAGAAAGATGCCAAAACAGATGAACACTTTACAAATATGTCACGCTTCTTACATACATTGGTGGAACATGTGATGAAAGCAACGCCAATGTTGAAGGAAAAATCTGCTTTCCGGGATGAGAAACGTAACTATCAACAATTAATGTTGCTGGTTTTGGATTGTGTTTCTCTTTTGATATACATGGCACCGGATGAGAACAGCCTTGAAAGTATTAGTTTTGAAATAAAGAGGATTCTGAGATACGATCCTCGAGGTTTACAAAAACAGACATTGCTTCATATGGCAGTTGACACATCAACATCGAAGAGATTGTATGATTCTGTGGGGCTGGTTGCATTTCGAGATGATTTTGCTTTAGTTAGGACTCTGCTAGAATGTGGAGCTCAGATAAACTCTGTGGATGTAGACCACAACTCACCTTTGTACTGTCACATCAAGGTCATCGGAAAGCAAGGTGTGATGTATGACCAGAGCATCCTAAACCTGCTTCTAGAGCATGGTGCCCATGTAGACATGAACAACAAAGCTGGTGAGACACCCCTCGATGTTGCTAAACAAAACTTTGTCACTCTGCATGAGGTGAAGCATACAAAACTCCAGTGCTTGGCAGCTAATGTTATCAACAAATTTAACATTCCTTTCAAATTTGAAATACCAATCAATCTTATAAGATTCGTTGAGTTGCACGGAACACAATCAAATATCAGATAAGATCGTTTATCATGATTCATTGCTAGTTAGGTTTGTACCCTCTCTATGTCGTGGATATTATAGCCCCAATAGTAAGGGGATATGTAATCAATTTGTGAGCCCGTCCCTTAGTGCAACATAAGATAACTTTGTGTACAAGATTTCTCATGAACATATTTACAGATTTAGTTAATATTCACATCATAACATCACCTCACCATGGTCTACACTTGAATAGGGTTTGGAGGTCATTGGTTAAACTTTAAGGTCAAAGATTGGCCTTGCTCACATTTAAAATAAAAAGGTTCTGTAAAAGACATTTCATCAACCAATGAACATATTAAATCCATGTTCACAACTTAGTATCACCCCCACCAAAATAAAACATGATTAGATTTTAGTGATCATTGGTCAAGGTCGAAGGTCACCCTTGAGCATTTATCAAATTAAATACCTTATGTACTATATATGTCATGAACCCTTTAAAAGTTTTACTTTATATTCTCACCATAGCTCCACTCCACCAAGATCAACACCTGATTTGATGATATTGGCCATTCGTATAGGTTTTAGGCCAAAGGTCACCTTTCACCACTTTCGAAATAGAAAGCAGTACAAGATATCTGATGAACCCTTTAACAGTTTTAATTCACATTCACACCTTAGCATCACACTATGTATCTCTACATCAGATTAGTGTGGTTATCACTCAAGGTCAAACTGAAAGGTCACTGTTGATCAGTTTGAAATAAACTTTGTGTACAACATATCTCCCATGCACCCCTTGATATCAGTATCAGGGTATATTTATGTGAGCACCTGGTCATTTTTTGTCAGCTGCCATTTCAGTGGCTCAGATTACCCTTTGATTGATTCAAGATACAAACCAATCACTAGTCAAATGCACGTTGTTATAGATGCAGGAAAATCCACGGGAATCAGAGACTTAATTTTACCGCTGTCAATTGGATAAACGATATCTCACACTATATTTTCCACAGTTGTCGGCACTTTTAACACACAAAGAAGCACACAATTTCTTGATGGCATAAATTTCAAACGAAAAATGGTACCTATGAAAAGGGTAGGTGTGATGTCCTGAAAAGGGTTCGGACAAATACTGTTTGATAGTTATAAAAAGTGCTTGCGAGTCAGCAGATGTGACGAAATGTTGATCGTATAAAAACTAGTGCCAATGAGTTATGAATGATACATTGATATATTTTTCTTCATATGTTCATCTACTGTCTACCACATACCAGAATGCTAATATATGGTAAACAACCTACGTATGATAAAGTTTTGATATTCAAACGGTATTCTAGTCAACTGAAGTAGTATTTTCGGTGTTTATTTGTATATGACATCCCGTTTCTTGAATTATTTCTAAATATTGACTTTTTTAGTGCTATGTATGATATCCGGTCTCCACGTTACAGCAGAAGCTTATGTATACAGTTTATAACCAATTTTTGAATTGTGAGATAACAATGCCGATGTGCTTCGAAATGGTACAGACAAATGGCTAGTAGCTCAAGCATACTTCAGACTAAGTTAATATAATTTTAGATTACGGGATGGATGGTCATTTTGTCATTTGAAAATGATAGGTCGTGTTATTTTTTCTAGAGGAAGTCAAACTTGTACATAAGTAGCTTCCGGTTTTTATTAGCCTACCATATTCGTCCGTGGCCCGTCTTCCTTCATAAATATCGACGTTCTCGTTATTACTTGAGTCTTTGAGGTACATTTATCAAACTCCATATAGGCTTCCCCCTGTAACTAGTGTAGCGGGTAAGTTTGGAGTCCGAACAGAGCAAATAAGAGGAGAGAAAGGAAGTGAAAAAGATTCAATCCTGAAAGAACAAATGAAGATCAAACGATGCCGGGCACCCTTTTGGATCTCTCGCTTCTTACGCATATTTGGACAAACAGACATTTCATAGTAAATGAAAATTGAGAAAGTTTTACTTTTACGGGAAATGAAATACTTAGTTTTATATGGCGATAACTACATAGTGGTTTAGATATATACTATCTTATAGCGTGATTTTTATATCAACGACACTACATGAGTATTTACCATGTTTGAATGGGGGGAAATCGTGCTAGAAAGTGCTAAGAAACCACACTCGGTTATCTAATTAAGTGGAAGAAAATATCTAATCAAGTGGAAGAAAAATCTAATTAAGTGGAAGAAAAAATCTAATCAAGTGGAAGAAAAATCTAATTAAGTGGAAGAAAAAATCTAATTAAGCCGAAGAAAAATCTAATTAAGTGGAAGAAAAATCTAATTAAGTCGAAGAAAAATCTAATTAAGTGGAAGAAAATATCTACTTAAGTGGAAGAAAAATCTAATGAAGTGGAAGAAAAATCTAATTAAGTGGAAGAAAATATCTAATTAAGTCGAAGAAAAATCTAATTAAGTCGAAGAAAAATCTAATTAAGTCGAAGAAAAATCTAAGTAAGTGGAAGAAAATATCTAATTAAGCCGAAGAAAAAATCTCTAATTAAGTGGAAGAAAAATCTAATAAAGTCGAAGAAAAATCTAATAAGCCGAAGAAAAATCTAATTAAGTGGAAGAAATATCTAATTAAGTGGAAGAAAAATCTAATTAAGTGGAAGTGGAAGAAAATATCTAATTAAGCCGAAGAAAAAATCTAATTAAGTGGAAGAAAAATCTAATAAAGTGGAAAAAAATATCTAATTAAGTGGAAGAAAAATCTAATTAAGCCGAAGAAAAATCTAATTAAGTGGAAGAAATATCTAATTAAGCCGAAGAAAATATCTAATCAAGTGGAAGAAAATCTAATTAAGTGGAAGAAAAATCTAATTAAGCCGAAGAAAAATCTAATTAAGTGGAAGAAATATCTAATTAAGTCGAAGAAAAATCTAATTAAGCCGAAGAAAAATCTAATTAAGTGGAAGAAAATCTAATTAAGCCGAAGAAAAATCTAATTAAGCCGAAGAAAAATCTAAGTGGAAGAAAATATCTAATTAAGTGGAAGAAATATCTAATTAAGTCGAAGAAAATATATAATTAAGCCGAAGAAAAATCTAATAAAGTGGAAGAAAATATCTAATTAAGCCGAAGAAAAATCTAATTAAGCCGAAGAAAAATCTAATAAAGTGGAAGAAAATATCTAATTAAGCCGAAGAAAAATCTAATTAAGCCGAAGAAAAATCTAATAAAGTGGAAGAAAAATCTAATTAAGCCGAAGAAAATATCTAATTAAGCCGAAGAAAATATCTAATTAAGTGGAAGAAATAAAGTTTGAAGAAATATATGTGCAGCTGATGAACTGAGTATTTGTTCCAAGAGACTCTTCATACATGATATATATGCGTATATACTTTAGTGTTTTGTTTGCCCATTTGGTAATATTCAGTTAGACACTCTTCACTCAACATGATCGAAAGAAAATAGGAAACTAGTCACAAAGACAACTTATCTTCAACGTAGCTCGACAAAAAAAGATGGGTGTATAAGTAACGTCAGGAAATTTGGAGTGGCCCCATGTTTTCTATGATAGAGAGTAGTGTACTTTTTTATAACCTCTACTCACATCCACAGAACATGAACTGTTTGTATAGTACTTACTACCAATAATTACAATGTACATACATTTCCTATCACTCCATATCAGTTTCAGTGATATGATTGCGACGTTTTCTCTAACAATGGTTGAACCCTTTACTTACATGTTATAAGCATTTTATTAATCACGTCTTGAGTAATAGATATTTGATTAACAATTTAAAACCATTTTGCACTAGCTTCTCTGTCTCGTAAGTTATTTATTGACCATAAGTATTGTATGCAATCGTACATATTCTGCTTAAATCCTTAAAATCCCTCCCCCGCCATTTCGTCGCCATGTGTAGATATTGATTTAAGCATTCATTAATATGTTGAATAATAATAATAATAGATTATTATGTTTATCCAGATTACTTAAAATAGTCGCTCCTAGAACAGTATTTAAGACGTTATATTTGTATTAACGATTGATCATGAGATAGAATGATTGGTGTCGTCATGAAGCAAAAGTCGCATGCTCTTCCGGAATACCTGGTCTTATTCTTGTCCCTTTTCAGGTGTCTTCATATAAATTTTTTGTTTGTTTGTTTTTTTTTTAATTTTTTTGCAATAGTTACTTAGAATGTAAGTTTAAACTGAGATTCTGTTGACATGTCTACGCATTCTTTGGTTATATACATGATGTGCAGTTGATATTATCGCAGTAGTTGTAATCAACGAAAGTGTAAGATATCTTGAATAATCTATCCATTAATGTTCATTAATATGACAACCCGAAAATACCGAAATTGATGAAACAGGGGTTTATTAAAAGAATTATTTAAATGGAAGCTCTTGATAAAATGAAAATAAAGAAAAAAACACAATGTGTCTCAGAGTAGCAAGCGTCCTCGGCTTCATCGACGACACAAGACATGAACATCTTTGAATGAGTACAGCTGTTATTTGATTTTATACTAACTCTGCTTATCATACCATATAATTTTCAAATTTGTTTGAGGTCTGTCAGTGTAGCTAAAAATACTGTTTTTCAAAATTTGCGTGAGTATTTCAAATGTTTCATGTCTGCAAATAATGAAAAGCTTGCCCCTAATTTTGAACGTTACATCTGTTTTTTTAAATTGTTGTGGAAAGCGTTACAATGTTGAAGATTGTAAGTTTATTCTATGACTATCCTTGATTCTTCACTCTTAACACCATCATCAATGTTTATCACAATTTCTAACTGGATGGATCTTTTCTCAAATTTCAAATGTAGAATTGGTAAGAGGAGGAAGGAAGGAATAGTCTAACTGATATAGAAAATGATCAAATGCATAACAAGATGGGCGCCAAAATTCCTCTGTATTGTCTTGTTTCATATTGGAGGCATATGAGAAATGTCAAAGTACTTTTTTAGCAAAAGATTCGATTGCAGTGAGTGAATTTAGTACAACTGTTAAAATTGAAAACTATTGTTAGTACACTTGCTAGGGCACGTGTGATCACAAGTCTGCACTCTTGAATCAGTGTCTATCACCGGAGAAGTAATTTGCTAAAGGCTGCGTTAATGAGTGATTTGAAAGGAAAATATAATAGGTGCATAATGTATACTGATTATAATCATAATATATACTGATTGTCATCATAATGCATCATAATGTATACTGATTGTCATCATAATGTATAATGATTGTCATCATAATGTATACTGATTGTCATCATAATGTATACTGATTGTCATCATAATGTATACTGATTGTCATCATAATGTATACTGATTGTCATCATAATGTATACTGATTGTCATCATAATGTATACTGATTATGATCCTGCAGTTGTCTCTGATGATACACATTTTGCCCAAGTGATGTAAAGTGATATCTGCGGTGTCATATTAGCGCCCGGGCTGATAAACACCTTTTTCGCGAGCCCAGGCTGATAACTATCTACCCGCTCTCGCCAATATAAGTTCATTGGTAGGTCCGATGACAGTAACCCTTCTCTCAAAACGTTTGATGAAAAAGGTCAACATATGACTATTTCTGGTCATCGAAAATATGGCGGCCTTGAAATAATCTTCGTAGATAAGCCTGGAATTCCTTATCAAAAATTGAAATATGACAAGGCATATTATCTCGGTATCGGACTGATAAAAGGGCGTGATATCTATATAAGTCATATAAAAATGATGTGTGTTTTACGTACGTTTTATGATCTGTATTGTTATTGAAACCTTACGGAGAAATAAATATTTTTGTAGTGTTGAAAGTTGTTTTGGTATGTCCTATTAAGTACATGTATATAAAGCAACACAGTCACAGTCCTACTGACCTGTAGACACAATCATACTGACCTGTAGTCACAGTTCTACTGACTTGTAGTCACAGTCCTACTGACCTGTAGACACAATCATACTGACCTGTAGTCACCATCATACTGACCTGTAGTCACAGTCCTACTGACCTGTAGACACAATCATACTGACCTGTAGTCACAATCATACTGACCTATAGTCACAATCACTGACATGTAGTCACAATCATACTGAACTGTAGTCACAATCATACAGACCTGTAGTCACAGTCATACTGACCTGTAGTCACAACCATACTGACCTGTAGTCACAGTCCTACTGACCTGTAGACACACTCATACTGACCTGTAGACACAATCATACTGACCTGTAGTCACAGTCCTACTGACCTGTAGACACAATCATATTGACCTGTAGTCACCTGTAGTCAAAACCATACTGACCTGTAGTCACAACAAATACTGACCTGTAGTCACAATCATACTGACATGTAGTCACATGAAGTCACAACCATACTGACCTGTAGTCACAATCATACTGACCTGTAGACACAATCATACTGACCTGTAGTCACAGTCCTACTGACCTGTAGACACAATCATACTGACCTATAGTCACAATCATACTGACCTGTAGTCACAATCATATTGACCTGTAGTCACCTGTAGTCACAATCATACTGACATGTAGTCACAATCATACTGACCAGGTAGTCACAATCATACTGACCTGTAGTCACATTCTTATTGACCTGTAGTCACCTGTAGTCACAATCATACTGACATGTAGTCATAATCATACTGACCAGGTAGTCACAATCATACTGACCTGTAGTTACATCATACCGACCAGGTAGTCACAATCATAATTATATATAGTCACAACCATACAGACCTGTAGTCATAATCATACTGACCAGTAGTCACAATCATACTGACCTGTAGTCAAAATCATACTGACCTGTAGTCATAATCATACTGACCAGGTAGTCACAATCATACTGACCTGTAGTTACATCATACTGACCAGGTAGTCACAATCATAATTATATATAGTCACAACCATACAGACCTGTAGTCATAATCATACTGACCAGTAGTCAAAATCATACTGACCTGTAGTCATAATCATACTGACCAGGTAGTCACAATCATACTGACCTGTAGTTACATCATACTGACCAGGTAGTCACAATCATAATTATATATAGTCACAACCATACAGACCTGTAGTCATAATCATACTGACCAGTAGTCACAATCATACAGACCTGTAGTCATAATCATACTGACCAGTAGTCATAATCATACTGACCAGTAGTCACAATCATACTGACCAGTAGTCATAACCATACTGACCTGTAGTCACAATCATACAGACCTGTAGTCATAATCATACAGACCTGTAGTCACAATCATACTGACCTGTAGTCACAATCATATTGACCTGTAGTCACCTGTAGTCACAATCATACTGACATGTAGTCACAATCATACTGACCAGGTAGTCACAATCATACTGACCTGTAGTCACATTCTTATTGACCTGTAGTCACCTGAGTCACAATCATACTGACATGTAGTCATAATCATACTGACCAGGTAGTCACAATCATACTGACCTGTAGTTACATCATACTGACCAGGTAGTCACAATCATAATTATATATAGTCACAACCATACAGACCTGTAGTCATAATCATACTGACCAGTAGTCACAATCATACTGACCTGTAGTCATAATCATACTGACCAGTAGTCACAATCATACTGACCTGTAGTCATAATCATACTGACCTGTAGTCACAATCATACTGACCTGTAGTCATAATCATACTGACCTGTAGACATAATCATACTGACCAGGTAGTCACAATCATACTGACCTGTAGTCACAGTCCTACTGACCTGTAGTCACAATCATACTGACCTGTAGTCACAGTCCTACTGACCTGTAGTCACAATCATACAGACCTGTAGTCACAATCATACTGACCAGTAGTCACAATCATACTGACCTGTAGTCACAGTCCTACTGACCTGTAGTCACAGTCCTACTGACCTGTAGTCACAATCATACTGACCTGTAGTCACAGTCCTACTGACCTGTAGTCACAATCATACTGACCAGTAGTCACAATCATAATGACATGGGAAGGATAATGAAACGAACGCAATTATCAGTTCAATTACAATATTTACTTTACAACACGTAAATGAGTAGAAAATGCACGTAGACATATAGAATGATCATAATCATGATTCCTTGATAAATAGCAACTTCATATCATATTGACTAAACACTGTACACACACATTATTTGTGACCGGATCACTGTTAACTTTTCCAGATGTCTCCTGCTCTACACACAGAGCTCTGTTCATTGCATTAGTCATTGCCATGGAATTAAATGTTCGGAAATTCAAAGTAACACCAACGTAGTCTGATTAAGTTGGGTATCCAGGTTTCGCTTCCATGAACATTAAAAAAAAGGTGTTCGGTTACTTCTCCAGATTTCGCAGATATCAAGCTGCACATAAAACGACACTTGATAATCACCTCTACAAACATTGCAAACTTATAGCAAGTACGACGCATAAAGCAATTATAAAGATATCCAGACCTGTATCTGATAAATACGTTATTTTAAGACCAGAACTGAAACGTGTTTTCTGCTTCATTTCGACAATATTTAAATACAAGCTGTAATTGAGAAGTTATCCATGATATTGTATTATTTCCTTCCGATGTAGATGGGTTACCGATATATTGTAACGATTCAATATAAGTAAGATGTGGAAATCTCTATAAAAAATATCTTATATCGATTCAGTTCTAGGATGCATCACACAATTAATTAAAGCATACTAATATTTAAAACTCGTAACTCTGTGATCTCTAAAAGTAATGTAGGTGTTAGTTCCATGTACATCAATTATATTGAGCCTGATGGCCTGTTATACATTCATATTTCCAAACAGTATATGGAGAGTTTTTCTGTCTGATACTACATGGCTCCACGTCTCGACAGCTTTTTCTGTCTGATACTACATGGCTCCACGTCTCGACAGCTTTGTCTTTGACTTGCCGATCTGTTTCTGATACCACTTCAGCAATCTAATAGTGAGCTTCCCAACGTCGCTTATGTCGTCGGGTTTCTCAACCTCCTGGACAGCTAATTGTAAGCGAACGACAACCTTCGTGATTCTCTGTGGAAAACACACGTTTATAAAATCAGTGAAATACTATGAAGTGAAGACACTTGGTTTCGTGGAAGAAAACAGTTCGATGGCTGTACATATACTAGTTTCCACAGTTTGTAGACATATAACTGTTTATAAACGGTAATGAACTATTTCATAGTAATTTGACTTTTCAGATTAATCGATATGTATTGACACCAGAGCTCGCCAGGTTGTCTGATTAATACCTCCCGCCCCCAAATCAACAATAGCTTTAGAGGGATTGTCCCAAAAAGATTCCTCTAAGATATCTTCATTTGGTCTCCATGGCAACCAAATAGGAAAAAAATTTAACAGTATTTGTCATTCCCTAAACTTTTTTTTTACCAATTTTCAACTTTAATAAGGTGATATCTTAATTCCGACCAATCAGAAGCCTCCAAAGTGGCTTCAAGGTAACCGTGTTGGAACACTTAATATGTTTAATTATAGGTTATAATTAGCTGTAGTATTCAAGTTTGAATTAGAAGTGAAAGGGCACAACTGTATACCACATGGATGTAGCTTGCCAAGTTTTGAGAACTATTGCTTCAGTACTTTTTAAAGATATACTCCACACAATAATCCGGACAGACGGATGGTCAGACAGTGTGATTTCACTATACCTCCCGAACTTCATTGCATGGGGTAAAATAATATGAACTATTGGAAAATTTCAAAAATTCAATTATGCACCGTTTAATGTACTCCCATCGTTATGAAATTAAACATTGCACAAAAGTGAATAGCTCCTTTTAATTCCAAAATTAGATACTATAGATCTAAAGAATAGACTAAACTGCATCATGCAGCTGTCTCGTCCTTCTGTTCACACTATAACATCAACTACGATTCATTACTTTGATACATTACCTTATTTTGGACTTTCAACAACACATTGTCGTCACTAAGACGTCCGTTGACCAAGTCGTTGTCGTGTAGAAATGTCACACCACGTATTATCTCGAGGACCACCTTGTAAATCCCGCGCACGCTAGGCCTTTCCTTCGTCATTACCTCTGCGAGTGGTGTGTAGATGGTAGGATGGTTCCCTAACATAAACGTCTCTTTTTGACATAGGGACGTCCAGATTCTCCAAGCATTGGTATCATCTGTGAAAGAAACAATATAACCCGCACTTTCTGGAGTAAAACAGAAAAAGTATAGATACACTCAATTATAAAAACTTACATGAAAGTAAAGACTTCACTCAACTACAATAAATAAGATGAAAGTGTAGACTTTACATGAAAACCAAACGAAATAAGAGTGTAAATTGTGATTAGCATGAACGCGTTGTAGTACAGATTACTATTATACTTGGAAAAATTAAAGAATATACTGCAGTTTACGTAAACGATAAAATATAGGTTGTGTAAGAAATAAAATATAGAATATACCCACGTGATAAAAAATATAGCATTTAAAGTATAGACAGTAATAACGCGAACAAATTATAATTATAGACAATACATAAACCGTACATGCTACTAGATATTTTCAGACATTCAAGAACTAGAAGAGAGTACCAACATATTATCAAATTCTGAATTCGCAATCAGAATCAATGGAACGAAGGCAAAATAAAAATAAATACTCGGCGACCGGTGAAAAAGTAAAAGTTAACAAAACCATGTGTTTTGGAATAGTAAATGTATTCTGATTCATCGACGACACATATCAATGTTGGTCAATCCAAGTAACTGATACTCACACGCTGTTTTCTTCACACTCCGTCCGAAATTCATTCCTTGGTATTTCTAATGGGTAAAGTTTGATAGTTGTCACTATTGCATCTTTCATTTGTTAAAATTAATATATACTAAAAATGATAAAGATATTAACATAGAAAGTAGTTATCACTTTGGTTCCTTACAGTGTCTTAATATCAATTTATACCCAAAACAATTAAGACATTAACATAGAAAGTAGTTATCACTTTGGTTCCTTACAGTGTCTTAATATCAATTTATACCCAAAACAATTAAGACATTAACATACAAAGCTATCACTTATTATCATTAACATCACTTAACACATTTATACGGCATCAAATTAGTAGTTTATATGACATCGTAAAGCTTAGTTTATCCAGTCGATTTTACACCCCCAGACAGGTGTCAATACTTCAACAATCCAGTGGATTTCACACCCCCAGACTGGTGTCAATACTTCAACAATCCCGTGGATTTTACACCACCAGACTGGTGTCAATACTTCAACAATCCCGTGGATTTTACACCCCCAGACAGGTGTCAATACTTCAACAATCCAGTGGATTTTACACCCCCAGACTGGTGTCAATACTTCAACAATCCAGTGGATTTTACACCCCCAGACAGGTGTCAATACTTCAACAATCCAGTGGATTTCACACCCCCAGACTGGTGTCAATACTTCAACAATCCCGTGGATTTTACACCCCAGACTGGTGTCAATACTTCAACAATCCCGTGGATTTTACACCCCCAGACTGGTGTCAATACTTCAACAATCCCGTGAGCATATTTATCATATATATTCTTCAATGCTTTCTCTAAGCTTTTTATCAAAACTCTTGTTACCTTTTTCTTTAATATGCCCGTGAAAGTGTATATGATTGGGTTGAGGGCTGAGTTGATAGGCAAGATAAAAACAGCCGTCCACGCATATGTAGAACCTGGGATCATTCTGCCTGACAGCGCCATAAGACCTCATAAGGGAAAGATATTACTGTATGATTCAGGAACAAAATGTGTTGATTATCAATCAAACATATTTCTATTCTATACAATGGTTAAAACAGTAACATACAGAAGGCATATTGATAAGCATTAAACCTAGACAAGTATATTATGAATTATTCTTTCAGGTGAAAATTGTGCATGCATGCCAGATATATTTATTAAACATTAGTATTTAATTCTTGCAAATGCTTACCCATAACACCCACAGGAAACCAGCAGAGGAAGTCAGAAAACACCACCAGAAATAAGCTCCGGGCAATCGCTGCGTCCTGGAAATGGCGCTGGGATTTCAGTAATTTGTCATCGGAGGAAATTTCGTTGTAGATGCAGATCTGACCGATAGCAATTCCAACAAATACGAAGAAGTTGAGGAAAATGAACAGGACTGTACCGAACTCCCAACCAGGGGGCCTATCCCTTGTCAGAGGAAGAGCCAGACATACTGCTGATCGGGAATAGAAACTTCCCTTGAAATAACTCGTAGCAACAAGAGGTACAACGGCCACTGACATAGCGAAGACCCACACACCAAGGCAAGCCCATTTAGCTTTCTTTGGACCGATCTGAACCTGACCGAAAGGAAACTTTATCGTCACAAAACGATCAATGGTTATAAGAAGCAGAAAAATCACGGATGCCTCACTTGAAACCGTCGCAAGAACTCCTGCAAACTTACAAGTATTTCCATTGCGCCACGCGAGATCATTCCAGACATATCGACCTCTGAATGCAGAGTCGGCAGAAGCTATGATGAGCATGTATACACCCATACAGAAGTCTGAAATGCCAAGGTTGGTGATAAAGATGCCATGCGCCTTCTTCAGGGTTTGTTGGTCGACCATACATTTATATAATACCACACAAATATTTCCGACAAAAGCACTAAGTCCTATAATCCAAAGGAAAGCTCTCAGCGTGTCTTCTCTCATCAAGTCGTCACACGAAGAAAACTCGTCTTGGTAAGGAAAACAGTTCGCTTCTGTGACTTTCTCGGGTTTGAGGCAACAAAACATGTATGCATCTGTGTATAACTTGGTCAAGTTCGACAAACCTCTAAATATGCCGTCTGAAAATTCCTTTATCGCATTGCCTCTTATATCTAATACAGACAGAGATGACAAAGAGGCAAATGCGTCGTCCTCTACCTTAGTGAGACGATTGTCTGTAACATGTAAAACCTGTATCGAGTCTAATCCTTTGAATGTCCCAGTTGGTAGAGTCATGATACTTGTGTATGATATAACAACTTCTGGCAATTTCGACAAACCGAAAAACCCGTTTTCGTACACATGCTGCAGTTGTGTGTTACCCTCCAGGTTTAGAAGCTTTAGATTGGTCAGACCTTCGAACACAGAGGCAACTATTTGACTTATTTTGTTGTAGCTAAGATCTAGACTATACAAATTTTTCAGAAGGAGAAAGTTCCTCGACCTTAACTGACTTATTCCAGAATTGGACAAGTTTAGCTCTCCAAGCAAAGGTAAGTCGAACTCGGGTAAAAGTACAGAGAAATCCGAAAGAACAAAGATTAACTTTCTGGTTTCTGGATGAAAATCTATGGTACTACCGGAAGATGAAAAACGTCGACACGTGACCGTATAGTCAGTGCACAAGCACGTATTGGGACATTTATTGTAGCAATGCGCCTCATCGTCCCCGTTCGGACACTGTTGCAGTCCGTCACAAACGGAACTCCTTGGGATACAGACGTCGCTTGAATGACAGCGGTACAGCCCAGGACAACTTTGGTCTGTCAATGACAAAAATGTCGTTATTAGCTCGTGCAACACAGGGAATATATAATTTATATGATATGAAGGTTTAGTATAACCATTGATGAGAAGATATTTAAAAACATGTTTGTGTTACTTACGGACACTTAATATTTATTTTTGTTTTGTAAACATTCATCAATGAAGAAGAAGGAAGTGTTCGTGAAATTTTAGCAGTAAAAATATCCCTCTTTTTCGGCCGATGCTTTTTCAAAGATGTAAGCAATCATGAATTTTTTAATGATGTTTAAATTGTGGCTGCCACTCACCGATAAATCCAAAAACGTAATGTAACCTTTAGACATTTCGTAAATATCGTAAAGAGGACCAAAGAATTATTATTTCATAGTCTGACATATGCATCCGGCCAGCTTTAACGAAACTTTTTGACGATTGTATTAATTAAAAATCTTCTTACTACAAAAGTGTTCGTCTTGACCCTCTGGACAGTGGTCAGTTCCGTCACACATGAGCCTGATCGGTATGCAGTAGCGCCCCGGACATTTAACGTAATCCGGTGGACAAACGAAGTTTTCTGTTATAGGAGCCATACATATATATACACTTGTATATAAACACAGTATATGTTATACATTCCATGATAACTTTGTTCTCATTTTCCTAGATATGTATTACTCTTAGATATTTGAAATGAAATACTGAAACATTGTTTTACTTGATTCAAAATTATTGATGCATGAAAATCTTAACAAAAGTATGTACTATAAGATATATAAATGATCCATTCATTATCAGTTTATCTAAAAGGATATCACAGCCTGATTGTACGAGTTTGATGGCTCAGTAGGAAGCTTGCTTAGTGCTTGCCAGCCAAATTCATGCACGACAGTTAAGAGATATAAAACAAATTGTAAGATTTTGTAGAACATATTCATCCGGCCATCATCGATGTCCAACGAAACGTTCGGTGTCAAGAATTCGGGACATGAGTACGTTACGTAAACTTATCATATTATGAGTTTCCCCTGCCCTATATAGTTATCTACCCTAAGAACAACGAGATCATCATGTCGAAAATCTGAGAAAAGGTAATTTTTAACCTCTGTCAAATAAAAGTAGAATTCATTATCAATGTCAAAAAGGAAAGATAGGAAAAACCAAATGTTCAAACTAAACCCGATACAAACCACAGTCGTCCAGATGAGAGAGGTCTTTGCAACCTTTCAACTCTCCATACTCGTCGTAATCTCGCAAGCATCTGTACGTGTAATTAATCGAGATCCTACTTCGACACAGGTATCGTTCAGTTTGCACTTCATCATCTTATTAGAAAAAAAACCCAAAGCGAGTAAACACCAAGCGTTGTCCAACATTAATCACAAAGAGTGGACAAAAGACACACAAGCCAATAGCATATTTTCATACAAATTTAGATAAGATAGAGTAGAGCCAGACAACGAATAAAATGATCATACAGCTGTGCTGTCCTTCTAGGACTCGTCAGCTAAGAGCCTAAATTTTGAAACCAACTAGTCCTATAGTTCAATACGTTTTGTAATGTTCATACATCTGATTATTTTAAAAGACATTCAAGAACATCTGCATATTCTTAACCGTCCCTTTATTAGAATGAATTAAACATTAGCATGCAGTTTACGGCAAATTTTGGGGACTAAAAGTCCACCAGCATGGTCTCTAACTGCAATATCGAAGATTGTACAACAGATACACAAGTGAATAGTTAGAAACAGTAGATCCAAGCGATGAAATAAAGAAAACATCAGTCAAATCGAAAAGCAATTCAAACGGGGAAAAGCGTAAGAAGAAAGTATTTCTTTACTTTCATAGGTTTCATAAACTTTCAAAAATCTATTGTCGCCCTCGATTTAGAAATTTCCAACTTAATGTGTCTTACCATTCTCACAGATGAGCGGACCGACTTGGAGTACGAGGTACCGCTGTTGACCTGCCTGTACTGACGCGGCTATCTGCAACACTGGCAGGTAACGCTCATCGTCAATAGTGCCGAAATCATGTCGTACCTCCGTTGTTGAGGCGGTGTACCAGTCATACGCGCTCGTAGAACAGTTGCATCTGATTTAAGGAAACAAAGCTATTATTTGTTTTCATTACAAATGCACAGCATGTTATCTGATAAAGTGTCGCTTCTAACCGTATTTGACAGTGTGTTAGTCTAACTAAATATGAAATAAAATATTAACTTTATATATCTTACAGCAAAACGAAACAAACTATCAGCTTCTACATGTATTAATTACTCTTGTTAGCCTGGATGGAAGCGTTGAAGGCTTACTGTGGGAGGAAACAGGAGTGCCCTGGTTGGTAACCCATACCTTTTCATGTCCGTTACAGAAGCAGAGCCTCAGACGAAAAGGTGAAAGGCGATTTTGTTACCACTGAGTCACCCGACCACCCTATTACTCAAACTAGATCTTGTATGATTCATCTACATGAAGCAACGTTATGGAATTACAGAAAAATGATTCTATAAAGATGGTACTAACCTTGTCTGATTCCTATTGCAATTGAAAAACATGGGACAGGAACATGCAGTGTCCGTTGTCGTCAAAGAAAATACTTCAGTCTCATTTGAGAATCCTCCTTGCCACGAAGTTGACTGAAGTATCGTGAAATGACACTTCATACTGATGGTTTGATAACAGACATTTTCGTCCTTCAGTTTTTCTATCATGTGGTTTGGTAATGTGTATGCTATATGTTGGTTAAGGGTCTTTCCCTGTGTAACTGTAATTGGTTCCTCATAGGGGTGATGGATGACTGTCTGGACCAAGTTCTTCCCATTCCTTTTAAGGAATTTGCAATTAACAGGTAAAGCATCTGAAATAGAATGTGTCCTGACTTCAAGATTTATAATTTCATCTAAATCAAAATGACTATCAATATTTTTTTCTAAATGCGACAATAGGAGTATATATAGTGAAGCTGTGGCTTCGTACGGACAGAACAAATCAAACTTACGGTCAGTGCCCAGTGTGGTAAGATATTCTCCGTCCTTTCGCATTCCAAGATACCACCATTCTGCACAAGAACGTTGAGTATTCTGTTCGCAAGCTTGATCCTCATCTTCATGAAATAATCCACCACAGTCAATTTGGCCATCACAAACTCTAGACTTGCGCATACACGATTGGTCATAACACCGGAAGTGGTTTTCTCCACATTCCTCTGAAACAGTATCTTACATTGTATGTTTGTAACTCTTGTATTTGGCTTTGAGAATGAATTTACTGTGAAATCATTAATTTTCGTGTTTTATGTTTTTTTTTTATTTTTCGATTATTTCTTTAGTACCCTGAATGAACGAGTTCACATGTCCACTAAATTTTAATATGAGCAATAGCAGATTTATTGAGCTACATTTATCGACGAAATCAAATGCCCACGAAATAGTTTTTATTAATCCATGGAAATATCTTATTTATCAGTAGACCGCGGTGTCATATACACTTACGAATCCAAATGTTATAACAACAGGAATAGAGTGGTCTGTTGTCTATAGGTCACCATTATGTCATGTCGACTAACATATGTTCTTATTTACGTCGGGGAGGAAATATTTAACATGAAGTATACAGAATATTGTTAACTCTTATTCAAAAGTTTTATGTATAATACAAATACTTTGTCAGTTTTGCTTTTTACTTAGAGACCATACCACAATTTTCTTCGTCGGATCCATCCATACAATCACGCTTCATATCACAGCGGAAGTTCCTTGGGATACACTGTTGGTTTCTACACGTCATCTGCTGGTCAGAACACTCGATACGTACTGTAATACAGCAAGAAAAACTAAAGCTAGTTACCCTATAGATAGCGACCATGTTACCATTGTGATTTGATTTTTCATTCAAACTTGAGACGATTTCACGACCATGTTCCCTTTTGGGAACGTGACATCTTTGATTTGGATTGACCAATATTTACATGGTGGAGGATCTTTTAAGATATGTTAAGAAATGGAAAGAGAGAACCTCTTGGTTCATACATGCGTAGAGTGTCAATCTTTAAATATTATCTTCTAAAGAGATTTAAATTTTGATTTAATTATTTTTTGTTCGTTTAAACGAAGTTCCATATATTTTCTTTTTAATATTTCGACGTTCTTTCTCCGATGATGATTAACTTAATATGTTATATAATTTAACTTTCACTTGATATACCACAATCGGCCTCGTCTGAGTTATCCGGGCAGTCCTTTCGGAAGTCACAGTACCGACCGATCGATATACACGTAACACCATCAGCACACTGGTACTGTGTGGAGGAGCAGTAATCTGATAAAAACACAACAGAAACGAATTATCGTTTCATTATAATATCAATCCATTTGGTTTTTTTAATTGTTATTGCAATAATATATGTATTACTATTACATTTTCACATCTGATCACGTCTTATTCAATGCTCTCTGCGGCAGTGATAAAACTTTATATTGCAAGCTAGCGCAAGAATTCTGTATCGTCTCATTATTTCAGCCAATCAGTAAATCCAGCAAGTTGCGCAAGTGTGCAGTACGATGTTGTTTTTGTTTTTTTAAATTAAAGGAATGATATACACGACGCTGTGGTAGGTATAATTGAATGAGATACAATTAAAATGGCACGGAATCATACCTTGAGCATTTCGTGTTCAGGTTTTAATACCGAAATGAAATAAATCAGTTATTTTAGTTTATTTCGATCGATATGAACATTTATTGAGCTCAGAAACATATTCGTTATCGGGTAACTGCTCTCTATAAATCTTCAAATCGATCGAAACAAATTGACACGTGTAATTGTATGATATTTCATGTATTTTTAATTCATAACGCATTCATCATAGGAATATTGCTTTTTATTATTTATCCACTGTAACTTTAAATAGACATACATTTTCAATGTCTATTATCATAATATCATCACATTCAAATACATGTTCTGTTTTTCATGTAGAAACAAATATAAAAATCATATTTAAAGTATTACTTATCAAGCATTTTATCATTTGAAAAGCAGCACAGGGAATAGAGTATGTGAAGACTTACAATCTCGTGGACCAGTATATGTTAGGTACAAAATTACCACAATCGAATTCTTCGTCACTGTTGTCAGTACAGTCCCTCCGTTTATCACACACATAGGCCCTGGCTATCATTTCTCCATTCTGGCACGTGAAGACCGTTTCCTTTGTTTGGTTACTATCTGACAAACTTCTAGGCTGCATTCGCGATCTTATCACAAAACCTACAACGATCACATCATTTGTATTGGCATGCCTACAGTTATGTACCACGACTCAAATGAATTTCTTTCTTTCTTAATATACAACAAAGATCCGCCAAAACATAATCTTTGTAGACCAATAGGCTATATTTAAACGGCACATTACCTGAATCTCATCATTAATGCACGCTGTTGTAAATGCTTTCTTTAAAAATATCAAATATTCCGAAATTAAACCCCACTACGAATATCACCAAATGTACAGTGTTGTAATTGTTTGATCAATATCACAATCAATAAACAAAATCAGTAACGTCACGGAAATAACTAATTATAAAAAAGTCAAAATTGTGGAAATTTTGGTACCGTTAAACTCGTGTGTTGAGTTTCGAAGAGTGTCTGAAATGGTACCCTCGATGTTTGTTTCGCAGATAAAGTTGTAGATTTGGTCGTAAGCACATGCAATGTCATGCCAATTGTCTATGGTGTGTATGCTATACAAGCGGATGGCAGTGCACTGTTCTCCTGCCAGACCGTCTGGCTGGGATGTTTCGCCTTTGTACCTAAACACACCACATCAGTACAGATCTCTAAAATCAAAATACATGCTAAAAATCAATTGAAATATCACCAATAAAAATGAATAGCAAAGACAGCAAACAAAAAGGAATCAATTAAACAATGTGATAAAACAATACTCATTATGTTAAGAATACGGAACGTTGTCATAAATGCTAAAAATCAGGTCAAACCGAGACACAGGATTTTATCCTTGTGTACGTATTCACCACTTTATAATCTATTGGATTGATCTTAATTTTGGAGATTTGACCGAGTTCCATATTAGGTAAACTTATCTGTCAGCTAATCAATCTCTTGGAAAATATATACTCGGAGATATGACGACTGTTTTCACCTGCGATGATTTAGATATGCTCGATTTACTGGACTTCCATGTAATCCACGTGGAAATTAAAGGTAAAAGGACATCGCCCCGTTTAGGAAATTCCTTATAGAATTTCCAGACGGTCATCGTCGGTTACTTGTTCTCAGAAAATATCAAAAGATTTATGGAAGTTAGGGCAATGGTCTACCTAATTTTCTAGACGGTGGTGATCGGTGGTTGTTGGCAAATCTACCAAATTTTAGCCGGAAGTGGTTGTTGTCAGTTGTTGCCAACGAATCTACCGGATTCTAGATATTCGTGGCTGGCGTCAGCTGTGGCCAACAAACCTACCAAACGTAATATATTAGTTGTATGATTCCTATATTGTCGAATTTAGAACTTAGCATCACTTACTGTACCAATATATGGAACTGTAAATGTTAGTTGTTGGCTGTCAATTATTGCCAATAATCTTACCAAACTGTAGATATAAGTGTTTGATGTCAGTTATCGTCGATAATCCTACAAAACTGTAGATATAAGTGTTTGATGTTAACTGCTATCTTACAATTCGACCAAACTGTAGATAAAAGTGTTTGATGTTAATTACTGTTTTACAATTCGACCAAACTGTAGATATAAGTGTTTGATGATAAATACTGTTTTACAATTCGACCAAACTGTAGATATAAGTGTTTGATGTTAAATACTGTTTTACAATTCGACCAAACTCTAGATATAAGTGTTTGATGTTAATTACTGTTTTTACATTTCGACCAAACTGTAGATATAAGTGTTTGATGCTAGTTATTATCGATAAACTTCGTACCGAAGAAACTTACCATGCCGTGTATGTTAGAGGCCTGCCGTCGTCCCAAATGTAATCTGTGATTCTTCCATCGTTAACAATTTTGCGGAGACCTAATTATGCAGACGTAGATATTGAAATAAAATGACTTTCCGATACTAGAAATACTATGTGGTATTTTATCAATGCTGAATCTATTTCACAACACAAGGATATGTAGCTGTATGTATGTAAACAGTTTTCGAAATGATATAATAATTCGTGTCTAAGGGTATGTTGATGATCTTGTGACTGACATTATATTTTCATTTGCTTTTTATAACTTTGAAGGTATTTATCAACATTTGCTATCTCACGAGAGAACTTAGTTTTAATGTATGAAGAGAGGGATCGATCTGTTATTATTTCAAATAAAACGTTAGCGAATTTTGATATGGATGCTTGCCTTCTTTAAAAAAAAAAAAAAAAAAACTCAGTTTTTACAAAAAGAATGTTCGAAAATAATCTATTAAATCTCTCTGAATATATCCAAAAGTGAAATGAATTAATCCATTCAGCATGTGGTGTAATAATATCGATTTAATGCTTTTTAATACATTTTTAAAGATTTCGTAATGATAAATCCCAACGTACATTATATTTATAGCGAAAAACTTCAAAGAATAATTCGTAAGAAAAGAAACTTCACGAATACAGAATACAGTCAATATTGATCTTTAATTAATTTACCTATGTAGACATCGCTTGTCGATGATGCTATCCACATTTTCGTCATCATGAAGTGGAGGAAAGCCATCTCGTCCTTGCTATTGATACTAACTAAATGACCACCTGGGTACGTCTGACATCGTTTGCGAGCATCAAGCCAAGTAGTAACAGCATCAGTGTTATTATGTGACACTCTTTCAAATATGTAACAACTGCCTCCAAAGTTCTGCCAGTTGTCATCAGGGCAACCTTTCATCGGAATAAATTTCAGCAGAATGTGGAAAAGTCATCAAATCATAGGGAAAAATATTTGTTACAGATTTAATAACAGGCACTTTAAAGATGTACTTCAATACCTAAACCATCGGGAGAAGGAATATAATGCCACAGTTCTACTTTATATACTTGCATCAATTTCTAATTTTGTAATCGCAGGAATAACGAACTTTTCTCTTCAGAATGCAAACTTTTCCAACAAATAAACAGGTAACACATAAAAGTAAGAGGTTGGTAAGTAGGCAATTGGGTTTAATTTTTCACATAAACATAATCAAACTTTATACTCCCATTGTGAGATATACCAAGATATGTTTATCAAAAGTTGTGTATATGTTTGCTGCTTCGATTTACTTATTTTGGACACATCAAACATGTAAATATTTACCATGACTACGTATTTCCGGAAAAGACCCTTGTGTGAATTCAAGAAGACGATAAAAACCAAGAAACCCATTTCCGTTTCCGCCAAATGTTCGAAATTCTACTTGCATTCTATGCCAGCCTGATGTGAAAGTGTCGTAGGTTCTGTTATACTTGCACATTGATGCCATCAAGGTGAGTTGATTGTTCAGAGATACATCATACACAGAGACAAAGGTTCCCACGCACGACCCATTCAATGAGATATCCAGCTCTATGATATCCAGACTGACAAATTGTCCAAAGGTTCCTTCGATCTTCCAGGTACATGCTTCTGTTTGAAAGATACCTGCTGGGTAGCCCTCAGTTGCAATATAACCTGTTGGGGAGGTGCATGTCTGAAAGCAATGTCCTGAATCCATTCCGCAACCTCCGTGCTCTGAAAATGATGTTGTTAATGTGAGTATAAAGAATGGTAATTAATAGCTCACATACTGTGAAAACACATATTTTTTGGGGCTCAAATTTTGTGGTTTTTAAAAGATAAACTTTTTTCGTTAGCCCTTCATCATGTAGGAACATACTGTCCTCGAAATTCATTATTTCTATTTTTTTTATGTTTTTTAATTAATTTTTGATATAATTTGTTATCGATTTATCATTTCGTGAACTTACGAATTCGTTGATCAACACCCTTAGTGATCACAAATTCAAAACTCAAAAAGGACTTTACATTAGGTGTCATATGCTCAAGGAGTTTCTATTTTATCTGAAAATCACCTCAAAATGGTGAAATGTCGATTATATATGGGTCGCGTTCTGTTTACTCTTATTCAATTCATTGATGATAAACGTTCTACTAACAGCTACTTATTTGTATTCTCATACCTATTTCTCTCGCTCGAAGTTCAAAAAAGCGGAAAGTATTTGTTGAATATAGAAAGCATGACTTAAATTGAATGGTCAGTTGGTCAGTCGTGCTTATGATTATTGATGTCCTGAAACCAGCAGCAGTTGTGTACGTCAGTCTGTTTCTTGTACTTTCTCTCCCATACTCTCCCGAAATAATCAGTTCATCTTCACATACGACGATGTCTTCGCTGGCGAAGTTGTCCTACAAATGTATATAAATCAGATCACCACTCTTTCTGTTGATGACCTGTGAGTCAATATACCAAACATGCGGTTAATTTCGTCGAGCGCAATTCACCATTTGGTGTTTAAACTGGAATTTCTGAAGTTAATTACTTCACAATAGCAGATACTAAAATTATATCATGAAGTGCATTTATTAATTTAAATTCACCAGTTTGATATTTACTAGACAATTTTATGGCGAAAAAAGCTAAAAGACAGAGAAAAAACGCGGAAATTAGACACCGATAATAAAATTAGTATACAGTATATAGATACCACAACTGAAAAAGTCCACAATCTAAACATTTGAAATAGGCTTCCGATGGACCCGATGATAACCGGTTATCTATTATCACAAAAAATTCCAATCGCCTTCGCAATACAAACTTTTAAGAAATGCAGAGAAACCGATTAACTACACGCTTTATCCTAGTCAGCACACTCAACTGGAAATCAACCTAACCCCACAAAATTTATTTTATGTTATTAAGACTTTTCCCCGTTAAGGTAAGGTATGTGTCATTCTTATGAAGCACTTCCCAGGTATTTTCGAATTTGGCAGTGCTGCTTTAAAAAAATATATTAATAGTTTATCATCTTTAAACTTATAAAAAAACATTTTGAAGATTAACTCAATACAATTAACAATTTAACTGACACCTGTTTAATCTTAATTGATAGTTTCGATAATATGTCAAATCCGTCCAGAAATAAAGTAAACCCAGATAAAAAGTACTAAGAAAGCATTCGGGACGCTTTAGTATCATGATAACTGATGTTCCGCATAAATGTATTCATTCAGTCTATATTTCATAGTATACCTCCGATACTATTACTTCATTCCACATCACAGGCGGAGCAAAGTTTGCTTCTACGACCCGTAAGTGAATGAATGCACTGCTTCTCAGTGTCCATATACAGGATATACCCTGGCCATAACTGAAGGGAAAGGACGGTGAACGTATCACAACCTCGCCGTTTCCTTCGATCCAAACCTCACCACCGCAGTTCTGCATCTCACCTATTTCTATATAAACGTTCTAATGTTGACAACCATAGACAAAAATGAAAGTGTTATTAAGATAAGACTGAATATTCTCTGTGATATAACCATTATAGAATCATTTCACAGGTTATGGCGGTAGACTACAGGCATGAACAGCACAAACGACATATGCACTTACATAAGATATGAACACAACAGAGCATGTGAAATTTCTTGTTGGGGATGAAATGTCTAAAGAAATATCTGTTTTCTTTTCTATTTCTAATCTCTTTAAAAGTTACTTAACTTCCATATGGATATAAATATAAATATATATTAGATAAACTCTCAGACAGGGACATAACATCAAATAATTGTTCTTACTTTCAAGACAAAGTCGCTGTCCCGCAAAGTAGAAGTCGGCCATGTTAGTGAGCCATGCGCCTCCCCATTCTGTCTCGTAGCGATGACCTTCGTGAATGATACATTCCTGACGACGCGTGCCTTGACGTGTTGAGCTATAGCTAATATACTCGCCTTTACTCGCCAGCTCTCGACATTGTTCGGCGGTTACGTTTCTAAAAAATACCTTGTCAAGTCGTCCTGTTTGGTCTAACCACCATGAATGATATTGTTGTTCCTCGAAACCATAGTCCAAGGTCCCGGGACGGCAACGGATGTCTCTGGTAACTTCGGGTAAAAATTATGATAATGTGTATAACATCACATTCTGTACAAATCGTATTTCTTTTGATGAAAATGATCGTTTTTCAAATAGATATGTACTCTACAATAAAGTTTACTCTTGATGGTGTTTATGTCAGAAACTCTTGAGTTAACTATACATTTTGTTCCTAATCTGCATGAATACAAAATTCTTTTTAAATATTTGAAATAATATTGACTTTTTTAATAGATCTTGGCTAATTTGAACAGAATTTAAAACACAATTCTCATAATATCTGAAAATATAAACCCTTATAGATAGTAGTACACGTCCTATTTCTGTATGTACAAAAAACTTTCCTGTTCTTTATACTGCCCGATATAGTTTTTAAAATATAGTATGCTTCGAAGAGAGCTTAAGTCTGATGTTCAATTTAATTGTTTACCAATGAAAGCTTGCTTAAATAAAGTGAAATACTGAACTGGTGCATTACGAGGATGTTTTTAGAAAACGACTTTTTAAGCCGAGATACTTACTTCGTTTCGGACAACCAATGAACTCCAGCTTTAGACATTTTTGGTTCCATTCCTTTTTGATGGGTTGTATTTTAAGAAAACGAGCAAAAATTTCTTCTTTTAGGATGAACCGTTGAATAGCTGTACTTTTCAAATAATTCAATGTTCGAAAAACCTGAAACGAAATGTTGATGAAATAGGTCGTTTTTAATGAGAAATACCGGTAAACTGTTTGAATATTAAATGATACAAGTGATGATGCGACTATACCTTTTTCTTATAAGATCAATAACATAAATATTGGCCAACGATAATCCTTACAATTTAATCAAATATTGAAATGATTTTTGATAGTTAATATGGACTCTTTCCTTACACTGCCGAATTGACCATTGAAACGTTACAAAATGACTTCGATTCTTTATGTCATTGTGTGGTATGAACAATCTGCCCAATGAAATAGTTTAATTGAAGATTAATTTAATTTATTCCACAATAAGGCATGTCAGTCTTGTGAAAAACATAGTTCTTTTTATTTTTTTTCTGTTATGTATACCTTATTTAACTTCGACTATTAAATGACATACGATACAGGTTTTACATTTCAGTTAGAATTATACTAATGAATAGGAAAGTCACACGACATATATCTGAAATGTGCTAATATTAGTTTAAGACATACTCTGGTAACATCATGCGGATCCTGATAAAAAGACATGTTGTTTCGGTTGATGCCATACGCCAACAGAAAATCGCTGACAAGGACCCTTGTCGCCCCCTCGTCCCAGCCCTGGACCAAAATCCCCTGTACGACCATTGGTACGATCAAGTCCACCTAATATTGATTACAACGAAACTGTGTTTGTAAATAATAACGGTAATATATTGGTGGGATACATTTTACCTAACTACTCATGTTGTGAGTACAACGTGGCTTGATCAATGGAGGCATGTTTCCCACATTTATATCTAGTAATCATACAGCTATTTAATGTAAGCAATATGATGAAACATGTACCAGATATTACAGGCACAGAAAGTACTGAGCTATGTAGTAACCATACTATGTATGTACCATACAGACACAGAAAGTACTGAGCTATGTAGTAACCATACTATGTATGTACCATACAGGCACAGAAAGTACTTAGCTATGTAGTAACCATACTATGTATGTACCATACAGGCACAGAAAGTACTGAGCTATGTAGTAACCATACTATGTATGTACCATACAGACACAGTACCATATATACTAGGCACAGAAAGTACTGAGCTATGTAGTAACCATACTATGTATGTACCATACAGGCACATTAAGTACTGAGCTATGTAATAACTATACTATGTATGTTGTTGTAACAATACAAAGACCTCCTACCATGAACCATGGGTCCATGTCTGATGGGTGGGGACACCATCCTTTCCCTACAGTTCCAAGTCGACCGTCGTTTATATGAGTGTCGAGCGATGATTTAGAGGACACTTCTAACTGATAGTCGAATATGTCACCTGACATCATCCCGAGACGTTTACCGCATGGAATATCTACCAGACATAATTTTAACAACAGTTCCTTTCGTTTGAAACAGAAAAAAGAGTAAGAAAACTGTTTAGACGTACATTGAATTCAATTATAATACACAACTTCGAACTTGTCCTTCCTTCTAAAACATGTCGAATACTGAAACTTAAAACAAGTGGTATTAGAGCTGTCTTATCTCTGTGCTTTTCACTTTCAGTAAATAAACCAAAGTAAAACACAGATGAATACAATCCGAAAACCTTTGTTAGCATCTGTGTCCCACGACAAAAACAAACAAAAATTATGATATTCAAGACTTACGTTTCCCGATAACTCGAATTTCGTTGATAGATAAAACAAAGAACTTTCCATAATTGTACACTGGATCAGTTGTGTCGAAGTTCCTGATGGTGACGTACTGGCCAATGATAGGTCTGCGACACTCGAATACAAACCTCATGGAACCATTAGGGTAACGGATATCATCACATCTCAAAGCACCGTAGTTGATGAAATCCCATTGGTTCTTGCTTACATATGTACCAACCAATCGGAAATTTACAGGATGCCAGGCTAAAAAAATTATTATATTAAAAAACATTATTTTCTGATATTTGGTTTTATATTTAAATATAGAACGGCAAAACTAGCAGAAATCTGATGACATTCTTACTTTTAGAATACACAGTATTTATTATTGTTAATTAGAATAGAAACACTGTATATATCACAGACACAGTATGTAAGAATAGAATAGAACACTGTAAATTCTTCAGTTATTAACCACGTATAGACATATTAAAATAGAATAGAAAAGTATAAATCACAGACACAGTATGAAAGAACAGAATATAAAAATATAAATCACAGGCACAGTATGTAAGAACAGAATAAAAAAACTGTAAATCACAGACACAGTATGTAAGAATAGAATAAAACACTGTAAATCACAGACACAGTATGTAAGAACAGAATAAAATACTGTAAATCACAGACACAGTATGTAAGAATAGAATAGAACACTGTAAATCACAGACACAGTATGTAAGAATAGAATAGAACGCTGTAAATCACAGACACAGTATGTAAGAATAGAATAAAACACTGTAAATCACAGACACAGTATGTAAAACAGAATAAAAAACTGTAAATCACAGACACAGTATGTAAGAATAGAATAGAATACTGTAAATCACAGACACAGTATGTAAGAATAGAATAGAACACTGTAAATCACAGACACAGTATGTAAGAATAGAATAAAAAAACTGTAAATCACAGACACAGTATGTAAGAATAGAATAGAACACTGTAAATCACAGACACAGTATGTAAGAATAGAATAGAACACTGTAAATCACAGACACAGTATGTAAAAACAGAATAGAACACTGTAAATCACAGACACAGTATGTAAGAAAAGAATAAAAAAACTGTAAATCACAGACACAGTATGTAAGAACAGAATAAAAAAACTGTAAATCACAGACACAGTATGTAAGAATAGAATAGAACACTGTAAATCACAGGCACAGTATGTAAAAACAGAATAGAACGCTGTAAATCACAGGCACAGTATGTAAAAACAGAATAGAACGCTGTAAATCACAGGCACAGTATGTAAGAATAGAATAGAACACTGTAAATCACAGACACAGTATGTAAGAATAGAATAGAACACTGTAAATCACAGACACAGTATGTAAGAATAGAATAGAACACTGTAAATCACAGACACAGTATGTAAGAATAGAATAGAACACTGTAAATCACAGGCACAGTATGTAAGAATAGAATAGAACACAGGCACAGTATGTAAAAACTGAATAGAACACTGTAAATCACAGACACAGTATGTAAAACAGAATAGAACACTGTAAATCACAGATACAATGTTTTAAGATTAAGAAAAATGTGAACAACAGAAACAATCAACACGTAATTATAGAATAAAAAAAACACGTGCACGTGCACAGGAAGTAAGAATAAAATGAAATACTGTAAGCCATGATCACAGCAAGTAAGAATAGAATTTTAAAAAATGAAAGAAAAAAAAATGGAAAGTAAGAAAATAACATAATCGGTAAACCACGAATAGGAAAGAAAAAGTAAACCACAAAAACAAAAATAACAGAATAAAATCGATATACCACAGTGACATCATTAAAGAATTGAATAGAAAATCTTCTACCATTGATACAACATACTAGTAGAATCTGAACATAATGTAACGCGTTCTTCAATTGGATAATTTACATGATATAATCCCTGATATAATCATGAATTCTGACGCGAACCAAAGCTGGCGGTCATCTTCCCGGTTGATACAGACGTTCGACATCGACATTGGAGTAATTAATTCAACATTGCTGAAACTTCGATTAGAAAACTGGTTATGATATGATATTTTTGTTCCTACAGACCATTAAACTTTAAAGCGCCAAAGTGCTTAAATGTGTCATCAAAGAGTGAAGTAGCGAGTACTGTAATGACAAACTTTGTGACATATTCCGATTAGCATTTTACCGCTTCAAGGGCGTTTGTCTTTTGTCGGTATTTACGATAAAGACGATAACCGTTAAATAATGTGCTCAATCCAGGGATAAAATTCAGTACATAATATCACAGCTAAATAAAATCATATCATATGGTATTGTCCCATACCTTTACTGGATAATTCTATAGAGAATGATATATAAAACCCAATATCAATTTGAATGAAGCGCACTGACAACTTCGAATGAGTCTCCCGTCCCGATCTCCCCACGAGGTCTGCTGTTTTATCGGCATTTTATCTACATTAGTGCATGAAAATATCTTTATCATTCTGAGATAAAGATGGCGAATTTTGTGTACGTACACTAGGAATTAACATCAGCAACAATTCCAACAGATAATGCACGCAGAGAAATATATTTTCTAATACCTCGACCTACATCCTAACCCGAATCTTTCGACAATTTGACTGGAAAGCGGATGGAGCTTCTACGTCACGTCAATAATGGTCAAAAGGAGCGTTTTGATTGGCTAGGAACATGTGAGAGACCGTTTCGAACAAAATTGAGAAGATCTAAGTTTTTGTTGAATTGCGTCGGTATTTCGATAATTACATCATTTTCAGGCTCAAATCATTTCAGAATGAGGATAGTATGTTTACTTTATATATATATATATCAGATAATAGATCTTGGTTTAAACACGAGACGAAGTATATGAATAAAAACAAGCATGTTATTCCCTATATACACCGGTAAACCACAGTCACAACATGTAAGAATACAAAATACTACAGTCACAACATGTTACAACACAATCACAAGTTGTATCTGTGATACATACTCTACCGTTAAAGCTTGAGAATAAAACACAAAATTATATACTTCAGAGTAACTGCCTATGATAGCGAAAATAAAATGTAACGCAACGTCGAATTTAGGGGAAAAGTGAGAAGTGATAGACGATAATAGCAAATGTTGATGATACATTTGGAACTAAACTTCAGTACCGGTATCTTAGGAACAGTGACAAATAAGGACACATGATGGATTCCCAAAGTTATAAACTACATATACTTACTGTTGGTGCGATACACCGAAATTCTGTGAACTTGGAACCATTCCTCCATGTCCAATTGAAGATATGGTTTGTTTTGTGGTCTGTAACTGGCAAAGGATCTCTGACCTACCCGCAAGCAAGAGTATAACACAACACTGATTCTCAGTCCCTATTTACCACGTCTATCGTATGGAAATCATGGACAAGACAGACTCTTCTATTTTAGCCCCTTCTCTCGAACTTTTCGAACATGTTGGTATTTTCTTCTTCCTTTTATGGTTGTCGTTGCACTAACAACAGGCATGTGATAAACATACTATTTGGCGATCAACATTCGATGTCCAAGAGTTGCATAGTCTCTATTTAAATAAGTTCCTTTTACATAATGGGTGGGAACTTTTGTCTATCGTATATATTCACTTGTGAATGATGCCGTGGAAAGATGTAATAAAAGGAGAATATCAGAGAAAATAGTCTCATACATCATTCCGAGAGACACAATTTTTATCAAAAATACTTTAAACACTGGATTACTCACCGAAAATACCATCCACAGCATTGAAAGGATCAAATTCCTTCAGGAAGAAATGAGTAAACAGCGGCTTTCGTTCACCTATAGTCTCCAAGGTAGATTTGTCATCTACAGCAGAACAAAAAAGAATAAAATGGTCAAATACGTCCGCTATATAACGGAAGCTATAAAATTAGAAATAGAAAGTATTGTTGGTTCGGAGTGTTATATGTTATAAATTGTACAAAAGACGAACAATAAAATTAGTGTATTGCCCCATTTAATAATTTGGAATTGGATACAGTTGAGACAAACAATGAATTAAACTGCATCATATAGCTGTTTCGTTCTTTTAGTACTCGTCAGTGACGTTAAGGGCCTAAATTTTGGTTTGGAATAGAGAATATGCTTGGTTTGGAGTGTTATATTCTATATAAGCATATCTTGAATTGGACATTTTGTAGTGCCATATCACAAAACAATTAATTTACAGGCATGACGGCATCTGAGGGCTTAGGTTAAATATCACTGAAACCGGAATGAGCCATTTATTTTTCATTGAGCATCCCCTTTAATTATGCTAAGAGCCCAGCAAATATCGAATACAAGTTTTAATCAACTCTCGTTACATGTTTGTCACGTCTTTGGGGTAAAGCGTGTAGCCTAAAACAGAAGGCTTAAATGATATTTTCTCTAGGAAGAATAATATCTTAAGGAGAAATGAAACGTTTAATAATCTTTTACACAACGGGAATGGAAGGTACAATTCTTCTGCTCTATCTGCACGAAAGGCAAACGAAAGAAATAAACTTACTACAAACTGGAACATCACACGCCTCCCTGGTGAACTCTGTATCTACGAAGCAAAATGGCTTTCCTTCCTGAGGTACATGATCAATTGTGTTACAGAAGTTTTCCTCCAGTTCACCGTGCCACAAACGGTGATTCCTAAGCCCTGTATCATTTAGTTCCAACCAAAACATGCAGTGCCGACCACTCTGACTGACATTTATGTGTCCTCGATAGGAGGCGCCCAAGTCATCGGGAAAATAACATTCTCTGTGATCTAACAAGAGGATTAGAACTTTATAGAAATATTGAAGAGTTTTAGTAATAACTTTGCTATAAGCCACATTATTGATAATTACTTTGGTCGGAAACAAAGAAACTCAAAAATGACATTAACTGTTGGTATTTTCATGAAATTTGTCACAGATAAATAAATAAAAAAAAACCCAAGAAAATTGTAAATTCATTAGTATCATCGGCTATCCATTAAGAAATTTCTACATGTATTTCGTTAAGTTTATTTTCAAATACTACTTTCTAATACAAGTTTGACCTTTGACCTACGTTTTGGGATGTAGTGACAGTAGTAGAGCTGGACGTGCTCATGGGTACTCCTATCGACGTAGCTATGGCTGCCAGAATAAGTCCACTCATTCGATGAGTCGCTCATATTGAAGAAATCCATTTTACTGACCATTCCGGCAATATTTTGACACATAGGTTGGTCTTGACTCTACAAACAAATTACCAGAATCAATACTTGCTTGACAGCAATTATACCTAACCCGTGGAATAATAGAATAATTTGTAAGTATTACCAAACAGCGACAATGATATATCTATAATGGTATATGGCTATACTTCATGCAGCTTGTGCCTATTAATGAACAGTGTACGCACCCAATGAAAGACTGCATTTAAATTGAACTTTATGTGGTAGCTATTGGAAACCTTCAGATCCTTTAATGGTACCGTGTGGCACAATTACGTGGCATGGCCATTACATATTCAGTAATTGGTAAATCTGCAATTCCCCAGTCTGTCAAAAATTGAACGGTTTATCGTATTGTGAAATTATACATTAAATGTATACTTACAGATAGAAGAAAGAAGGGAAAGGAGTTGGGAAGCATTATATCAGTTTCACCGACAGAATCTGATCGACAGCAATGAAACAACGTCAGTTCACTACTATTTCCGACTTCCATTGATGGCAATGTACCGCTCATGTCGGAGTCCCGAAAATGGTAGCCGGTCATTGTAATAGAGCCTTGTGAAAATCCTGTGGAATACAATTTTTTGCATACAATCTTAATAAGAATTCATCTCCCAACACATTGTAATGTTTATTTAATGGTATTAAGGAAACAGTGATATTAACATCACACCTTCAATCTCATGTCTACCTCCGTATGCTTGGGGAGTGTTGTGACCAATGTTGAATTATGATGCTGATATCTAGGGCTCTGAGATTACCTGCTGGACATTGATCTCCGGCTCTATATATGCAGTAGTGCCCAGCCGGCCAATTCGGTCTGTTTTTGATCCAAGGGTCAGAACTTTTCCGTCTTACACAGAAGTTCCACTGGAACGAATGGGTGTGGTAAGGCCCCATCAGATAGGGTTCAAAGGTCATCAGGTCATCGTCATTCCATGCTTGAGCTTTGGCGTTTTTGTTTAAGGTAAGATTGATGTATCCAGTCTCCCACTGATAAACTCCCGCTTCCGGACAACCGTAGCTTGACATTGGAAGGGCATAGTTGCCGTATGGCCAAGCACTTTGAAGCGACGCTTATAAGAAAAACAAATATGATATTCATATACCATAACAAGTATACTGTCCTGATGTTTTCAGAAAGGACGTGTAAAACAAAAATAAAACAAACAAACAAACCAAAAAAAGAATGAAAAGAAATAGCTTAATATAGTAAAAATGCATAATTATACGATTTTCAATGACATCATCGTATTTTCCTGGTACATGCTCTTAATTTCTTATCTTTGAAATTACCATGTTCACAGAAGATTCCGACGAAGCCGTCAGGACAAACACATGTGCACCTTCCTTCGTCTAGCTTTCCTTGGTTCTCACAATGACTTGTAGGACATACTTAAATAAAATAGTAAATTAAAACATGAATGATTGCGTCCATTAGTGCTTCGTATCTTGGAAATAGTTTAAATGCTTGTCTTGAATTACCATATTATTTTTTTCCATCTGGTGTTGTTAGCATTCAGGAAATTCCGTCAAAGTTTGAATTTATTAAATTTGATGACTTTATGAACTGAAAAGTGTCGCAATGGAAAAGACCCACGTGTTTCTTGTTTCGATGGTATTTTTAATTAAATTTAATATTCGGAAAAAAATTCCATCAATGCCTGATCGTGACTTCCGAAACCAGAGCCTTTTATTTCATTTTCATAATTCAATTTTGGTTTTATTTGAGGAGAACAATTTTAAAATGAACGGATTTAAGTATTATTAGTCAACCTGAAAAACGAAACAGCTGTTAATACAGTTTAATTAATTGTTTTCTCTACTGAATTTAACTCTTAATTTGTATTAAAAAGACATGTGAGTCTTCTATACAACCTTCGATCAGTATAACAGAGTCTTGTACTTTTTTCGTGAAAGTTAATTCCTATTCAAGATGTATAGAACACAATACTACCTTTTCCTACAACTCACTTTCTTGTGTTTAACAGTTAAAGAAAGGGTTTGCCATCATTACACTTCAGTGAAGACTATTCATAAAAACAAAAGAATTAAAAATAAATAGTAAAAAACCTGTTTCGTCTGTCTAGGACTTGTCATCGATATTAAGGACCTTAATCATTGACATCTAGGAGTCAACGGCGGGAAATAAAATAGGCAATTTATATATCATACCTAAATATATAATATATAAATATCAAAAATCGGATTGGGAGTTGCAGAAGCCCCAATATTCGATAAGATTAATTGATTTCAATACTGAATACTTTATCTAGTACATTTGTATGTATATTCTGTGTCATGGTCTAAATTGATTAAAACGTGCATTAACCTCTGCAATAAACTACTTTACCTGCTTCTTGTCCGCTTGGGATTATGTACGGGTTACATGTTTGGAGCCTTATCGCCAACAGCACCATGAAGATGTAGGCCATCGCCCCTGCACACAATGATAATGATGTTTCGTATGTTTATATATATATATGTGTTATATGCTTTTCGACATTTGACTCTTGTTGCTCAACGATGAATTATATGTTTGAAACATCGTCTCCCTAATAAGGCTAATTGGATTTCGCCGGGTATTTTGCATGTCATCAGATATAGTTGAAATATTAGGTTTGTATGTTGTTATGATGAAAGGATTTCCCTTTCATGGTTTGTATAGTACTCCATAAGTAATAGCATTTGACCCAAACAAAACCCAGGAAATAGATCGTAAATGGATAATATCAAAAGATCATATTTACTAATTAGTATATCAGTAGTAAAGCGATTAAAAAGACATGTCATTCAGGGATTAAGTTGTGCAGTCACATGTCGTCTCAGGTGAAGTGATTTTGTCTAATTTGATGAGCAAGACATGAAATATACACAGATTAGGAGTGATGCACGGTGATGGGAAATATGATTTAATCATCATAAACTCACTTACAATGATTGGAACCTTGGGAATATAGATAATTGGAAAAATGTAATAAAGTGTCATTACATGGGACATCATACAAACTATCCTTCTGTGTATCACTTTTGTGTCGTTATAAATTCTACATTGGCCAATACTTGTGGATTGTCATTGGGTTGTCATTTAACGCAAACTGTACATAAAACATGTGAAGTCCATGCCATTGATAAATGGATTTTTATCAACTATCCAATTAACGTTAGTGAAATATGCCTATGCCTAATTATACAATAACTTACATTGTTTTCTTTTAAATCTGAAGTGCTTGCCATCGATAAATGGATTTTTAACTAAATAAATCATGTTTGTGAAATAGGTGTAAAGCTCATTATACAGTAGTCACAATAGTTTACATATCATTTGAAGTACCTGTCAGATAAAAAGATTTTAAACTGTCTAATTTTGTTTGTATAATAGACCTACACATCATTATAAAGTAGCCACCATTGATTTCATATCGGATAACGGGCAAAGATCAGCAAAGTTTACCTGCCAAGTTTATCTCTTTATAACAACTATCCTGTTCATATATGCGTTTCCTTTATAAATTAGCCTACAGCTTAATATAAAAAAATCGACTCGCAGTATCGGAACATGGATTAATATGACCATGGCCATGTTGACAGTATTCATATTTATTTTACCCCACATTATAAATGTTTGCAATTAGGAATAATAGACTTCGGGTTTATGTCGTCACAATCATACTGCAAAACATTTTACGTGATTGATCAAGTTTGTCTCCCTTTCTTCATATTCTTATCATGAATTTATTGTTTACATGAGTGTATTGTCCTTTGTCCAATTGCCGTCAGTATTCCTTCAGTAGATAGTGAGGAATGAGCAAGTTGTAAAACCAATTTGTTTCCGAAGAAAGCAAACAACAAGACAATATACAATCTGAAAGGAGAAAACAAGAAAGGAAAGAAAAAATGGATTCTGAAGAAAGACCGTAAGAACAGCATAATGAAATGGTGTTAATCGCTAACGTAAAATTTCGGAAATTTCTCATTTCTGTCAAAAACTTTGTGTATCGTTATACGATTTTTGTACATTTTGCACTGAAAATTATATGTCCATACACATGAATTGACAGTATAAAATGATTTATCATATGAGAACACCAGAGATTTTGTACTACAGAATTTAGATTATAAGCAGTTCTGTTTATATTTCGACTTACAACGATATAAACATTTCGATGGGGTTGAAAGTAACCAACTTCTACGAAAGTTTCGGGAAGTGATATTAAAACAATATTATATAGATATATAATCTTTACAGTCCTCAAAACATACGACTTACTATTCAGCAATTGTTATAGTGATCAGTCAGGTGATGAATGAAATAGATAATTTGAATTAAACGACCATCTTAAAGTGTATATGTCTCGTAAAACACAAGTCATGGGAATGTAAGTTTGCTTGGAAACCATGTTGTAATACAGCGGCACACACAAAGCCTAAACTACATACCTATACATTATCAATCTGATGATATATGTTTTATACATAAATAATTTTCCAATGGATAACATTGTTTTACTTCAAATTTTTCATAGTTGTAAATACCGTTGGATGGAAGATACACATCACAGAGAATTGAATCAAACACGCAACAGGGAATATCAACATGTCAACATAGTTATAATCCAAACTCAAATAAAACAAAACTAGAGCAAAATATGAACAAAACAAAGATTTACACGGACACTCCTGAAAAAGAACATGGGTATGAAGATCAGGTGTTCCGAAAGAGAAAGCGTCTTCTACAATACCTGCCATGTAAATATTGGTCGAAGCTTGTATGACATGTTACATTCTCAAATTCTAACAAAGTATACAACAATAGAAGCAACGAATACTCATAATTTCTATTTGTCTCTGTTTGTCCAGATCTACGTAAACACTTGAGTGAGTTTGCGATACAGAAAAGTCTTATTCTTATTTATATTTATATTTGATCAGTATGGGCTACACCTGTTTTGTAATTCGTCGATGTAATGACATAAACGTATAAGTAAGATATCGATCTAATACCTTTGATACTTCTCCAAGCAAAGATTTAGATGATTTTAATTTATCTATTTAATTTATCTATTAACTTTTATATTTGCCTACTTTAGTAATTTTTCAATTGTAGGGAAATTTTACCTCTAAAATAAGAAAAAAACAACTGAAGACAGATATAATCTTATGTGCTTTTATCCGGTTCTAGCAAGTGTTGAGATGTCCACTTTGTGCAACAATTTGTACAGCAGACACAAAAGTGGACACCTCCTTCTAAAACAACTCTTCTAAAAGAACATTTGATGTTTCCGCTATGTACACAACCATACCCTTACAGAAAGCCTTACTTATCTAGCTATAAGAGCTCTCTTCTACAAGAAAGGTGAAAGGCAGTATAAATACATTGTTGTGAACTATACTGAAGCGTATTTCGTAAAAGTTACGTCCAACTTAAGAAGAAATATATGGAGGGCTAAATGATAAAATGATCAGTTTTCCGGTTGACAACTTCTTCGTCGAGTTTTGTGGTAAGATCTTCCTACAGAATATTGACATACCGATGGGAACTATCTTTTCCCCTCTCTTGGCTGACTTGTTTTTGTTTTCATTCGTGGCCGAATGGAAGAGCTTATAAAAGCAGGTCAATGACTTTGCAAAGTCATTTCATTTCGCTTTCAGATATACAGATTGCGTCTTGTCTGTAAATACCAAGAAGTCCATCGTACATACTCACCAGAATTGGACATCAAAGACTCGAAGGCCTTTTCTACGTCAGCCGCTTATCTCGTTTTTTTCATGTGCCCAAAACCTATGACGTGTTTCGGTCACGATTTTCATGCAAGAAGTAGTCAATTGACGGACTAACTCGAACTGAATTTCGGAAGGTGCAGTTTTATTAATGTTTCGGTGAATTCATATATGAAGCGATATGAAACTGGACATGTTTGATGCTCGTTATTTTGTCTGTTTGTTCCGTTGTTGTATACATTGTTCTCTTTTAAGAACGAGACATTACTTATTTGGATTGTTCAAAATTTACATGTCGTCGATGATGCAGAAGACGATCACTCCTCAGGAACGCCTGATCTTATCCTCCTTGTAATTTTCAGAAGTCATCGTGTAAATCTGTGTTTTGTTTATATTTTACCTTAATTTTATTGAATTTAATTTTGGATTATGATTATGTTGACATTTTTTTGTTATTGTTAGTTTTTTCAATACATCAGTGATTATGTAAATGCTATCGTAGATACATAGTAAAAAATTAAACTATATGGTACAATCGTTCATTCTAGAGTTAAACTGTATTGTAGACTTGTTATTTAAGCTGCCAAAATGCAAGCTTCCATCTAAAGTATTGTTACAGTCCATTATCAGCATGTAAATAAGTGGTATTATGATACCCAGAAACCTTACTTGCGTTAGTAGGATCATTAAAATAACAGGGGACATTTTGGAAAACGTAGGTCTGTAAACGAAGGTTATTTTTATTAACAGGTTCGAAATGGTAATTGTAGTGAAATCATCAAATACACAGTTGCTATGATAACCAAAATTTCATAGAAACCATCTTTGTAAATCAGTGTAAGATATCTAATAAATTAACCTTTACAAAACATTCAAGTTTCTAGCTTGATAAAAATCCTCCTATATATCGTAACATTGTTTGTAGTTGTTTTTACTGATGTAATCGATAAGTCAACCCTAAAGTAGGTCACTGTTTTGTCAGTATTGTGAAGGACATCCTGGATTACTAAGAATATGGTACATATGATTTTTATCGAATTTTCAAAATTTGAATATTTACGTGATTTTGTTCTAATTTCGACGTTTAGTACAAATTATTGCTGCTATATTTCCTCATCATAAGGAAACCAATATCACGTGCGACTAATGTCTCCCATTTCTGTCTCTTAAATCATTTTATATCCTAATAGGATTATCTACCGTGAATTGACGACAACGTCTATTTATAATCTGTTTGGTAACGATATATTCAGTCAACACATATTGCCATAGTTAAAATACCGTTTACTCTAACACACAAATTTAGAATACAAATGTAGTGTTGAAACCAAACAAATCTTAATTGGGTACTACGTGACTAAACGTCAATTTCTTTATCGATAATAGTTATTTTCTAAATCATCATTTGTGCAACCTCAAATAACACAAGAGTATTATAAATTATTTAACTAGTTGTTGTCGGTCTTACAAGAATGGAATCGGTCGAAGCGAGGAATTTTCTTGACAACACAAATTTACACGTTATTCTCAGCTATCAATTTTACTTCATGTTATTGCAAAAGTTACCCTTAAGTAAAAGGAGCATTATATACATACTCGGTAAACAATTATACTGTAGCTATTCTACCATTTCTATCTTAAGTCTTTCTAAACAACATATTGTCGTCTAAAGGTATCGACCCTCAATAAAGATTTGAACATTTGTGTGCCGCCAGCTATCATGTGGATTTCACTCCAAGGCGAAATAGTAACTTATGATACTCTATTACCAACAGCAACTTTCCGTACTTAGTTAATATAATTATATAATGGGTTTTTTTAATTCGTGAAAAATTCAAAACATCCTTCCTTAAAATTTGAGTTGGATTTAATATTTAGAAAACCTTACGGTCTGAACAATAACAAATACCCTGCTTCATTCATATCGCCTTATCAAGCTAGATTAATTTTGAAAATTCACTTTCTAAAAATAACAGCAAAAGAAGAAGGAATCATAACAAGCATAGTAATGAAGATGTACAACAATCAGCACAAGAATGAATTATCCTTAATCGTGTCATTGTATGGATGATGTAAAATGGAATTTTAATTAAGTCAATATAAAGAGAGTACAGATGTATGATTCGTTTCATCGGAATCAACAGTCAACAAAATTCAAATCATGTGTATCAGTAACTAATATTTTATTTTGAAATAGAAAAGGGAAGTCATGAAACCAAAGGAATTAGAAATCACATAACAGTACGATCATGCGGAGCACTTGTTATCATATTATTGATCAGACGAGAAGAGCGTGCCCGTTCTTCGTATCAACATAGACACAGGTAATGTTACATCTACGCTAACGATCTATATTGTTTGTCATCGTAATCCGCCATATGTATCTTTACAAATAATTACAGATTATAACTAGTAATAACAATATGGATCGTACCAGTCTCTACACAAATACGTAATCCCCGTAATAAAAAAAATGTGACAGCATTTGCATCTTTAGGTTAATGACAAATAATGTTTATGAAAATGAGAAACATGCCGGGTATCTTCGATGATGAATAACAGAAATTAAAAAAAAAACAATATGTTGTCTAACAAGTATTTTCGTTGTTTTTGAAAAATCATTCCTCACCTGAAAATGAATAACGAAATGTGTTTTCAATATGTTAGAAGGGACCTTCTCAAAAAGTTACTTAAATGATATACTAATCATAATTCCGTTTCATCATTGTAAGGTTACTGCTATGTAAAGCAACATAATGCTTAAATAAACAGATCAATAGATAAAGGATCCTATCTGGACGGTTCACTTTGAAAGTAAATAGCTAAATGATTCTACCTGGACGGTTCACTGTAAAAATGTTTCGCAAGGAAAAGAAAACATCAAGAGATAATAAAAAAAAATCAGAGATGATCATAAAAACATTAAAGGCACAGGAGCAAATTTGCATATTAATTGCAAAAAAAAATACCTGTCTGCTGTATTATAATCATGTAAGGAGGAAATGTCGTTCAGGGAGAAAAACACAGACGGTTAATTGTCACACATCACATGATATGTCTGAAAAACAATTACGTATTATATAGTTATATTTTAGTACTCGTGCGAAGGTAAATTAAAAACAAAACATGTTTATTATTGCAAATTGAAGTGAAAACTACTCATAGGAAAAATCAGTATCAAATGCAAAACACCTACATTCATGTAGAAACATACACGATAATTACGATAATTGTCCTAACGCACATGATGTAAAATAAAACATATGCCAACAATTCTACCAAGTAAGAGTACACTCTAAATTCTCTCCAGTACTCTTGTCTCCTTTTTTTATAGAATCTAACGCCAGAGTACACACATTAATACAGATGCATTACTTTGTTTTATTTACAATAACAACAAATAAAAGAAAATGAAAATCAATATTGGAGAGAGAAACAAACACGCCGATAACTATGTTATACGGACTACAAGTAGGATTATAGGTGTTTATTTCACTCATATTCACAAATCCTTTTATTATCGCAATAAATTTTCTTTCTGTTCTTTATAAGAAATATATAATCGATGGGAATCGTCGATTTAATACCTGTAATCTGTCAGTGCTTCCGAACAGCCCTCGTTATGGTCGTATGGCCAAAACGATTACTTCTTAACAACGTAGAGGTATTCACGGATGTGTTTGATTGATGGAACCGCCAATCTGCCTATAAACTATTTTCCAATCTTCTCTATAGAAATTAGTTCCGGGTATCGACGCGTTATGATATTTTTGTGGTGATAGGCTACAATGAATATATAGGTATTGATCAATGCCAAATCCAGATTAGATTTGTTTTTTCTTTGTAATTCTTTGTGCTTTAGTTCTGATATTCATTTATTTGTCTAGTTTGTCTAAAGGTAAACAATATTTTGTATGTGTGTTATGCCTAAATTCCGTTTTTGTATTATTTTTATAATTAAAGATACTTATAATTGTGGTTCTAGGGACAAAAGTGCGGAATTTATAAGGCGAGTGCTGAAAATGAAAATCCACGCTTGTATTGCTTTATATGTCTTCATCTTTGTAAATAAACTTGAATAAAACTAAAATAAAAGTATTAAATGATAGATTTTAAGGTGCATTTACCTTAATATATATATATCTTTAAATCTGTTATAATCAATTTGGAATGTTTGAAAAAAAAATCAAATACTTTCTAAATTAATATGTGTATGAATAGTTAATCTATTCTTATATCGGCATTTCGGATATCGAGTATTTTTTTTATCCCATTGTTTTTTCTCTCGTTTTGTCATGTTATCAAGGGCTTTTTAACGCGATATTAATTAATGGTAATACAGAGAGATAATCTTATATAACTATCCAAATTATAACTGATAATAAAACATATAATTGAGTTTACTACTAAACAAATACATTATGACACGCTGAAATAATAAAGTATTATTACAGGTGATAACACTTATCTCACAGGCACACCAATCGTAACAGAATATGAATCAAAGAGTGTTTACTACGGCACGTTCGAGCAGGAAATCAAAAATCGGTAATTTTGATGAACTCGTCCTTTTTAAAGATGCTAATCAAAGGATCGAAGACTGGCTGGCTCGCGTAAACTCTTATATTCAAATTCTGTCTAAAGCTGATTATCTTTACAAATTTCAAATCGATGAGATGAACGGAAAGCATTGTGTTAAAGTACAAACTTAATGTATGCATTTTTAGAAATCATTTTGCTAAATTTACAATAACACAGTACTGAACGAAGATTCACGTAACATAACTGTTTCTTGTCGGTTTATTTTCTACATAATAATTCCCGGAATGCATTCCTGAAGTCGGTGCTGCTGAAGTTATACAGAAATGGGTTTATTGTTGAGTTACAGTACGACATCCAAAACGTTACGACAAACACCATCTCTGGCACTTTTTCTGGTGCAATAGCACTAACGTCAAAGACGATGTGGAAGGGGAGCCAGCAGATGATATATCCTATCAAAATGTAAGTTAACGTGATAAACACTCGCCTCTCGTGTCGATCGTTCCTTCTCTCTCGTTTCAAGTCCTGCCGCTGTTTTTTTGCATCTTCATTGGTGACAACAGATGCCTCGGGTTTCCATTGACTTGTCGATGGAATCGTTATAATAGAGATCGGGTCAAGGTGAATCCCATTTCGATTTGGAGGGGACAGATTTATTGGTGATTTCTTTACTTCGCTTTCATTGATGACTTTTACGGCAGCGCTTTCCTCAATGGAATCTTTGGACTGACTTTCGTCGTTCTTTCCAGACATTCCATTCACTACCCTAGATGTGCTGGGTTGATCCGGAGACCTCTCACTCGGCCCAACAGAATTGAAACTTTTTCTTTGTCTCAAAACGTAAAAAACGCGAATGTAACAGACAAGAAGTATTACAAAAGAGCCGTGGTGTCCAATGGTTGCTATGACAATTACAAACTCTTTGTTATGAGATGGTTCCCATATGCACTCTCCTGGAACGGCGTTATTCACTCTATCCAGTACACAAGGTGGTAGCCACAACACTATCATGAACACCCTGTAAGTATAAAAGAAGTTAAGGCAATGGCGACTTTGCTTTCAGAGGACCTATGACAGAAATATTGAAATTTCGCCACCGAACTAAAATAACCTAACTGGTTGTTACTTGTAGGACAATTAGAAGTGATTCGTGAGATATGCTTCAATATTTCAAAAGGTCTCTGCTACAACCTACTAAGTGCCGCATATCTTAAATGCACGACAGTTAAAAACTATCAAAACAAAGGTGTACACTATCAAAGTATACAACTGTTTAAGGATTAGGGTATGTAATCATATATTCTGAATCAGCTGCCATATACAGTGTTAGATGGCTTATTTTTGACTGAAGCAACACGCTCGCTTCCGGTTCTTGTGCAATATTATCATTATCAGTATATGACAAATTTACTGGTTCCCGAATTTTCTTATATTTCAACCATTGGCATTCAACTTTGATCTACTAAATTATATTTAAAGGTTATTTGCAAAGCTAGAACGGCGTACACTAAATATTCTTTTTCTAAATTATATAGTATCTGAAAATTGGACTTCAGTCTACAATTTTCCAGTTTAATCCAAAATCAATAAATTGTTTCAATTTAAAACAAATAACAATGAATAAGAACCCCGATAGATACTGTATCTTTGACAGAATAACAATATATTTTATATTGATAGTGTGGGCCATCCTTCGCTCAAAAAATAAGTCAACAAAAACAGACAACATGTTCTGGTGTGTTGTTGCCTATTTGAAAAAAGTATATTCACGTATTTGGTTTCATGTCACTAATAGACACTCACATTAATATCCAAAGCGATATTAAATGGAAACCAAATACAAAGCTTTAAAGAAAAAAATGGCGATAGGGGGCGCAGTCTATTAACTTCCATGTAATCGTAAAACAAACTCACCTTGCCACAACACAATTAGTTATTGTAACACGACTTGCCATGTTGAATATATTAATGCATCATAGATGATAAAAAATCCAATATATCATTATACATTTGCATGAATGATCTGTAATTTTAATTTTGTCTTTCCAATGACATTCAGCATTGTCAACATAAACAAATAGTGCGTATACTCCAGTATAATAGGAGTCGTTACGTTACAGCTACACAAGAGGGTGCGTTAATTAATAAATCGAAGTCGTACATAAGTAGAAATACAAATAAAATTCATACAAAGCTAAAAATGATTTCCTCGAAAATCAAACTGACCTTATTTCACCTGCGTCTTCTACCAATATGTATCAATGCCATACAATAAACGTGTACATAAAGTCCACGTAATATGCAAATGTTGTTGGTTTTGTTCTGTGAGTGGTTTCAGCTGATATCTCGATCAGTCAAACGTATTGACATGTAAACAGTATTTGTTGGATAATAATGCGGGATGTTTGAACATAAAATTGCAATTTAATTAATAAGTTTTCATATCGGCAATACCAAAACAAAAAAGGAGAAAATATATTAACATGTTTTATTTGGATAATATCAACACACGTCTATCAACAGGGAGTGGAATGACGTTGACACCTGTCAACGCGTCACCAGAATTATCATAATCTGCGTAATAAAAAGGAGGATTCTTTAATGGTCTACTAATTGTGTTATAATGATGAGATATACAAAAAAAGCGTATGGGGAAAGAAAGAGTACATCCAAGGCGTCAAAAAAAAATGTCTATTTACATTTTGGTTTTATATTGTTTAATGCCTTATCAGCAATTAGAGTTATTTAAAGACAGAATTTTGTACACAAAAAAGGAGGAGGGGTTGAGGACAGGAGGAAGAGAGACAGAAAACAGGGTCAGTTTAAATGGGAAAAAAACACAATGAACAGTTTATATAATTCACATTCTATACATGCTTGACCCATGTAAGAGTCTAAATCCATGTGTCATTAAGTAGAAATATTATTATTACAACAGCCACATTAAGCACAGACATTAGAACAAACACCCTGTTCTGTACAATCGTCACAATTATTTTGAAAGCTATCAGTTCCGAAAACGGTTTACCGGTGATCCGATTTACGTTTTTTCCAAAACAATAAGAAAGCCACCCATGTGAATAGCAACTTTCAGTACATACTTAGAATTAGATACAGCAGTGGCAAAAATGAATTTTGCTCTCCTATGACTCGCAAGTGAAGCTAATGATATGAATTTTTGAAGTCTAAATAAACACGACACAATAAGTAACTGAGGTATCACTCTAAAAAGACCCATTAAGTTAAATTTGCCATGTACCCAAAAAAATATTGTTTTGTCAGACAAAAGAAAAACAGAAAAGATAAGAAAACCATACATAAATGAATTATATGTATCGCATCAAATATTGACGAACGAACTTAAATTACTGAGTGCATTTTTTGTACTAACTTACCAGACAGCTATGATAAGGCGAATACATTTGCGCTTGTTGTGATGTGCGCGGTAATGCACACTCCACGTTACTGACCAAAATCTGTCAATAGATATCACTATTAGGGTGAATACTGAGGCAAATGTCATCCCATAGTCAAAGAAAATCCAGACGCCACACAGGAACGAGCCGAAAGGCCAGTAGCCCAGTACAGTGTTTGTGGTATAGAAACTCATGGCACATACAGCTACGGATATATCAGTGATGGCTAGGTTGATCACATAGAAATTAAAAACAGTTTGTAAACGTTTTGTTTTTGCCACTGCTACTAACACTAAGCTATTTCCACATATTGTCAAGAGCACAATTCCATAGAGAACTATGCCAATTACGATTTTTCTCCATGTCACAGAGGAAACGGCATCAGTAGTTGTGGTATTTATAGAGCTGACGTTCAAGTTATACATTGTCGTGATTAGCAGAAGACAGGTGTACAAGAGATCAAATGACACGTCACTGGTCAGTCTGTTTGCTAAGCTAATGATTAAAATCAAATGCCGTATGTACGTTGTGTCGGGTAGTCTTATAATGAGTTCAACGGTCTGAAGGGACGGTGGCTGATGAGGGTGTGATATACTGATCTGTAAGTAATTCTATTGACCCAACATACCAGTATACCGCCAATGATTGAAGAGATATTAACAAGTTCGCGATTCAATGATCACGTAACGAGCAGACGTAGGACCTAAAACATGGTAACCAACGGTTCTAACATCAACTAGTTTGGCGGTTTGATTGGACGATGATTAAGTGGACTTTTAGTCAAACTACAATACCACAGACCAATATGCAATTTTCATATTACTCGTGCTTCTTAGCTAGAGAAAAAATATGACGCTCAATAGCTAAAGACAGGTAAAAGTTTAACATAACTATTATTGCACTTGTATCTTTTTGTCTTTTATTAGCACATGATATTCAACTTTAATTGTCTTAGTAAATACACTTTTAAATTAAAGCTATCAACATTGGCTTATAATCACGTATTAGCGACCTCCATCACGACTGTTACAACAAGTTCAATGAACCCGACATTGGATAGAATGTAATCTGACTTGATGGTAATAAGGGTAACTATAAAACGGGCTAATGATCCGACAAAATTGCCTCGTCGCCATTTACATAAGTGTCCGACATGAACATCAATAAATATCGACATATCAACAAAACCCCGAAATTTAAATACATAAACGAAGGCAAAATTAACCTATGAGACACTTACAAAAGTACAGTAAGTAGGTGTTCTGGGAGAATGAGCGTCTTCTGCTTCATCGACGACATCAACATGTCAACATAATCATTATTCAAACTCATTAAATATTAACAAAAGAAAGATTGACACGAAGACTCATGAAAAAGAATAAGGAGATTAAGACCAAGTGTTCCGGGAGAGTATGCTGTCTCTGCTTCATCGACGACACCCGTTATGTGAACTTGGTCAATTCAAGTACGATTACTAAGTATACACTAATGCCTGTTGTGTAATAATTTTATATAAACATTTACGTATCTAACATTCTCTATGTAAATTAAAGAGAAAAATATCATAATCTTTCCGTATTAATTTCTTCTCATTTAGATAAAATTAAAAAAAAATATGTTTTACTCGTTTCAATATGTATACATTTGTACTTTTAATTTTCACTGCAGCGGCTGTGATATTTATAATTGATAACAGACATACAAACACAAGGAATTAGGCCTATTCATTTGCTTGCTGTTGCGATTTTCCAATTGCAATATGCAAGGCAGTTTAAAAAAACTGCTGGATCAACATTCCATTCAAGATTAGATTAAAACCAGAATTATCTCACATAAACGAAAAACCGTAAGAAAATACCAACATGTCAACATAATTATAATCCAAATTCAAATTTAATTAAACAAGGGCAAAATATTAACAAAAGAAAGATCTGCAAGGAGACCCATGGAAAAGGTCAATACATGTAAAGAAAGGTCACATTTTCCAAAGAGAACAAGGTATAAAACAACAGAAACCATCAGGTAAACTAACGAGCATCAAACACGTCCAGTTTCATATCATACAACGGAACCATCAGGTAAACTAACGAGCATCAAACACATCCAGCTTCATATCATACAACGGAACCATCAGGTAAACTAACGAGCATCAAACACGTCCAGCTTCATATCGTACAACAGAACCATCAGGTAAACTAACGAGCATCAAACACGTCCAGCTTCATATCATACAACAGAACCATCAGGTAAACTAACGAGCATCAAACATGTCTACATTCATATCGTACAACAGAACCATCAGGTAAACTAACGTGCATCAAACACGTCTACCTTCATATCGTACAACGGAACCATCAGGTAAACTAACGAGCATCAAACACGTCCAGCTTCATATCACACAACGGAACCATCAGGTAAACTAACGAGCATCAAACATGTCCAGCTTCATATCGTACAACGGAACCATCAGGCAAACCAACGAGTATCAAACATGCCCAGCTTCATATCGTACAACGGAACCATCAGGCAAACTAACGAGCGTCAAACATGTCCAGCTTCCTATCATACAACGGAACCATCAGGCAAACTAACGAGCATCAAACATGCCCAACTTCCTATCATACAACGGAACCATCAGGCAAACTAACGAGCATCAAACATGCCCAGCTTCATATCGTACAACGGAACCATCAGGCAAACTAACGAGCATCAAACACGTCCAGCTTCATATCATACAACGGAACCAACAGGCAAACTAACGGGCATCAAACATGTCCAGCTTCATAACATACAACGGAACCTTCAGGTAAACTAACGAGCATCAAACATGTCCAGCTTCATATCATACAACAGAACCATCAGGTAAACTAACGAGCATCAAACACGTCCAGCTTCCTATCATACAACGGAACCAACAGGTAAACTAACGAGCATCAAACACGTCTAGCTTCATATCATACAACAGAACCAACAAGCAAACTAATGAGTATCAAACATGTCCAGCTTCATATCATACAACGGAACTATCAGGCAAACTAACGAGCATCAAACACGTCTACCTTCATATCGTACAACGGAACCAACAGGAAAACTAACGAGCATCAAACACGTCCAGCTTCCTATCATACAACATTCAGGTAAACTAACGAGCATCAAACATGCCCAGCTTCATATCATACAACAGAACAATCAGGTAAACTAACGAGCATCAAACATGCCCAGCTTCATATCGTACAACGGAACCATCAGGTAAACTAACGAGCATCAAACACGTCTACCTTCATATCGTACAACGGAACCAACAGGAAAACTAACGAGCATCAAACACGTCCAGCTTCCTATCATACAACAGAACAATCAGGTAAACTAACGAGCATCAAACATGCCCAGCTTCATATCATACAACAGAACAATCAGGTAAACTAACGAGCATCAAACATGCCCAGCTTCATATCATACAACGGAACCATCAGGTAAACTAACGAGCATCAAACACGTCCAGCTTCATATCATACAACAGAACCAACAGGTAAACTAACGAGCATCAAACACGTCCAGCTTCATATCATACAACAGAACCATCAGGTAAACTAACGAGCATCAAACATGCCCAGCTTCATATCGTACAACGGAACCATCAGGTAAACTAACGAGCATCAAACACGTCCAGCTTCATATCATACAACAGAACCAACAGGTAAACTAACGAGCATCAAACACGTCCAGCTTCATATCATACAACAGAACCAACAGGTAAACTAACGAGCATCAAACATGCCCAACTTCCTATCATACAACGGAACCATCAGGCAAACTAACGAGCATCAAACATGCCCAGCTTCATATCGTACAACGGAACCATCAGGCAAACTAACGAGCATCAAACACGTCCAGCTTCATATCATACAACGGAACCAACAGGCAAACTAACGGGCATCAAACATGTCCAGCTTCATAACATACAACGGAACCTTCAGGTAAACTAACGAGCATCAAACATGTCCAGCTTCATATCATACAACAGAACCATCAGGTAAACTAACGAGCATCAAACACGTCCAGCTTCCTATCATACAACGGAACCAACAGGTAAACTAACGAGCATCAAACACGTCTAGCTTCATATCATACAACAGAACCAACAGGAAAACTAACGAGCATCAAACACGTCCAGCTTCCTATCATACAACGGAACCAACAGGTAAACTAACGAGCATTAAACATGCCCAGCTTCATATCATACAACGGAACCATCAGGTAAACTAACGAGCATCAAACACGTCCAACTTCATATCATACAACGGAACCATCAGGTAAACTAACGAGCATCAAACACGTCCAGCTTCATATCGTACAAAGAAATAAAATATTCGTCAATGAGATCACTATACAGACCGTAAGTAATGTAACTTTCTCAAATAAAGTTGACAGCAGCGACACGACAAGGTTTACAAACCAATATTTACATCTTCATATTGCACAAGGAAGTAGAACATTTCCCAAATCGATCAATTTAAAGACCATTGAAGTTTCCCAAAATTTACTTCAAACTCATGTCTGTCAGCTGTCGACTTTATGCACGAAAATCGTAATACTGGTAAGATGTCAAAGATTAACAAAAGACACGCAAGTTGATAGGCTTTTTGTTATCTAAAGTTAGATACAGTAGAGCTAAAAAATTAAACTGTTTCATCCTTCTAGGACTTGTCAGTGATGCTAAGATACATAGAGCCAAACAACGAATTTAACTGCATCCTAGAGCTATTCCTTTCTTCTAGGACTAGTCAGTGATGCTAAGATACAGTAGAGCCAAACAACGAATTTAACTGCATCCTAGAGCTGTCTCTTTCTTCCAGGACTAGTCAGTGATGCTAAAATATCGAATCAACCGTGACATGTCAACACTGCAATTTGGAAAGCATGATTGTTACTCGCGACTAGAGGATGGTAAATATATTGTGATATCACTTAACTATTAAATCATTGGCTGAAGGGAATTTGAGATTATAAGCAGATCGCCGAAAATGTAAATGAAATATAGACCCTCTTCACCCATCCCACTTTGCCTTCCTCTCATGCGCTCCAGATTCAGTCTAGCTGCTTCAATACCGCCCCAAAGCTTTATCAATATCATAATTTATGTATTGCTGCTATGCCAAGGACTGTATGGTACCTACCTTTGTTTTACATGTTTTCGTACGAATCATTTGATCGATGGTTTACTACTTGCTCTTCCATTCTGAACTAAGCTCGTACGTGTATAGCAGGATTGTAAAAGGTACACAAAAACAGAATTATAGGGCTCTTCGCTACTGATCACCCTCAGTCCTCTACTAGTCTTCAAAGTTTGATGTTAGATATCTATGTATTGTGGATATATACAGAAGGCAGAAACAATGTAGAAGAAGCATATTCATGTTTATACGAAATAAGGTACTTTGTGGGGTAAGCCTACGAATTTCACAGGTTTCACGTGGATGCAGGTTGATAAGGGTTAAGGGAAAGTTTAGGACCATCTTGGTGATCTCGTTGAGAAATATTTTGTTTCTTTGTTCTGTGTTCAGCTGGGTGTGTTTGGTGCTCGTTAGTTTACCTGCTGGTTCCGTTGTTGTGTGCCTTGTCATTTTAGAACCCGACATATCTTTCTTGGATTAACCCAGATTTACATGGCGAGTGTCGTCAATGAAGCAGAAGACGCTTACTTTTCCGTTACACCTGATCTTGCTTTCCTTTAACTTTTAAGGAAGTTTGTTTTGCCCTGGTTTTGGTGAATTTGAGTCTGAATTGTGATTATGTTGACATTTTGGTATTTTCTTGTTGTTTTTGCGGCAGAAGTATATATAAATATTGCACACAAATATATTAAATTTCCAGTATAGATAATTTATCATACAAATGTAATATCCAGATAATTATCGGGAATTCATTTGGAAAAATAAGTACATTAAAATTCTTAGCTATATCGTCAAGGCCGTATTTATTAATGAAACAATTCAATGAACGTATGTTTATAACATTCCACTTAAGAGCGCTGTAAAGCGAATCTATATGTACATAAAGGTTACCTCATATGAACTTTGAACTCTGAACCGTACGAATAGGACAACAATAGTATTAATTCACTTCCTGTTGTGATTATTCCTCAATGTCTGTGATAAAGAGAAGTATTCCGTAATCAGGAGATAATGGGCAAGGAAGCCGACTTACTGAATGCTGTTAAGAACAATGACCATCAAAAACTACAGGTAAATGTGTATTTTATGACGTAGTGTATCCGTGATAGGGAAGACGGGACGCTGCCAGCACTCCCACCCTGGTACACCATAAGCCTATCTTCTGTGTGTTTGTGTCGTGACTGTTTAGACTATCGAGGTAAATATAGTGTATATGTGTAAATCGTATGTGTTAAATTGTACGACAGATATAAACTTGTCAATTTTTAACCGGTGTTTTTCTCCTTTGTATAAGATTTATTGTATAGATTACTAATGTATATATATACAGCGTGGTAATACAACACCTCTGGCATTCTCGTTATCACTGTCCTACATGTCGTAGGAATTTTAACACTTGTGCAAGTAACATCCACTTAGATTTACTTGAGCGAGACGATGGTCTCAGGTACCGTGACGTATGTACAAATATTATCTTTTACATATGGATACTTCCTTCTTCCCGAAAGAAATAGTAAGAAGGTATCATTTTTCTCTAATTTTGTGGTGTGTTTTTCTTCATTTCTAGTCAGAGTTTCGTACTTGAAATACCTCGCATATTCTAATCATTTTATGCCTAAAATGTTTCCTACAACAACAAACGGAAATTCATATCAAGTTTAGATAATAAATACCAGACATTCTTTCTGTATAAATCGAATAAATATATCCTTGTTTTGTGAGCATCCATAGTCTTTTCATAGTAGCTGGTGGTTTTCTTACTGAACAAGATAAGGGAGGCCGGATAGTATGCCATCCAGAGCATGGAGGTTATAATCTTCGAACCACACACATAGGATCTTCACCTGCTGTCACATTGACCTACGTTATTAATTATGATTGCCAGTCGCAATACATTGTGGATTACATACACAAATAACAACTTCTAAAACACAAGTATTAAAAAGCATATGTCCCTTAATCACTATTGATAGCTTACAAATGGAATGTTTTGATACGATTGGAGGATAGAATTCAATCGGAAAGTTGATTCTGAATAACAGAAATAGGAAAAACAACAAGTGCTGTTAACAGGTTCCCTAAAGAGGAAATATTCTAGGAAAGTCGGCAATGGAATGTGATGATACAAAACGGGAAAACGACAATGGGAAAGACATGTACACTGACAAAACGGGAAAACGACAGTGGGAAAGACATGTACACTGACAAAACGGGAAAACGACAGTGGGAAAGACATGTACACTGACAAAACGGGAAAACGACAGTGGGAAAGACATGTACACCAACAAAACGGGAAAACGACAGTGGGAAAGACATGTATACTGACAAAACGGGAAAACGACAGTGGGAAAGACATGTACACTAATAAAACGGGAAAATGACAGTTGGAAGGACAATGATTTAAAGTAAATTAACAATGCAATGTCAATCTGCGTGTTAACAGTACAATTTAGTGACTTAAAATATACATCAATTGTCTTTCTTAATTTTGAAATATTCAGATGTGTTGGTGTGTCATATGAATTTAAAAACAGGACTGATTATCAGAATAAACGTTTTGTATTTAAACATACCACGTTCGCCGTCGTGACGACACAGTTACGTAAACAACAATACAGACAGGTTCTATTGAGTCGAGTCTCGATACAGGTAAATTTTTGTAGATTGTAAATATCGATGTTGCTGTGACCCTTTATGGAGTGTTGTGGTTATAACATTAATTTCACGAATAAGAACAGTAACCAGATATCTTACCTCTGTACAAAGAAAGAGGTCAATCTTTGAACACTAGATCTGAATCTGGGATTAAGTTGTCCAACACTGTAACTTTCAATTTGATAAGTCACAGGAAAAACCGGATCAAGAAAGACATCAAAATATTATGGTTTGTAATATATCGGTGTTAAGCATTGCGATACTCTTTTTTTCTGTAACTTTTCACCTGTAAGCGGAACATGATTAGAATTTGTTATCTCGCAAAAACAGACGCTATTTGAACAATGTTTAAGCTAGCAGTAATAAAGTGTCAAAAGTAAACCGAAAGGTAGGAGATCCCGGACATATCACGCTTTCGTTCAATATTACCTAATAAGGAAAAATCAATTACGGTGTGATCGATTTTCTTCAACGCTGATCTGTTTTTATCAGTATGGCCAGCATGAGTTCGACTGTCTTCATTCATGCTTATCCATGCATACATTTCGTTTTTTATTCCTTAATGAGTTAATGAGGAAGTATGATACGATTTCAATATCTACAAGGACGGACTGAAATTGATCACGGCGATCCGAGACATATCTAACATCAACGTAACTTTATGGAAGCTAGACTTTGCCTTATCCTGTATTGTAGTTTTATTACAGTATGATATATCATTGATTTCAGATTCAAATTCCTGCCGATCACGAGTCGTGATCGAAACTAATGATAGTTCAGTCTTAAACATTCACATTCCCCGATACGACAAGGAGCTACTATCATTCAATTGTAGAGATTGAGTCAAGCCTAAAGAATGTCGTGATCAAATGGTGGGTGTCGTCAATGACACTGAAGTTCATTCTTCAGAACACAAGCTTTTATTCTCCTTGGGTATTTTTCGGGGATTTCCGTGTAAATTATTGATTTTGGGTTTGAATTACGATTTAGTTTTATCTAATGTTTTTTATCTTATATCGTTATTATACTGATGTTTTATACACGTATTTCCTACTTTATTTAGAAGCTGTTGTTACCTGAAAGGGGTTATCAAGTAAAAAAAACGCCAAAGCCCTCATCAACACGTATTCCTGGAGGTCGTATTCGTGTAAAGCTTGACCACATTAACATCAACTGCCGTGAGTCAACAGGGTCCTCCGGATATACCCCACTCTTATTGGCTGTTGAACACGGTAGGATGACGTACACCACGGACAGATAGTACTTTATCAAAACATATTAAATGTTTAAATGAAAAATATTATAAAAACTAATCATGCTATTTAAAATAATAAAAAGTATATATGAATACGTGGGAAATTGGTCGACGAAGAGTAAAGGGATTTGCTCGTGGATTGTGTAAACGAATTATTGATGTGATGTTAGACTGACATCATGATCATTAAATGAGTGGTTCCTTTGATTGTTAAAATATGATTTAAAACGTAGGTGTGAAGTACTGATACTACGTCAATGATTTGTTTTAGGTAATAAGGATATAGCAGAGACATTGCTCTTCCATTCAGCAGACGTTGATTTCCCAGACAACAAAGGGTAAGGATATACCGAGAAAATAACGTCATTTCTGTCTGTCTTCCTCATCTTCTTCCTATCCCAGATAATTACCAAACCTTTGTCTTCCTTCCGTTAACATGTTGTTTCATTTATACAGGTAATTGGTCTCAAATGTACAGTAAATCCGTGCCGATATCATTGATTGTGACCTTACCATCAAAAGGTTCATGATGACATATACCTGAAAACAAAACGTTAAAGTTAATAGCAATATCAATCGGATCCTCTTATCTCTGCAATTAAAGCAAGCTCGAAATGTTAATCCCGTGACAGCGAGTACCTGCTATGACGCTTCTCACAAAAGTGTAGAATCATCATTTATTGTAGCTTAACCATGTCGTAAATTGATGACGTCATCAATGTCGATACACATTTCCCAGGACATTGTCGAGGCACGACGAATATGTATCACACCAACTTACAATATGATACTGTATCTTAAATACACGAGAAAAATAAACAAACATGGGTCCGTTCCGTGGGCAGAAATACATGTATTTCAATATTCGTGTAAGAGAGTGACTGGTGAGCACACGGAAGCAGACTCATATAAGAATCTATTATTCTCCACTGTCGGTAATGTTTCCATGTTGACGAAGTGGTGTCTTTAATGATTGCAATACCCCTTGAAGTTTTGCATGTTTACTTACACAAATAATATTCTTGGTACCTTTGATTTTTTTTTTCGTTTGCCTGTAAATGTTAGTCCTTGTTTCATATCTTCTCACAGAACTTTTTGAGGTTTCCTTTCTGCTTGACATATTCCCGCGAAATGTACTTATGATTTCTTGTTGTTTAACATATTCCCGCGAAATGTTTAAATAATTTCTTGTTGTTTAACATATTCCCGCGGCATGTCCTAATAATTTCTTGTTGTTTGACATTTTCCTGCGGAATGTTGTTTGATATAATGGCGTGGAACAAGTTGATGTGTCTTTGTTTTTCCAACATTCCTTTGCTACCTTATGACATTTTTCATTCTTCCTGTGATGTTTTCAGTGTTTTCTGACAAGATTCCGACTCCGAACTTTTCAGTGTTAGCCATATTCCTATAGTACCTATATTGTCCTTTCTTTATGTTCGACAAATTCTCATTGAATATGCAATGTTTGCGGCATAAGGAAGACATGTCTAGAAATTTGATCAAATAAGAAAATTATCAATGGCATTTATGGTGATATTGATAACACAGCACTAGCATAAAGTGTTTTTATTAAACATTCGACTGATAAGGTCTTGTAGTCCACACACATTCTGAAGAAAGTCTTTGATTTCGTTTCAGAAATACACCGCTTCATTTAGCTGTGTTCGCAGGAAAAATCGACATGGTTGACTTACTGCTACAACATAATGCTAAGGTATGTAATGTCCTAATATAACAGTGGATGTATGTAATGTCCTAATATAACAGTGGATGTATGTAATGTCCTAATATAACAGTATTAAGGTATGTAATGTCCTGATATAACAGTGCTGAGGTATGTAATGTACTAATATAACAGTATTGAGGTATGTAATGTCCTGATATAACAGTGCTGAGGTATGTAATGTACTAATATAACAGTACTGAGGTATGTAATGTCCTAATATAACAGTACTGAGGTATGTAATGTTCTAATATAACAGTGCTGAGGTATGTAATGTCCTAATATAACAGTGCTGAGGTATGTAATGTCCTAATATAACAGTGCTGAGGTATGTAATGTCCTGATATAACAGTGCTGAGGTATGTAATGTACTAATATAACAGTGCTGAGGTATGTAATGTCCTAATATAACAGTATTGAGGTATGTAATGTACTGATATAACAGTGCTGAGGTATGTAATGTACTAATATAACAGTACTGAGGTATGTAATGTCCTAATATAACAGTACTGAGGTATGTAATGTTCTAATATAACAGTGCTGAGGTATGTAATGTACTAATATAACAGTGCTGAGGTATGTGATGTCCTAATATAACAGTGCTGAGGTATGTAATGTCCTGATATAACAGTGCTGAGGTATGTAATGTACTAATATAACAGTACTGAGGTATGTAATGTTCTAATATAACAGTACTGAGGTATGTAATGTCCTAATATAACAGTGCTGAGGTATGTAATGTACTAATATAACAGTATTGAGGTATGTAGTGTCCTAATATAACAGTGCTGAGGTATGTAATGTCCTAATATAACAGTGCTGAGGTATGTAATGTCCTGATATAACAGTGCTGAGGTATGTAATGTACTAATATTACAGTGCTGAGGTATGTAATGTCCTAATATAACAGTGCTGAGGTATGTGATGTCCTAATATAACAGTGCTGAGGTATGTGATGTCCTAATATAACAGTACTGAGGTATGTGATGTCCTGATATAACAATACTGAGGTATGTATTGTCCTAATATAACAATGCTGAAGTATGTAATGTCCTAATATAACAGTATTGAGGTATGTAATGTCCTAATATAACAGTACTGAGGTATGTCATGTGTACATACAACAATACTCAGGTATACCATCATACAACAATGCTAACGTACGTCATGTTCAAACTCAAACTGTGTAATGACTTACAATTCTGATTATCTTTAACCCTACAAGCAACACATTGTGACAGAACAATGATTAGCATGCAATGTTTATATACATAACAACATATATCATAGCGGAATTTTGTGTTTTGGTTTGAATCTCATTGCTACCGTTTGTCAACAGCAGCAGAATTTGACACGTTTACTAAAACATATAATCCTAGAGTATTCTGTTCTACTTTTTTCAGAGAATTCTTTGCAAATATTTTACATGAATCCCAGTTAATTTACCAAAATTAGATAACTATAAAATGTGGAAACCTAAATATCAGCACAATGTGTAGGATTCTGTAGTAGAAACGTTGTTTGTAAGATACCTTATGAGCCTTATTTACACCATAATATCACATCACCAAACCATCACATGTCAATTTTCTTACGTAAGTCAATACATTATCCAACACTGTCCGGATGAACACCAGAGTGTACTAAGATCACAATCACACATGATTTTTAACAGACGATCAGTGAACATGAAATGATAAAGAAAGAAGTCACACCATACCTCAAGACCTTATCAAATAGCCATTGCATACAAAACATTAGTAAATGATAAATTACCCAAGTCACTTAGTGATCTATTTAAATGTAGTGATCACGCACATCTCAAAGTTTCATCTTGACTGGAATAGTAACCAGAGAGAGACAACGATAGGGTACACGGTCACATATACTGGCAGAGTATAATATATACGCATGTATATTTAATGCACAGAACCCATTGTTAAATATAAATTCAGATAGAATAAACATGTGTTCGTGACGTTGTTTTAAAACTATCTTATATATAAATTGATATATTTAAGTATTCATAGGGTTTCTGCACCTCCCCGTCTAGATTTTTACTATTCTTTCGATTACTTTGGGTTTTTCCCAGTCGCTTACTATTCTTTAAAATCGATACCCGTAACTTCACTAAGGAGTCCTAGAAGGACGAAATATGGTGCAGTTTAATTAATTGCTTGGCTCTATTGTATCTAACTCTGAATTTGTATGTATATGTGCTATTCACTTGTTTGTCTTTTGGGAAATCTTCACTTCTAGTTCCACTATATCTAACTCTAAAGTTGTATTAAAATGTGCTTTTCACATGTATGTCAATTGTACAATCATTGAATGTATTTGCTTGTAGGTGGATATTCAGAACAGTGATGGAAATACGTCCATTCATATAATTTCACAATGTGACTACGAACACCGAATTAAAGTCATGCTGAAATTACTCAAGGTAAAATATATCTTGTTTCAAATACAATAATGCGATCAACTACCAATTTTATATTAAGTATTAGCTGTTTTGATTTTATACCGTGATCCGAATCAAGCGCAAGCGTTATTTTCTTGCAATTATCCTTGAATAAGGAAAGGTCAACAGACGGAAATCATTCACCAGTCTACTTTTGGATATGATCCGTCCTAGTAAAGAATTCGATATCAATTTCTATATCTGATATTTCCAACGGTAGAGTGGATATACCTTCCTGTAATTATTCATTGGTAAGGATAGGAAACATGTTATGGGTGTTCTGGGTAACGGAACAAAAACAATATAATTTCCTCAACGACAGCCTCTCTTACCTCGGTCTATAGACTTTACTGTACATAATAAGTTTACGTTTCGTTGACTCTACGAGCCGTACGGTATATAATTTCAGCAATCTATATTAGTCCCGGATTATCATGGGGATCACAAAGTATAAAGAAGGAGATATAAGAGATATTGATAACAAATAAGCTTGTGTTTCCCTCAATCGGATAATGTTGATATTTTTAGAAACATTTTTAATACTGTAAAAACATCAATTTTTGTGGGAAATGTACTCGTCGTCCATGAGTAAATATGTCCCCGATAAGTATACATAGATTTATCAAGCTATAATAAGCCATGAAATGAAGAGTCACGAAAAAAATGAGCCCCATAAAAACCATTCGATACTGGTAATTATCAAGTGTCTCATATTTTGAGTTAGAACATATGTCATGGTGAACGTGACCAACTATATATCAAAAATATGAAGCAAAAAGTCTCCGAAAGGACGTTTTTGTTACAGGTATCATCAACACTTTACACCAGAAATAAGGCCCACGCAACACCGCTTGATGTAGCTGCGATGTACAACAAGAAAGGTGAAGTAGACAATATGTTAAAGGCTATAGATAATATATATATGCATTGTCCGCATATTACTTGTATATATATATATATATACATATCAACTTTTTCTTTAGAATAGAGTTATAAATCATCAGTCTAGAAATTCTTTTCACTCCAAAACTCCAAGTTGTGCCATTTTGTTTCGCCTACAGATATAATGTCAATCATGCTTGACCATGACCTGTCTCTGAAGTAGAATTGTTTCACATTTTTGACAATATTTGCCATTTTGTTTATCCAACAGATGTAATGTCGATCATGCTTTACCATGACCTGTCTCTGAAGTAGAATTGTTTCACATTTTTGACAATATTTGCCATTTTGTTTATCCAACAGATGTAATGTCGATCATGCTTTACCATGACCTGTATCTGAAGTAGAATTGTTTCACATTTTTGACAATATTTGCCATTTTGTTTATCCAACAGATGTAATGTCGATCATGCTTTACCATGACCTGTATCTGAAGTAGAATTGTTTCACATTTTTGACAATATTTGCCATTTTGTTTCGCCTACAGATATAATGTCAATCATGCTTGACCATGACCTGTCTCTGAAGTAGAATTGTTTCACATTTTTGACAATATTTGCCATTTTGTTTATCCAACAGATGTAATGTCGATCATGCTTTACCATGACCTGTCTCTGAAGTAGAATTGTTTCACATTTTTGACAATATTTGCCATTTTGTTTATCCAACAGATGTAATGTCATTGCTTTACCATGACCTGTATCTGAAGTAGAATTGTTTCACATTTTTGACAATATTTGCCATTTTGTTTATCCAACAGATGTAATGTCGATCATGCTTTACCATGACCTGTATCTGAAGTAGAATTGTTTCACATTTTTGACAATATTTGCCATTTTGTTTCGCCTACAGATATAATGTCAATCATGCTTGACCATGACCTGTCTCTGAAGTAGAATTGTTTCACATTTTTGACAATATTTGCCATTTTGTTTATCCAACAGATGTAATGTCGATCATGCTTTACCATGACCTGTCTCTGAAGTAGAATTGTTTCACATTTTTGACAATATTTGCCATTTTGTTTATCCAACAGATGTAATGTCGATCATGCTTTACCATGACCTGTATCTGAAGTAGAATTGTTTCACATTTTTGATGTTTTACCATGCTTTACCATGACCTGTATCTGAAGTAGAATTGTTTCACATTTTTGACAATATTTGCCATTTTGTTTATCCAACAGATGTAATGTCGATCATGCTTGACCATGACCTGTCTCTGAAGTAGAATTGTTTCACATTTTTGACAATATTTGCCATTTTGTTTCGCCTACAGATATAATGTCAATCATGCTTGACCATGACCTGTCTCTGAAGTAGAATTGTTTCACATTTTTGACAATATTTGCCATTTTGTTTATCCAACAGATGTAATATCGATCACGCTTTACCATGACCTGTATCTGAAGTAGAATTGTTTCACATTTTTGACAATATTTGCCATTTTGTTTATCCAACAGATGTAATGTCGATCATGCTTTACCATGACCTGTATCTGAAGTAGAATTGTTTCACATTTTTGACAATATTTGCCATTTTGTTTCGCCTACAGATATAATGTCAATCATGCTTGACCATGACCTGTCTCTGAAGTAGAATTGTTTCACATTTTTGACAATATTTGCCATTTTGTTTATCCAACAGATGTAATGTCGATCATGCTTTACCATGACCTGTCTCTGAAGTAGAATTGTTTCACATTTTTGACAATATTTGCCATTTTGTTTATCCAACAGATGTAATGTCGATCATGCTTTACCATGACCTGTATCTGAAGTAGAATTGTTTCACATTTTTGACAATATTTGCCATTTTGTTTATCCAACAGATGTAATGTCGATCATGCTTTACCATGACCTGTATCTGAAGTAGAATTGTTTCACATTTTTGACAATATTTGCCATTTTGTTTCGCCTACAGATATAATGTCAATCATGCTTGACCATGACCTGTCTCTGAAGTAGAATTGTTTCACATTTTTGACAATATTTGCCATTTTGTTTATCCAACAGATGTAATATCGATCACGCTTTACCATGACCTGTCTCTGAAGTAGAATTGTTTCACATTTTTGACAATATTTGCCATTTTGTTTATCCAACAGATGTAATGTCGATCATGCTTTACCATGACCTGTATCTGAAGTAGAATTGTTTCACATTTTTGACAATATTTGCCATTTTGTTTATCCAACAGATGTAATGTCGATCACGCTTTACCATGACCTGTCTCTGAAGTAGAATTGTTTCACATTTTTGACAATATTTGCCATTTTGTTTATCCAACAGATGTAATGTCGATCATGCTTTACCATGACCTGTCTCTGAAGTAGAATTGTTTCACATTTTTGACAATATTTGCCATTTTGTTTATCCAACAGATGTAATGTCGATCATGCTTTACCATGACCTGTCTCTGAAGTAGAATTGTTTCACATTTTTGACAATATTTGCCATTTTGTTTATCCCACAGATATAATGTCGATCATGCTTGACCATGACTCGTCCCTGAAGTACAACACGACAGCCATCATAGAGTCCGCTATCCGTGGTTACACAGAGATTGTTCAGCTCCTGTTAGATTACGGTGTCAGCCCAAACGGCATCAGCGATCTTAAAGAGACTGGACCTTTACATGAAGCCACTAGGTTCTGTAGGTAGGGTGTTATTACTCAGTTTAGATCATAATTGTTTTAGAATTTACTTCCACAGTAATTTTTTAATGCCATACACATCCCGTATAATAAAAAAATGTTACAACAGCGGTATGTTTATTTTTTATTTTTCGCGTACAGTATCTGACCAAAGAAACATGATATGATATAATTCATTTTGTTATTTTGATTTTTGATCTTAAATATTGTTCCTTTTGCTCGATTTAATATTCTTCTAGTTCATATTGTCCTTTAACTTTTTCTTTACAAATGAGTTTGTAAAAAATGTGATACTGAAGATTATTATACATATCCTGTGATATGTGCTACTTATGTTGTTCTAGATTTATTACGAGTATTGGTCAAAAAGAAGGATATGTTTTTTCATCAGTCCTGAAATCTCATTTCCTTAAAAACACCGTCTTATTTTCCTTTCAAACAATTTCCCTATGTACAAATAAAGCAACTTTTGCTACGCGTCAGATATGTTTGGTATGTTTCTTACTACATTTTTGTAAAAGGTCATTATTTGAATACAGACTGAGCATTATACTTCTTAGGAATCACACACCGGGCGTTGTACTTAAGCTTGTATGGAATTATTATCGATGTGATGTTTAAGGTATGTATTTTGATGTTTCGTCCGCAGAACTGAAGTTGCCCGGATCCTCCTGAATTACGGGGCCAATCCGGCAGTGAGGAACATGAAAAATGAGGCAAGATAATAAGGAGTATATTAACCTGTTTAACTTAAGATCAATAAAAAAAATACAGCGAATATAATTGGTTGGAAATATCAAAGATAAAATAAAATCTTCCAACAAAAAAATTCAGAGATAGGGATTTCATGGAATGAACATAGAAATGATGAGAAAATAGAGAGTGATACCAGGGCATGAGGGACCTCGGTAATGGGAACTGTAATGGATGAGGAAAGAGAGAGGGATACTGGGCTTGAGGGACCTCGGTGATGAGAAATGTAGTGGATGGGGAAAGAGAGAGGGATACCTGGGCTTGAGGGACCTCGATGATGAGAAATGTAGTGGATGGGGAAAGAGAGAGGGATACCAGGGCATGAGGGATCTCGGTAATGGGAACTGTAGTGGATGAGGAAAGATAATTAACGAGGATTCTTGTAAGAGAATATACATATTACAACCAAGTATCTACTATGTATGATGTTGGAATAATGAGGTTCTGGGAAAGCTTTCTTACAAGGCACGATGTTCTTCACATTATTTCATTATGAGAAAAAACCTGTGATTGTGGGAGAGTATGTGTACGGGCGTTCCCAAAGTGAAAAACATTAGATCAGACAGCAATATGTTCTTGGTAATCTTTTGATACATCTCACTACAGTACGTCCCTGATCATATCTGTGTTGTCTTAGTGTGTGCCTTAATAATTTATGGAAAAAAATCATATCCATTCCTACATTTGTACCTGTCTAAGGCGTCTGAATACTCTCTCTGAATTATACTATTTACAATATTTATATTAATTGTCATATCTGTACTAGTGAACTAGTACATTCGTAACTTAACCTGTGCGATCATTCTACGATAACGTATCGTAATTTGAAAATAAAGGTTTTATCTTAAAAACAGTTAATAATATATATACGTCATTCGCAACTAATTATTTTTTAGTTCAGACAATAAGATTGTACTCGTCCAACCTGAAATGTTCTATTATCCTGGTTCAGAATTCTTATGTATCATAGCGGTCCTCTTTGTATTTCTGTCTCTTGACAAATGAGTTATATTGGGAAGTCCAATAGAGCCGTTACTTTATACTATTTAGTGTAATTTCATAAGCTATATGTGACTTAATATCCTGTAAAAATGAAATTAAATACAGAATTATTTCTACATGTAAACATTACATAAAACATTAGAGTCTTAAGTTGCATTTTACTGATTTGTCATTTTACGATAAAAGTCTCAATTATGACAAATATACGGAATAGGATAATCCTTATGAAGATCATATGTCCTTAAAACTGAAAATAAATAATCTGTTTTTTTTTTTTTTTTTTCATTTTTACGGTTGTCATAGAGATTTCATTGAGTAATACTCTACGTTGGTTAGTTTGCCTGTTTGTTCCGTTGCTGTATACCGTCGTCGATGAACCAGAAGACGATTATAATTTTGGAGCATACGGTCTTATTCTCTTGTACTTTTCATGAGTCTCCTTGTAAATTTTTGTTTTGTTCATATTTTGCCCTAATTGTATTGAATTTTAGTTTTGAATAGGATTGTTTATGGTTGTATTGATATGTTGTTATCCCCCACCACACATCCCCCTTTGTGATAACATACATGTCCTCCATTTTGGTGAGGATACATATTTTGCTCGATACAATTGAGTTTCTCCTAATAAACTAATAAACACTTGAAAAAGTACTTTCAAAAAACATGTAATTGTATGCTTTCATTAACTAAGATTTAATCGAATAAATATTATCTTAATCATTGATAAACGCAATACAGAAACTGCAATTAACAAAATTAGGTTTTAGCGCATTAATCTGTGCGGGAAAAATCCGCTTAAGTATATTAACGATAACAAATGTATGTTTACTGTATTCAAATGAATCAATGAATCATAGTAATAACAAGGTGATGATATAAGGTTTTTGTGTTAAAGTTAATTAACAATATTCATACAAAACCGTATCTATTTACAGTCTCCAAAAACATTAGCAGAAGGTCTACCAAAAGTAAAAAGTGAAGAACTCCTGAAATTATTTGAAGGTAAGGCTTCCAAACATTACTGACAACCTGATGACTATACCAATTACCTGGCTTTCCTTAGGTTTTGTCATAAGTATTAGACAGGATTATTTCTATCTCCATCCTGGATAAAACTGGGTACAATATCATCTTGATACTGTTATTGATTAATCTTACTAATTAGCCTTGTGCAGTATGATTCAGTTGCTAGAGTACGTTGTGTTTGATAAAAGCTATTCAGTATATCTCTATCATGGTGTAAATCCCATGGGAAATCTTACGGTCATCGTTCAAAACAGATAACATCTGCACATTTAATATCATGGGTCACACCGTACCATTTGCAAGTATACGTCGTAATCTTCGTACGTTTTGTGATGTTTCAGAAAGCAGAGTCAAGGGCGCTACTGCTACACCAAGATTCACAGAAAAGGACAATGAACAATTTTTCGCAACTCCCGGAAAATGTATGATCAGTTTAAAGTCGTATATTCATAGGAAATTGGCCTTTTGTCTTTTTTTAAGCAATTAATTTCACTGATGATTAATTTCCGTTATCTACAATAGTTTACTTGGAGGTTGATTGATTTTACCCAGGCACTGAAACTTCTAATCGATAACACGTTAATGAAAAAAGTAAAAAAAGCAATACTTATATTATATGATGATAAATAACTAGGTTGGTGTGTAATATTTAGGTGTTTGAACATCTCGAATGTTTATACACCATTGTACATGATATTGAAGTTTTATGCATGTTGTTTGAACATTTTTATTAATTGGTTTATCGTTGCACACGATATTTACATTTTAGGTTATCCTCAATTACCAACTGACCCTTCCTGGACCAGAAACACCCCCGAATACTGCAACAGCAGTACGCCAAACAATCCAAACACTAACTTGTTTGACGGTATACAAACACACAGGACATTATATATAAAGATTTCATATCGTAATTTAAGGACAGACGATGATTTGTATTGCAAAATATCAGAACCAAAGTATAGTAACTATAGTGAATCGATATACTTCAATGAAAAAGAGCCGCCATAAGAACTATCAATACTACATTATATCAATTATTCCCACGTATCCCTGGAGACACTTTTGGGACCAAGTAGATGTAATGGATTTAGACTTTGCTTGTAATTTATTGATCAAAACATTTTCAATATAATGATATAACAATGTTAAATGATTACTTATAATAACTTATTTAATCTATATATAGATACTTAACTATGTCTTGTACCTCTCAGGTAATCAATCCTATCACAAACGTGTGGTGACTAGATATTCAATCAAACAATATCGACATTATACAGGTAATATGAGAACATTCTGGATAATGCAGGATACACATTATGCATGGACCGTGCTGGACTTGCACCAGAGTCATACACTTACGGGCATTACCATATATGGATGGTACGTCACTACGAGAAGCGAGTCATGAATTCACCTGCAGTTTATAATAAATTAATCCCTGAAGGTCGAATCTCATTTTGAGACTTTTTTTGTTAATTAAACAATCATTTCTCTTAAGGGACCACCACTTAATCATCACCACAAAACGATTTCTTTTATCAACATCCAATTAAGAAGCCATGTCTCTAAAGGGATTACCTACCATTAAGTATGCGTAATCTCTAATTACAAATTTGACTCCACTGTTCTTAGATGTTACATTTATTAATTTTTGGGGTTAGTGCACACTTAGTAACTTATAGTTTTTGGCATCATTTCGATGACTTAGGATTGTCAGAGAGTGTTCAATTCAATGAAATCCTTAAAAGGATAAAATTGTCGAAACATGTAATTGAACAAATTTTCCCGACAAATATATTTTCAGGGATAGTCCAGAGATGGTGAAATGTTTTGAAATCCAAAGAGGGATACACCTAAAGTAAGTAACCTGATAGAAGAATGTGGAGGGTTAGTGTGAAGTAGGGAATCTATCATAACATTATAGAAAAAAATCTACAGGGGTCAGTATTACAGACGTTACAGGGTTAGTGTGAAGTAGGGAATCTAGCATAACATTATAGAAAAAAATCTACAGGGGTTAGTATTACAGACCTTACAGGGTTAGTGTGAAGTAGGGTATCTAGCATAACATTATAGAAAAATTACAGGGGTCAGTATTACAGACGTTACAGGGTTAGTGTGAAGTAGGGTATCTAGCATAACATTATAGAAAAATTACAGGGGTCAGTATTACAGACCTTACAGGGTTAGTGTGAAGTAGGGAATCTTCATTATACTATAGAAAATGTACAGGGGTCAGGTCAATATTACAGACCTTACAGGGTTAGTGTGAAGTAGGGAATCTTCATTATACTATAGAAAAATGTACAAGGGTTAGTATTACAGACCTTACAGGGTTAGTGTGAAGAAGGGAATCTTCATTATACTATAGAAAATGTACAGGGGTTAGTATTACAGACCTTACAAGGTTAGTGTGAAGTAGGGTATCTAGCATAATACTATAGACAAATTACAGGGGTCAGTATTACAGACCTTACAGGGTTAGTGTGAAGTAGGGAATCTTCATTATACTAAAGATACCTCTACAGGGGTCAGTATTACAGACCTTACAAGGTTAGTGTGAAGTAGGTTATCTAGCATAATACTATAGAAAAATCTTCAGGGGTTAGTATTACAGACCTTACATGGTTACTTTGAAGTAGGGTATCTACATTATAATAAGAAAAATGTACAGGGGTTAGTATTACAGACCTTACAAGGTTAGTGTGAAGTAGGGTATCTAGTATTGTATTGTACATGAATGAACAGGTAGTTTATTAAAGAGGATTATAGAGAGGGTATCACTGCAGACGTAACTTTGTTAGTGTAAAGTAAACTAATTCAGGTTTACCGTTACAGACTTGACAAGGTTAGCGTGAAGTAGACTAATTCAGGGTTAGCATTACAGACTTGACAAGGTTAGCGTGAAGTAGACTAATTCAGGGTCAGCATTACAGACTTTACTCGGTTAATAGACGAATTATAATGCAGTTGTTATCTGATTAGTGTGCAGTAACCTTACAACATAAAAGTCAGTATCTGGTAAGTGTGTAAGATGGTTGCTGTTACGGTGCAAAATATAGTTGCATCCATATTCAGTTGTGTAAAGAATGCTTTACCAATCTGTGAGATTGTGTCCTCTATAGATGTTTTCCCATTTTTATGCTTCTAGGAAATTTTCGGGGGACATATAGTCGCTGTCTTTAGTTATTGCCCTTTGTTAGAAACATATTCTAAATTTTTGGGGGAACATATAGTCGCTGTCATGTCCGTCCGTCCGTGTCCCGAGCATAACTTTGACCATAGTTGAAAATGGATAATGAAACTTGTGTTCATTGGTCATACAAAGGGGATGTGCGATGTACTAAATTATCACCAACATAAGCATAGCTTTGCTTGCAATTAAGGAAGGATAATGAAATATGGTGTAAATATTGATCAACGAAGATAATGTGCATTTTATTATGCTAGGGTCCATACCTCCTCAATAACAGAGTTTTTGTCCTTTGTTGAAAGTTTCTTGTCCGGAGCATAACTTTGCCGAAAGCTAAGAAAGGATCATGAATGCTAGTGTGCATAGATTGATCATACTAAGATAATATGCTCAGGGCCATCGACTCCGACTAGAGTTGTTACCCTTAAAATTTTGTGTCTGGAACATTATTTTGCCTTGACATTGAAACGCGATTTATACATCAGTCATATAAAAGCAAGTTGCATCTGAGGATTCTTGGCCAATGACCCCTCAGTACAGAGTTGTTGCCCTTTTTAAAATTTCATTACAAGAGCATAGTTTTGCTTGCATTAAGATTAAGAAAAAGAAACTTGGTGTATACATTTGTCATGTTAAGAGAATATGTTGTATGTAAAATTCTCAATTATAGGCCTTTGTCAAAATGTTGTGTCTAGTGAGTTGTTTTCAGGGTGCATACATCAGTTTCACTGATACTCTTGTTTATTATTTCAGAGGTCCCTGGACAACGACGGGCTCATTTATATGTAAAAGGACGGGAAGCACCAATCCTAAAGAGGATGGTAGGCATACATTATATAATAACAGCCGGACCCCGGTTCCTCAAATGCTGGTTAGAAATAACCAGTGTTTAGTAAGAATTAGAAAAAAAAAATCTTTATTATTTCACAGCTATAGTTTTGTTGAGATAGGTCAGATTGATATATTTTGAGTATTTATTTTGCACTGGATGTTGCAATATTACTTGAACCTGTCAGTAAGCGTTTGTTAATCGTCAATAAATGAATAACAATAACTACAAGACAACATTAACAGAAAGTAGTAATCACATGTCTTATTGTTTGATTGATGTTGAGGACAACGTGAAGAGTTATGACCTACATGTACTGCAAAACCTTCGATATATTTGTTTTTGCACTTTAAGCGTACAAAACAGTCATTTAATGATCTTTTGCAAATTGATTTTTTACCCTGTGTTAGAAAAATTATATTTCTTTGGAGTAACCCACCGATTGTACAGGGAGTCCCATATAAATCGCCTTCTATCTTGTTAAGTTTGTTAGAATAATTAAGAATGGTATTCAATTTCTTTGCCATGTTATGCCAATTAATTAAATCTTTTATCTATCTTATCTGTCGTATTCCCAGCTGTAGCGCAGTCGTTTAAAGATTTTGAAGCCAGTTCCCGATACTGGCGACTACAAGTCCTCAGTAATTATGGTGGCAGTTACACGTGCTTCCAGGGAGTTGCACTGAATGGATCTGATGACAGGGTGACAGATACCTTAAGTAAACTGGGGTTCTCGAAGTACGTCGACCAGTTCATTTGCAAGGTAAAAAGTCGCTCAATACATATTTTGATTAAAATATCAATGCTGTGGGGAACTCACACTAGGCACCATATATCAATCTGACTCTGCCTTTTCTTTTCAGTTTTATATCAAATTAAATATATGCTGCAATGCACGTGCCGATTTGATTTAAACATATTTTATTGTAACAAGTACAATGGGATTGGGCATCAGTTTTGCAACTTATGTTGAGCCCTTTCCGCATTACGTTTGACAAAATACATATTGACAAGACAACACATATAAAAACACATAATTACACGGGGAGGGGGAGATGTTCATATATACAATTTAGACAATTTCGTGTAAATCAATTTCTCAGCGGGCAGCACTAGTATATAGTATGTTACACTGTACATTTCTCAATGCCTTCGAGCTATTCTATTATTGACTCTGCTGTATCTAACTCTACGTTTGTATTAAAGGATACTATTTACTTCACTTGTACTTGTACACTTGTACAATCTTTATATGCATTCTATTTGATATTACCAAATGTCAGTTTTCAAACTTCTACATCATTAAAAAATTACTTTTTAACAGGGTTGTAATACATACCGGAAGTTTCTGCTTCAAGACGATACAGATCTACAGGAAGTGGTCAGTAACTATATCATATTTTTGTTTTAAACGCTGGTTTTTGTGTCAGTTGGTGTTACCGTCTCATGATTAAGTAATGCTATTTAAGCAAGGTATCCTTGCAGTAGTTGAAAGCTAAGTAAATGGAAAACTTGTGGAGGCCCGCTGCATTTTATCTCAATTGAGGTAATGTTCTTTGCCTAAGAACACAACCACGACAATATATATGTTCATTGTCAAGCTTTCTGTTTTCTAAAATGAATTCGGGCATTTCAATGAAAACTTTTGTTCGTGTTTTGTTTCTTTAATGGTTCGGGCATTTCTAGAGAGAACAAATGCTTCTCTTGGGATTGGGTGTAAGCAGCCAAGCCAAAGAAGGCGTGAATGCACGTTTTACCGCCATGTCGTAAATCAAGCAATAAAGATACCAATGATTCGATGTGAATTTCATATTATCTTCTATTTCGAAGAAGTAATGTATTATATCATCAGATATATGAAAATTATGGAATTGATGAATATTTTTGGGCTTGTGCATCTGCCCGTCTAGATCTAGGGTCTTTAGCATCACTCAGAAGTCTTAGTAGGACGAATTAGCTATGTGATGAAGCTAAATTCATTGTTTGGCTCTGCTGTATTTAGTTCTAAACTTTTCAAAAGGTACTTTTACCTTGTGTGTCTTTTGTACAATCTTTGATGTACTAAGCGTGCTGAAGTGTGACTTTTTAAGCTGATGAAATATCACTCTCCAAGGTTAACCTTAACAAGTGAAATTTAGGTTCCCACGGGTGACTGCAGCCTTCTAGTCGATAGATTATCAGTCCCTGAGGTTGACAGTGACCCTGTAGCCAATAGACTATCAGTCCCTGAGATAGACAGTGACCTTGTAGCCGATAGACTATCAGTCCCTGAGATTGACAGCGACCTTGTAGTCGATAGACTATCAGTCCCTGAGGTTGACAGTGACTTTCTAGCTGGTGGACATTCAGTCCCCGAGATACGCCACACTCTGTAACTGATGGATTCTCATTACACGAGATTGGCCCTGTTGGACGTGCAGTCCCAGATGTTTGCCATAACATTGTAGCGTGTGGACCATAGGTCCCCGAGGATAATCATAAGCTTTTAACTAGATGACGGTCAATTCTGGTGGCATAAACGCAATGGAAGGAACATTTATCATGTTTTTCACATGAAATATCAATTTAAGAGCAATTTCATCTCTAAGTCAGATATTATAAGTTTATATGTTTTAATGGTTTCCTCTCTTTATGTTATTTTTTTTTCAAATATTTCAGATGTTAGGTAATATCAATCTCTGGTGTTGAATATGAAGCTAATGGTTAAATGACTACTTCACAAAGATTTACAGCTTAGTCCTTGAACCAGACATTGGGGTTAGGTAAAACACCAAATAATGAATTGCAAAAACTACAACACAATATAAACAGAAAGAAGTATTAGAGACCCATATCCTTCCGCTTGGTTGTTCTGGAAGACAATGTGGGAAGAGTTATGAATTGCACTCTTTTGTACTGCACGACCTTCGCTATATTCTTCCTCTAGGACTATCTGACACTAGTCTTATATATCACTCTCTCACTCTCTCTGGTATTAGATATTCAACAAATGGTTCAGCATTGTCCTATCCTATCGGACATCTGAAGACCAACCCTACATAGAAGGAGATTGAGAAGCCATGCTATCACACTTGATTGTGGTGATTAGTTTTCTTTCACTTCAGACAAAGAAATCTTACATTAGACACAACGTATGATTTACCTTTCTCTTACTTTAGACAACATATCGACGTATATAGACGTCGACATATCGACATATAGCAATAGATTTTGCTTGCTGGACAACAAAACACTGAGAAACCAAGATAATGTATTGATTGAAGTAATTAAAGAAATATGTTTAAAAAATGATAATATGTTAATTATTAAAGAGCATTTACCTCAACTCTCGCACTCACAACGCCCCCCAAATAATTACTTTTATTATCCTTACAATAGTCATGGATTTCTGCTTATTTATGGGGGGGGGGGGGGGGGGGGGGGGGGGGGGTTGCAAGCAATAATTAGTTATTTTTCAAATCTATTTCAACCTTCTATGACCGAACTTACTGCTTACTTGATTATTCGTAGGAAAGAGAAACTACGTCAGCAAAGTACTATACAATAGTTGTGGCAAACACTTGTTTCAACTGATATTCAAAATTCTTCTTCTTTGTGCGATATGAAGCTGGACCTGTTTGATGCTGGTTAGTTTGCCAGTTTGTTCCTTTGTTTTATACCTTATTTAAGAGCGTGTACATTACTTACTTTTTCAGGGGTCTCCTCGTAAACCTTTCTTTTGTTCATATTTCACCCTAGTTTTATTGAATCCCAATTTTGGATTATAAATGTATTGACATGTTGGTATTTTATTTTTTCGTTCGTGTTAGATTATTCTTGCTTTCATCTATTCTTGAATGGAATTTCGATCCAGCAGTGTTTTAACTACCTTGCATATTGCAACTGTAAAACATCGACAGTTTGCAAGCAAATGAATAGGCCTAATTCCTTGTATTTGTGTGTCTATTATCATCTACAAATGAAATTAATCCAAATTAGTGAAAAAATAATTTATCACAGCCGCAGCATGAGAATTAAAAGTACAAATGTATACATGTTCAAACGAGTAAAAGTTTTTTTTTTTTTGATTTTATCTAAATGAGAAGAGGTTAAAACGAAAGTATTGTGATGTTATTATCTTTAATTTTCAAAGATAATGTTAGATACGTAAATGTTTATATAAAGCTATTACAAAAAAAAGCATTAGTGTATCCTTATTATCTTAACGAGAGTAGAAAACAATCAAAACAATGATGATGCGATTGAGAAACAAATTATATGTATTGCAGTATATCAGTATACTAGTAGATGATGAGTAGAATTAGTTAACTTGACGTTATGGGGTTTTTTGTGTGTGTGTGTTACCGACAGTGTACTGACGAAGATGTGTCGACTTTGTCAACAGAACTGAAGAAGTTACGGAAATCAGGTAAGTTTCCTGTAGTCTCTGTGTTCAGATTTGGAGTGTTAGAACACTGTGTTAATAAGACTGCCATTTACTACATACTTTATGTTGTAATTATTTCCCTTTCCTGTATCGTAGATATTCTTAGAAGGTATTGTCTATATTGTTAAAATGTTTCACTTGTGTTTGTGATTTACATTTTTCCTGTTTGTTGTCTTTCGTTTTAGGTGTATGAACTGTTGTTTAAATGAGTTACTCATTCTCGCTCGATGTAGTAATGCTCCGTAATGTTTCAAACGTGTTTTGACATCAAAACAAACATTACGTCCTAATGCTTTGGCGTTGCGTTAAATCTTTTAGTGCTGAAGATGTTTCCATTGTCAAACCTTTGTTGAAAATTTGAAGTTAGCACTACGAAAACTTCTAGAAGACAGAGATTAAACATTTCTCTATTAGACAAATGTTACATGCTTGACAGTTTCTACAAAAGAAAAGGTCAAATTGTACGTTTAAAAAAACATGCCAAATCATACAAAATAAAAAAAATCGCTAATAGCTTGTCTTTAACGGCGAAATGTCTACTGTTGGGAACAGTACTATAGTAATACTGATAACACTTTTAGTATTCAAGACTGTCTAGAGCAACAGCATAAGCCGAGTTACACGTCAAAAAATCTAAAACATCCAACAATTGGTAAATCTTATTTAAATAAAACAAACAATACATGAAATAAAATAATAATTTACCAGTACTTGTTTTATTGGTTGATCATATCTTTTTATTTATTCTTTCGAAGAATTCAAACTTACTAATCCAAAATGGAAGCAGCCGCCTCCATATTCCTGGCCAGTTGGGAAGTGTATACCGGATATGGTTGTTGTAGGAGACATTGGGTGTTCTGATGAAATGACGATGTCTGTTAAAGGTAATAGTACATGTATAGGAGACAGAAAGCTTGTGGAATAAATAAACTGAACACGAATATAACTAGTAATCACCTCGCTTATCTTTCTTCGTATGTGAATCAAGTGTTGATATTTCAAGACCGACTACTGTCCACATTAAGGGTTTATATCATAGTCTCCAAGTAATAATGGAAAAAAATACACTTAGTAGACATCTGATGAAAATGAGATTATATATTACCTTTCCTCTGCGATACGAAATTACAAGTGTAATATCAATTAATTTGTAACTAGGGGCTACAGGTATTTTGCCTTATAATGGTACTAGATTTGTGTCTATCTTCTTTCCAAGATGGTTGTGATGTTTTACAAGGGAATCTGACAATCTGTCTTGAAGCCACTAGCATGCAGTCAGCTCCAACTGCAACATTTACTGGAATTAAAATGAGTAAACGTGAGTGAATAACGATGGAAGACAGAAATATGCAGTATAATTTTGCTATATTCTTATTAATTAAACAGCGAGAAAATGAGATACTCAGCAAATGTTTTCATACTGAATCGAAATCTTGGGAAATGTAGGCTAACATCTTTATTAATATATTCACCTGTTCTCAGCCAAACGAAATTATCAAACAATATAGATGTGATTTATAAATTTTTAATCTAGCTAACATTACCTTATATTTCTAGATGGAATCTACAGGATACTTGTGCATTCCAAATCCAACCCAGATATAATGTTAAGTGCACCAACAAATATAGAAATTAGTGAGTTTGATATTTATTTTACCTTTAATATTTTAACTAACGCAACAATGCAAATATTATAAATTTCATATGAGCAAGAAATTAAAGAATGACCGGGTTACGTGATAATAAAATCAGAGGACGTGTTTTTCTTATCGGTATAATAGTTATACGAAAATGCGGCTTAAAGTATATTGTGATATGCAGCGCTGCATATCATTCGGCGAATTACAAACTCCACATCCTGCTTTTGTATCTGTCATACACAATGAGAATTATTGTAGTTATTATATGTAATTATCAAATAAATTAATATTCACTAGTAAATTGTAGAGTTATTGAACTTATTTAAACCGCTTTTATCTGTTTATTTTTCAGAACCTCCATCCAATCTGTCAAAGGAAAATAAAGATGCGTTTGAAAGTCTGGAGACGATGTTAAGTGATCTTGCGAGTTCCCTTGACCTGCCAAGCTGATGAAACACTCCACGAACAATGATAGTTTAGCTTACATTAAAGGACGCGTTTCCGTTTAAGACGGCTTCCAGCATTACAGCTACATAGCTAACTCATGAGCGTGGAAACTGTCGCTATTGACAATTAATATCATATTTCAACTACAAACTGTACAAATGTGAAAATATTAAGATATTTCGGGTTGAACTGAGAAACTGACGTATTTTATTTAGTCTACAGCGCATCAGTATACTAGTGTAAATATGTATACACAACAAAAGATGTAGTATTTCTCTTCAGCTGTTAAACGGTTAAGAGGTGACCTACATATAACAGTGCCTGTTTTTATTAACTAAGCTGTAGAGTTACAGGAGTTTGCAGTTATTGATGACACGCGGTGCGGTCTTAACATTTCTCATCAAATACCGGAAACAGGAAATTGTCGTAGTCGCATGTTAATCTTCACGCCCGGTCATTGCCTAGCAATCCAGTGACAACTATTGTGATGTGATAATTTAACAAAGTCAGTTTTATAATGTGAAAAAGTCAATCAATACATAGACATGGTTCATCAATAGAGTTATCGTCACCTTCCTTAAATATATCAATATTCCGCTGGTAATTAATGTTTACAAAACGTTTTGGTTTTGTAAGTTACGTCACTCCGCTTGTAAAATTCCAATAATGCGATGAAGTAATAAACACGAAATTTCCGGATTACCGTTACATGTAAACTCTTTTAAATTGACGTAGAGAGAACTAGAGGCATTACCATGTAAAATAACAGACTATGATTACTTGTGCATATATACAACACGTTTCAAAATCCTGTAGCGTTTTCAAAGCATTATGATTTCATGCAATATATATATTCTGAACACTACACACGTGCTTAAGATGTCTTTTTCAGATATCTTCACTGACTGATTATACAGCCACAACTTAACCTTCTAATTACTATCTCAAGTCCGAATAGACAGTATTTTGTCAAGATTAACAAAATATAATGGGCTCTGTGGGCCTTTATTATTCACCTGTTCTTCTGTTGATGGCGAACCGAAGATATTGTTCAAAGAGTCGATATTTTAACTAGCTTGAAGTCCCGTTGCCCAAGCATGATTATGGCGATTATCATTAATCTAGGCCATTAAGTTCAAAACTTCAGCACTTTTCTCCAGCCTTGAAAGTTTTCAAGGTGATTCGTTGGAAAGGCAAAATAAAAAATATCCAAAAACTGCTATTACTTCATTTTCGTTACAAACACTTGAGCAGCAACAATTTCGTCTCATCAACCGCTTTTAAAATCTTTTTCATGGCGCATATCACCAACAATGAACATTACTGTTATAGAGTTGTTCTTGCGACATATGGTGTACCATAACTGTAATTGCGAATTCTACAGTCCTCTCCCAAACCTCCCTCCCCCTACAAAAAAAATGTGTTAAAGTAAACACATTGGCCGAATTTTGGAATGGCAAAATCATTAATCACTCCCAGATTAGTTACATAAAGACTTGGTGAACTAAGAATTTTTGTTCCTGTCCTACACTAAAAGGGCCGCATTCGATCGCTTCATCACTTGTACAATGCACAGGATGTTTTATTAGCATATCTACTGCGAGGTGAAAAGTTATAAATGTTTGAGCCATCGTTTTAATGTAATTATTATATACCAGAATCACTGTTACTCCTTGTCAATTATTCTTCTATTGAAAATTTTATTATACAGGACGATATTTATATTGATTTTGGTTGTAATTACATGAATCCACTGTATGTTTGATATACTTAATGTAAATGTATATAACGTATATATATGCTCGTTACCTGCCGTAAACATCGATATGAATACCACGTGAAGCACCAGAACAATTAAATTGGTCTAATCATGACTTTCATAAACAGAAAATTCCATAAACTTTATCTTTTGAAATCCCATGTTACTATTGTCTTTTGAATTCTGTTAGCATTGTATGTTACTCGCTTTTTATCCGCCGTCTGTTGTGTATCCGTCAATCATTCATATGTCTGAGTTACCAACAACAACAAAAAACAAAACAAAAAACAAAACAAAAATCACTTCAAGGCGCATATTGATATCAATGAACATTACTGTTATAGGGTTGTTCTTGTGCCATATGGTGTACTATAACTGCGAATTTTACAGCCCTCTATCTCTCTTTTTGTTTAAGTATAAAGAAACGCCACTTGTTTCAAATTATGAACATAAAATGACAATTAGGCGTATATGTGCTCCCCTGACCCACCACTGTGGCCTAATGGAAGGGTCCAAAGAATCCGTACCAGACTTCAACATTGGAATGTCGTATGATACCTAGTCACTACAAAAATATCTCTGTCAGGACTCGGGTGATCGTGAAAACTCCTGGGCCTGTTGTCTTGCTAATATCAGGAATGTGTACAGGTGACCAATGACAATGCAGAGTTATTGCAGTAATAAACGTGATAACGAAGATATGTTTGTGTTAATGTAGTGTTTTATAATGCTTAAAGCTAACACCGTACCCCACTTTGTGAGATGGTATGGCAAATCGGACACTGGAAAGTCAAGCATGTTCCGTTTTCTGGGAAAGGCTAACCTCTAACAGGAAGGAGCATTAAACACAGGATTGAATTAGCAGCGGATGGTTCACTTATTTTGTTCGGTCCTGACCGTGCATTTTAAAAACAACTGTGAATGGACGACTAAAACAATTACTCCTTACTATCCAACGAAGATGACAAAAAACACACATTAACGAGAAGTGTTCTTCTTTTCTTTTTTTATTAATCAAGTCATGAAATACGCGAGTGTACTGTTATTATACATTGTTAAGCTGACTTAACAATTTTGCCGAAAACGAGATTGGATATTGACTGGCTAAGGGACATGGCGTCATTCTAAGAAAGTGTAACTTGATAACAATGTGTAAATAATCCATACTGCTACATAGTGTAGAAGATACCTATTAAATTCTCCCTAATGAGAGACCGCATTTATCAACGGTTAGCTTTAGTCGGATCTTAATTTGTTGATATATCAATTTTTGGAAAGGCAACTCTCGTTGAAGATTTTACAAACGACAGACAAATAAAGAGCACCTTTAAAGATAGAGTGAGATTCAGTAGAGCCAAACAATTAACCACACTGCATACCGCCATTCCGTTATTGTAGGACTTGTCAGTCATGCTACTGTAAATGGTCAAAATTTTGAAGGCTAGGGTCGAAACGATCGAGAAAAATCCAGTGTGACCGAAAGGAATGTCAAAATCTAGATGAGGATTGCACTTTCAACAAAATGCAGTATTTTAGTATATTCAAAATATGATCATTTCATATGAACGTAAAGTACATGTGTACGTTCAGAGCCGTTCAACTATTCAAATGAATTAAAACGAGGCAGGCAAGTTACGGTAAATATTTAGTTATCATCTTATTATATTATTAAAATCAAATTCTGACAATGAATATCTAAGACAGTCTCCTGATTCCAGAATTGGATTAAACAAAATATCAGAGGATAATGCCTATATATGTATGAAAATCCCAACCTTCGTGTAGAGAAACATACCTTAGGTTTTAATAATTAAATCATTTCACCCAAAGTTTTCAAACAGGTGACAAACTTAATGTTCTGAGTTCAAAGTGTGGATGGAGGCTTCACAAAAGTTGCGATCAAATTTTCACAATGTACACTATTTGGCAAATATTTGAACTGTAAACAAAAGTATCCTCAACACAGTTTCTTAATGTAACTAGACTAAATCAATTTTATATTTTTTATTACTCATAAATACAAAGCTGTTTTAATCATGCTTAGAATTTGAAGAAGTTTATCAAAGATGACCATGGAGATCCTCTCATACAGAATGAGATTCTACAAAGAGAATACATGAGATCAAATTAAACTCTAGTTTTAAAACTGTCTGTGTAGTTTGAAAGCATTACATACAAATACTCCTGTTTAACATATGAAGAAGACATTATACCATTAATTAATTTACTTAGCCTGTGTACTGTTTATCTTTACCAGATACTGAGTCCATTGTTATTAATTTCACAAGCTGTCTTTACTGTTTCTACAATTGTAAATCTCTAACAATGATTACACAGCTCGGAGATTTTCATCTTTGAAGAGAAGTGCAAAACAATTCATTTGAATTTCAAACAACATCCAAAAACATTATCATATATAATTTCCTTGACTTGTAACTGGCTTTGATTGGTTAAAAGAAAATTCTAACCATAACAAAAGATTACAATTATAAATACTAAGATACAGATAAATATATGTAAACTCCTTTATCATAATATGGTTGACCTAGTTTTTTTTATAAGTAGCATGTTTAACATAAAAATACCTTTAAGCTTCTTGCCTCATTAACAAATCACATAAACACTTTATAAAGATTCAAAAAGCATTTTCTAAGAAAACTCATTATGCAGATTTTGTTTGGTAGTCTTTTTATACAACACTTAAAACACAGAAATTTTAAAAAATACACAACAGATTCACTCGCAGAAAACGTTTTGATAACTAAATATGGTATATTTCTGATCTATCATTACATACAACATTCAACATATAGTTTTCAGGCTCCCCAAATTATAGTATCATTGTCCAAACATCACACTAGCAGAACCATACCTCACTAATTCAGACTAAATGATCATACAATATATAAAGTAATTATACATCATGTCATATAAATAACATCCAAATCCATGTTTTCAATATACAATGTAATAAAATATCAATAAAAATAAGTAATTTATAGAGTCCAAAATCATATCATAGCACAGTTACACTTTTCATATCTATCTCAAACTAAAGTATCTTGATCTCTCTCCAGACTCTCTATCTCACAGTGAGACTATCATTACAAGCTTTCTTGTAGCCACCTTAAATAGATTTGAAGATCACCTTGTTAGTGAAATCTTCTCACTGATAATGTTCTTTAGCTTTTAAAGTTTGTATAATATACTGAAACCTGCCCTGCATTTCCTCAGCTTTGAATATGTATATACTAGTAAAAAACACAACCAGCAGAAGTTGGGAGAGGGACTGGGGGTGGTGGTTATTTCATGAGGTTAGCTAAAACAACTGTTTTCTAGAGTTCTCTCCAATATAATTATTAATACTCTATATCTGTTCAGCAAGCTAACTGTAATCAGAAACACATTACATGTATTACTGTACTGACGTAAACGTTTTTAGAACCTCTCACGAGATTTAGTTTCTATTTACCCATAATATCATACCCTCATGGTCTACACTTCATCACACTCAAGTGGTTATCAGTTATTGTTAAAGGCCACATCTGAAAACTTCTGACAAAACATCAAACAACGCTACTTATCTTACAGATATTTCTAGCTGTGTGTTGGTACCTGCTGTTGTTCTCATTTGAGCATATTGGTACGACAGTCTCAAAGGATTTAAATATCATAAAGACTTAAACCAGAGCTGATCAGAGATAAAGTTATATTGGTCAGAGTTGAATCAACATCTCCTAGGTGTGTTAACAATGGGCCACACCTCATTATACCCCAAACCCCTGTTGTTTTCTGTTGAACATCACACCACTGTACCCAACACTCTCCTGTTATTTGATGTTTGTGTCACACCTCTGTATATCCACCATCCCTGTCCTTTGATTTAAGATTTTCCCTTTGTACAATTATACAATATGAACAGTCTAGCTAATCAGTTTTAATTGGTTATTATGTAACATGATTTGAAAATGTTAAAAACCAAATACTGGTAACATATACTATAGTATCATATACCAATATGGCTGTTAAGTTTCCGTCAATCTATTTCTCATCACTTTTGAGAAAAGAACAAAATGATAACAAAAGATATGTCAGAAAAAAATGACAGTGGTCCATTCGATATTTCCTGACATGCAAACGTCACTTCTGCTTCACTCTTTCGGTTTTCAATCTCAACAGGAACTCTTCCTTTCATAACATTCCACATTAACAATGACTGTGTCTGCATAATGATACAAGTTCTCAGCTGAAGTTTCACGCAGATTTTCATCAAATGATAAAAAAACTAAATTCCATGAGCACAAACAACATCATGTTGAACCACAATACACTCCCTACAGACATAAGCCTGTCTGGGAGTTATCTGTGTTGATATTTTTCTGTTTCTGTACAACACATCACAGAACCAATATTCACTCCTTACAGATATAAACCTTTATACTATACTAGACATATTTTCTGATGGGTACATCTCTGTAATAAAAATTTCACTTACTCATACATAAAGAACAATTAAATATCAAAACCGGATTGAGAAAAACCGCGAAAAACTAACATTCAATAACCACATGTATAGAGAAGGTCATCCGCCACATTTGAGGAGTGTCCCCAATGATGTACAGAACCCTCTTGATACTAATGAATAAAATAAACAAGAAGAGGAGCAACTTCTGAAGCCAAGCATCTTAAAACAAGTTTGATGAAATTTACAAAGTATTGTTGCCATGAATTCTAGCACATATAGGATTTCAATTTGGGAGGAAATTATACTATCCCAGAAAAACCCATGTAATGGGTAGCATACAACTTTTATTCTTAATCAAGGAATCAAATCCAAGATATCTTGGTGAAGGGTTACTGCTAACTTCTGTGCCCCTCAACTGTCCTATTACTGCAGATAAAGAAAACTCCTAAACACATTGGTTAGTGATACTACTGCACCATCCTACAACCTTATACTGCAGATACATACCTTAAAATCACCTAGGCTCACTTGTTCAGTACTAGTGTCTAAGTCACTCAGCTGTACTAATATTGCAGACACATACCATACTGTCACCTAGGCTCACTTGTTCAGTACTAGTGTCTAAGTCACTCAGCTGTACAACTACTGCAGATACAAACCATACAGTCACCTAGACTCACTTGTTCAGTACTAGTGACTAAGCCACTCAGCTGTACTAATATTGCAGACACATACCATACAGTCACCTAGGCTCACTTGTTCAGTACTAGTTTCTAAGCCACTCAGCTGTACAAATACTGTAGATACATATATCATCGAGACCCAGTGGTTCATGACAGTTATTAAATCATGAACACATCTTTGATGCTGAATGGTATCAAAACTCCTCCAGAGAAGTAGTTATTTACCATCAGATGAGACTGTAAATACTTTTATCGCATCTTTAAAAAATGAATAAAATTTACTAAATTTAACTTTAACAGTTACTTTTTATATTGCCAAATAATTAATAAAACAATACCATACAGCTATTTTTATCTGTTTTTGGAAAGAAAGAACATTTTTGTAAATTTGTGTTTATGATAAATTAAGATAAACTAGTCATCAATACAAAACCTCTGGTGAGACATCTCCATTCCTATTGCACACAAAATTTACCATCAATAAAACATCTCTTCTAAAACAGTTAGTCTAATTCAAATTCACTGCCACTGTCTTCATCCTCCTGGAGTCTTCCACGCAGTTCTCCAGTTGTTGTGTCTTTGATAGCCTGGTTTATGATATCATTAGATGGTAGCAGCCCAAAACTAAAACAAACAATTCACAATTATTTTATCTTTCATTTTAATTAATCCAAGTGAATAACAAAATTTATAAGATATCAAAAGCAAATTGAAACTGAAAAGTGATCCAAGCTTTTTTATCATAATATAATCGCACATCATGACAAATCCTTTATAATCAACACAAGAAAGTAATGTTAGAAATTGAGAGACATTTTGTAACTGACTATTTTAAGTCATTTCATTATGTTTGATTATGAAATGAATATCCAAAACACTAGTATATGTACCAAAACATTAAACACCAAACATTAAAGGACCATAGGATTTTTACTGAAATTTTGTATAGCTCTGAATGACCGTCAGTCTCTAAAGATATCCATAAAGAATGAAGTAAGAATATTATACATATTATATCAAGTGGTGATAATAGAATGTGACACTTACTCATACAAGAAACTTTCTACATCTGAGGAAATAAAATCTTTGCCTAGCTCCTCTGTCAATTTAACAAAGTTCCCGATCAATTCCCCTGCCTTATACGCTAACAGTGCAGGGACACCCATCTTGGCCTGAAGTAAAAATTAATCAGTATTATGGTCTTAATTAAGTTATCTGCATTTCATGTCAAAGATATCAGAATAGCTAAAAGAACGGACAGGACTTCGATCAAACACTTTCCAAATCATTGAGTTATTTTATCATTTTGTACCATAATAAAATATGACATTGGCGAAGGCATGCATGGACATGCAAGTGCTAAAATTATAAATGAAGAAAGAGCCCTGCTTAAATAATCATCCAATCTTTGTTGTTGAGTCTTTATTTGAATCTGGTTCTTTAAATCAAACATGTACCACGATACTTACAAACTTATTACTGAGCTTGGTCTCTGATGCTTTTATCTTACAGAACTTCACAGATGGGTAATCCTGTGCAAGGCATGCTAAACATCCATTCATGGTCTTACAAGCTTGCTCCTTCTGAAGAGAAAAAATTACCAGGATTCATATATTAATTTTGTGCATTATACAACATAAATACAAAAATAATCACTTATTTAAACTGTATTCAAACTTATAGGGTTTTCTTAAAATATGTAATTTAGAAAAACACACACATCTCTTCTTGTTTTAATCAATACTGTTGTACATTGATCTTTCTATATTATTGATACTTATCTTACATGTACATCATATAGTTTTATTAAATATAATTCTTAAAGATAATTGTACATGTACTAATATATAAATGTACCATGAAACTCACCTCTTCATACAAATGAATAATGACAGTGACTTGAGGCAGTTCTTTGTCAATAGCTTCCACAAAACTATCAGAGTTAAGAGCTAAAACTTGTCCAAATTTTGGTCTGTTCATATGGAAAGACACAAAACATATCTTTAAACAGATGAACAAATTTGTAAAGTTTAAGTATGTAAGAATCTATCAAAACTCCTACAGAGAAAGTAGTTATTTAATGACAGATTAGATTGCATACACTTTCATCACATCTTTAAAAATTAAGAAAATTTACTAAATTTAACTAAAATAGAATCTATTGTAAGGTGAAATGCTGTCTTTGAAGATCAATTTGGATGAAATCAAGATATATGAAACTAACTTTTTTAATCTATAAAGTTATTTTTCACGTATTTTAATCATAAAGGGAGATAACCCTTAGTACTTTCAAGTCGAAATTTTAATTGCTAATTATGGTTATTTCAGACAGACATGTAAACTGACACTGACTAATTGTGAAAGATAAGAGATACTACAAGATCTCGATGTCCAAACTTTGAGCTTTAAGAATTTAAGCAAGTGATGTGATTTGTATAAAAAAAAAAGGAAAGAAAACACTGACACATTCTGAAGTGCTTTCCTCATTTCTTCCAGGCGCTTCATTCGATATTCTTTCAAAAAATCATCATCCAGCTCCTCAAGTTCTTGCAAAAGTTCTTCATCTTTCTGTTTTTCTTTTTCATCATCTAGCTGAAAATCAATGATATGTAACACTGAAGAATATGAAGAATACAAACCGGCAAATTAGCTATTTCACTCAAAACCAGTCTGAGTGATTAGACTCTGCAATTGATCTGGTATACTGATTGATGTTCAGGTTGTTGTCCAGCGATTGGAACATGACACACAAAAATAAACGATGTCCTATACAGATGTTGATAAGAATCCACAAACAGCAAAGAGAGCCAAAGAAAAAAGTCTCGGGTTGTGATGTAGCTTATAACTAGGGGACCGTGATTGCTCAGTCAGTGGAGCATTGACACAAGTGAGCTTGAGGTAAAGATCCCAGGTGTGTGATTTAATGCTCGTTATGTGCAACAGTTTGTGTTTCACAAGGAGCTGGGAAACAGGCTGATCTTAGTTGTCATGATTGTGTTCTGGATGGCAAGCAAAGACCTCCTGGGCATTGTTCAGTGAGGTAGCCGCCAGTTAACACAAGACCCTGCATCAAAATGACCCTGTCTGTTATCTGGATGGTAAATCCAGCAAAAAAACAAGAGTATCATAAATATCATATGATGGTTTAGCTTATTTGATTTAATTTCTTGTTGCGTTAATTCTTGTTTACAGTCTTGGTCATTTAAAGATGTGCCCGGTTTGGTTTTTCACACAGAAAAGCCACTAACCAGTACCTGATGATCACTCTACATTGGTCTTGAACCTGCAACCCACAGGTGGAGAGTTAGTGATAAAGATAGTCAAATGCCTTTAACCCTCAGCCCTGCAGCCCCTAGTGTATGATATAAAGTCCAAGAACATAAGGGTGGTAAAGAGTCTAGGCATGACAAAAAGTCTAGGTGGTGATAAAGTGTCTAGAGGTGTCATAAAGCTTCTACAGATGTGATAAACTGTCTAGATGATAAAGTACCCAGACGTGTGATAAGATGTCTGGTGTCTACAGGTATGATAAAGTGTCTAGATGTGTGAGAAAGTGCCTAGTGATTTGATAAAGTGTCTAGATATATGGTGCCATGTCTAAAGGTATGATAAAGTATCTAATGGTGTGTCTAGAAGTGTGATAAAGGGTCTAAAGATATGATAAAATTCTTAAAGTGTAATTAAGATCCTACAGGTAAAAAAATTTCAAGAGGCATGATAAAAGGGCTAGAGGTATGAAAAATGACTAGTGGTGTGATAAAGTGTCTAGATGTATGGTTAAGTGTCTAGATATGTGATAAAGTGACTAGTGGTGTGAAAAAGTGTCTAGATGTATGGTAAAGTGTCTAGAGATGTGATAAAATGTCTGGATGTGTGATCAAGAACACTTGTTAATGAACAGAAGTGTTTTAATTTTGTAACTCCTGTTGATGTTTACATATACCTATATACAATATATATTTAGTACTGTTTATACACTTTTTAATACACTATGTTTATCTGATCACACACCATTACTTATAATGACTTACATGAGATCGACAAGTCATGGACAATTTTTTCATCAGAGCTAACTTTTCCTTTTCCTGAGTTTCCCTCCTTTCACTTTCTAATCGCTTAAACTCTCTCCAATCATTGATGACACCTTTGGGACCCGTCTGAAAACAAAGTTGAATTCAGAGATGTAGCAAATCAATGAAATTCTTAATAAATAAAATAATTTAAAACAAAATCTTCATGATCTGAATGGTGTTTATATCTAACTAAACCAACATTTACCCTGTACTCAATTTGAAAAAAAAATGAACAGATCATGCTTGAAATTGATAAATTCATTTTAAATGTAAGAAGCACTGACAAATGGTGAAGAAACCTAAAAGAGTATATGGTCAATGTAAAATGCGTTAACTTTTTCATGAGTGGTATTTTAAATATATACATCAATTTAACAAAACGAAATTGTACACGGAAAAATCAAACATATTAAATATGTCAGGCAAGCTTGTCTTTCTAGTAAGTCATCGTGATTCATACTTCTTCAATTGAAATTAAATACTATAAAATCAACCATTAATTTTTTTTCTACATTTTCTCTGGTGAATCCAGTGCACAATATCAAAAATTTTGATGATATAATGGGTTCACAAAATTTGAATGAGTCACACAGGAAAAGCATAAGTCCAGGAAATGATAAATAAATCAGCTCATGCGGGCCTTCATTGGTAGTCAATCCTAGTAGACTTTCATACTAATTTAGCAAAATAAAAAAATATCTTAGATGCCCCAGGGCAGCAGCTCACTTTGTCTCCAACCAAGGCAAATTGTGATTTTGGATAAATTTGAATAGTTGAATATAAATTCAATATAAATTATTTCCCTTCTTTAAATCTCGTGCACTGGCCCAAATTCAACAGGTATAAAGCTCATCAACATAACACAAGATTTTTTGGGGGAAAATGACTCAGTGCAACAGAAGAAAATAGGTCTGAAAAAATTTTAAACATTCAACCGTTTTCAACTTCTACAAATAAGAAAAGGTACCTCAATGCAGCCAAATGGTGAAATTTATACAACACATTTCAAATTCAACTACAGAAGAAACACTAGATCAATTAGTTGTCACTACATTATCCTTGATTTTTTCATGACTGAGACATGATCATTTTAAATCACAATTTATAGAAACTTAACCTAATAAAACTATATACACATAGTACCAACATACAGTTTGATATTTGCTATGACACTTGACTGTTTACAAAAGAACTCCTAATTATGATAACTACTTTTGCCTCTGAACAAGTTTATCACAATTGGAAGGATGTAACAATTGTTAGATAAGAACAAATATATACCAGTTCAAATTAAAATGAACATCATGACTCTGGAGAGGATAGGACTGAATAGTTATATATATATATAACTCCATTATGTTAAATTTACATTAGTAGAATATCCTTGATATTCCTGAATCTCTGGTTCTGGTATAAACTTTGGTCCCTTTATTGCTTTCTGATTATCTTCCTCTGGGTCTGAACCTCTCGTTTCTTCCTCTTCTGCTTCATCTTCACTGCTGCTGCAGTAGTTGTTCACCTTTTCTCCCAAAATCTTGTCGTCTAAGCTGAGAGCCATGATCTACAAATAGCTGTAATAGAATATTTCAGAGAACATCAATGTCAATACAGCTTTTACATGAAACATGGGATTTATTTGTTATGTATATGAATTACAGACAACCTTATAAAGAAAAGTAGATATACGACCTAAAATTACTCTGCAGTATGCAAAGATATAGACAATGTACCATGCAGCATAAGAAATCACACACGTGCCCTGCTGCTTTTCCGTAGTACCCTAATGTTTAAATGTATAATGATGATGATGATGATGATGATGATGATGATGATGATGATGATGATGATGATGATGATGATGATGATGATGATGAAGTGATTTCTGAATGGTAGAGAATGAAATAATGTAATCAGTGTGTTATTTTAAAGAAAAAGCAGTGATATACACGGTCTGGCGTGGTATTTTCACACTATACAACCTCCAACACGAACAGAACATGCCAGGAGATTTTGATTTTAATAGGACCTGTAAATTTGCTGTAATGAGTATATGCATGCGAGAGCAACTGTGTGTTTGTGTGTGGACTGGGTAGGCACATCTACTATAACCTGTGCATGAATTTCCTTTGATTCTTGGAATTGCTGGTTCAACTGTTCGTGAGATCCGCAGAGATATGGCGGAACTGTTACCTAAAATTACTATATAAGGAGTAGGCTTACGTAGTGCTGTTGAAGAATTTGATATCAAATGTTGTGTTTCATAAACTTACAAAGCAATAGTGCTACTTAAACGGTAATAAATGGTTCACATACACGTATCTGCTGCCGGATAAAGGGTGTGCTTCGTTCTATGCCGCCATTCATACAAAGCTAACATTTATTACGAAAATGTGTGTCTCTTTCCATCGGAATTATCACAAAGTTGTATTGATATTTATATATTGTTAGATTTAATTGTAGGTGTTAGGGTATTCTTTTTCGGCTACTAGCTGTATTTCTAAGAATTTTTTTTCCCATTGTGCGAAACTATTGTCGTAGTATTATCAAAAATTTACACCACTTGATTGTAACCAAAGAGTACGACTAGAATCTGCAGGTTAATAATAACAGAGGCATGGCGCTCACTTCCAGTTCAGGAATTCCAAACAAATCATGGCAGCCATCAAATATCACTTTAGAGACGAGGTATATATACCCACCATTAGTTATGTGTATACATTATCAGCTGTAGTATTTAAGGCCTGCAAAAGCCACTCCAGCACAATTGTTTTTAGAGCTGGGTTGTTTGACAATTCGTCCCTTTTGATGCTCATTGTTAGTAATCACAATATGCTGGGGACGAATCGTCTGATTATATTGTTGAGGCTTTCTGTAATATAATGTGATTAGAAATGAAAATGACATTTTATTTGGCGTCGTTTATAAGTTTAACAATCAAAAGTAACACAGTAAAGCCATTTTTATGACACCACTAAGGTAATAAATGTGTAGGGAGTTGGAGTTAAGTTAAAAATCATGATACATGAATGTTTCAGGGCATATGTATATAGTGATAGCCAACACAGACAATGTTATACTCTATGATGCTGGTGTAGCAATTTGGGTGATGTATGTTGGTCAAGGATACAAAACTGCACCGGCAGTCAGTCTCAAACCTCCAGACTTCATAGTCACTTGCTGGTCAGTTGCCAAACATGCCACTATTGTTCTGTGCTATGATATTTAGGTGCATGTAAACCACCAAACATGCACACATACCCTTGGGACAGGTCTACACAATGACAGTGGACTTATATTATCTGTACCTAGAAAAACATATACGTTTGAGGACTTTGAGAATCAAGGTTATCTAGCTGGTATAAATTCATATATATACACATGTATGTGTGTATATTTATCTACTTTCAGTATGGGAACAATTGTCCTGGAACTGTACTGGAAACATGCTCCAAACACTTGTAGAAACTTTGCAGAACTTGCCCGAAGAGGCTACTATAATGGAACCAAATTCCACAGAATAATTGAGGACTTTATGATACAAGGTGGAGACCCGACTGGGACAGGTAGGAATAGATTTGGTTTGGAACATACATATATGGTTTACTTAATAGTTTTTTTGGGGCCAATATCGGCCTCAATCACAATTGAAATTGTTTCATCTTTATGTCAAGTTTCAAAATTTGTTATTTATTCTCGAAAACTTTCTTCCCAATTAAACAATTTTTATTCAAAGTGGATGAAGCTAAAATGCCCCATCCCAAAGCCATAAAATAAATGCCTGTATTATGACACCTTAAACATTCAGGGACATATGTTAGGATTATACGTTATGCATTTTACGTTATGGAGATAATGTCTCAGTATATTAAAATGCAGTTAGAAGCTTTATATGTACAATTTGTTGATAGAATTAACCTCTTTAAAGTTTCTCAAAAGCAGAAAAAAACTTAGATGAAGAGCAATGATGAGCTGGCAAACAATTGGTTATTTAGCAGAATAGTATGAACTTAGTTGAATATCAATCGAAATGCATTGAATGGATTGCCTGTTTTTTGCCCATCTATTTATATTGCTGTCCTGTTAAAGGATTCAGTACTGTACTGTACTCTAAGAAGCCTAATCTCTTAGTAAAAAGTTATGTCAATGGCACCTTCCACTACACACACTCCATCCGGGCATAAAACCTAATAATGTCTGTTGCTCAGGCAGGCCCTTCCTCACATACTCCAACCATGAATAATGTCCATCAGTCAACATCCCCAATACAGTAAATTTAGTTGCCCCAACCTTCCACTCATTTTCATTCAGGAAATAATGTATAATATCTGTTGCCAGTGAACCCACTCACCCCCACCCCTTACTCAACACCCCTTTCAGGGTAAATTCAGTTGCCCCAACCCTCAACTAAGGAACAATTTTTGATAATCTGTTGCCCCTGAACCCACCCACCCCCACCCTGACTCAACACCCCCACAGAGTAAATTCAGTTGCCCCTACCCTCCACTCAGGAATAATGTCTGATATCTGTTGCCCCCGAACCCCCCATCCAAGACTTTTGGTAGAAGTATCTTCAAATAATAAAACTACACATTTTGTTCAACACTTTAGGGAGAGGTGGAGCATCTATCTATGGAAAGGAATTTGATGATGAGATTGCAGACGATCTTAAACATACTGGTAAGTAATTGAAGAACATGGCATTGTACAATGTACATGTAGGTATTCCTCACCTGTCACTGTACTGTAGGACATCACCTTGTACAGTTAGGTATTCCTCACCTGTCACTGTAATGTAGGACATCACCTTGTACATGTAGGTATTCCTCACTTGTCACTGTACTGCTGGACATCATCTTGTACATGTAGGTATTCCTCACCTGTCACTGTACTGCTGGACATCACCTTGTACAGTTAGGTATTCCTCACTTATCACTGTACTGCTGGACATCATCTTGTACATGTAGGTATTCCTCACTTGTCACTGTACTGCTGGACATCACCTTGTACATGTAGGTATTCCTCACTTGTCACTGTACTGCTGGACATCACCTTGTACATGTAGGTATTCCTCACCTGTCACTGTACTGCTGGACATCATCTTGTACATGTAGGTATTCCTCACTTGTCACTGTACTGCTGGACATCATCTTGTACATGTAGGTATTCCTCACCTGTCACTGTACTGCTGGACATCATCTTGTACATGTAGGTATTCCTCACTTGTCACTGTACTGCTGGACATCACCTTGTACATGTAGGTATTCCTCACCTGTCACTGTACTGCTGGACATCATCTTGTACATGTAGGTATTCCTCACTTGTCACTGTACTGCTGGACATCATCTTGTACATGTAGGTATTCCTCACCTGTCACTGTACTGTAGGACATCATCTTGTACATGTAGGTATTCCTCACTTGTCACTGTACTGCTGGACATCACCTTGTACATGTAGGTATTCCTCACTTGTCACTGTACTGCTGGACATCACCTTGTACATGTAGGTATTCCTCACTTGTCACTGTAATGTAGGACATCACCTTGTACATGTAGGTATTCCTCACTTGTCACTGTACTGCTGGACATCATCTTGTACATGTAGGTATTCCTCACTTGTCACTGTAATGTAGGACATCACCTTGTACATGTAGGTATTCCTCACTTGTCACTGTACTGCTGGACATCATCTTGTACATGTAGGTATTCCTCACCTGTCACTGTACTGTAGGACATCACCTTGTACATGTAGGTATTCCTCACTTGTCACTGTACTGCTGGACATCACCTTGTACAGGTAGGTATTCCTCACCTGTCACTGTACTGCTGGACATCATCTTGTACATGTAGGTATTCCTCACCTGTCACTGTACTGTAGGACATCACCTTGTACATGTAGGTATTCCTCACTTGTCACTGTACTGCTGGACATCACCTTGTACAGGTAGGTATTCCTCACCTGTCACTGTACTGCTGGACGTCCCCTTGTACAGGTAGATATTCTGCAGAATAATCATGATATTGACATTAAAACAAATCAGGCCATGTACACTTCTAAATATGTATTTAATTCATGTAGACAGCAGCAACTGTAGATTGAAACAATCAGCACCAGACTCACTCATTCTTCATCAGGCAGTTGTACTCTTCTAAAATGCCTATAGTTTATTTGTTCGATGATTCTCATCAAGGAATGAAAAAAATTCAGTAAAGTCTGACTATCACTGCTTGTGAACATTAACATGAAAAAAGAGAATGTTTAAGGCACAGCTGTGGACACTCTGTAAGTAAATACACAACTGTAATGTATGTCAATTATTGTTTTAGCTAATTATCTCAACATATTAACAGGAGATTACCAGTTGTATTCAGGAAACTTGTGACGCAGACTGTTACTATATCATGAGACATTATTTAACACTCTTTTGTTTCCATTTATCTTCATACCAACAGGAAACTCTGCTTTAATAACCTTTTCCAGGAGGTATTGGGATATAAAATGTCTGTGATTTGTTCTTTCAAAAACTCTCAATTTTGTCATTTTTGATAAATGGCTTGAGTAAAACCTAATTTTCCTTATGCTACCATTATAATTATGAAGCTGCTTAGTCAAATGATGAATACCAAAAACTGACACCACCAATAGTAAAACTATGCTTTGTACCAGTAAGAAAAGTGTATGGTGAAATAATTAAAGGAGAATACAAAATATGCTTGTTATTTATTTTCATGTATAATATTAAACAGAATGATGGTCTTGTAGTAAAACAAAACACAGAAACAAAATTAGCAAAATATCTATTTTGGTCTTCTGTCTACACAGTCTTACTTATTTGCAGGGGCTGGGATCTTGTCTATGGCTAACAGTGGGCCCAACACAAATGGCAGTCAGTTTTTCATAACACTAGCTCCCACACAGTGGCTTGATGGCAAACATACCATATTTGGTCGGGTATCATCAGGTATGCAAGTTGTACAAAGAATTGGATTTTGTGAAACGGACCAAAACGATAAACCTGTTGATGATATAAAAATCAGCAAAGCAGTACTGACGTCATCCTGACCACAGCTCAGTCAGATTACAATCATTTCATCATCATTAAAGACATGGCATATGTACCTGGCTCTCTGTGTGATTTGTTACAGATATCCAAACACTTAATATAACAGACAGGTGATTTGTTACAGACATCCAAACACTTCACATAACAGACACGTGATTTGTTACAGACATCCTAACACTTCACATAACAGCCACGTGATCTGTTACAGACATCCAAACACTTAACATAACAGACACGTGATTTGTTACAGACATCCAAACACTTCACATAACAGACACGTGATTTGTTACAGACATCCAAACACTTCACATAACACAGTGATTTGATACAGACATCCAAACACTTCACATAACAGAGACCTGATTTGTTACAGACATCCAAATACTTCACATAGCACAAGGATTTGTTACAGACATCCAAACACTTCACATAACAAAGACGCTGATTTGTTACAGACATCCAAACACTTCACATAACAGACACGTGATTTGTTACAGACATCCAAACACTTCACATAACAGAGACCCGTATTGTTACAGACATCCAAATACTTCACATAACAAAGACCCGATTTGTTACAGACATCCAAACACATCACATTACAAAGACGCTGATTTGTTACAGACATCCAAACACTTCACAAAACAGAGATCCAATTTGTTACAGACATCCAAACACTTCACATAACAAAGACGCTGATTTGTTACAGACATCCAAACACTTCACATAACAGACACGTGATTTGTTACAGACATCCAAACACTTCACATAACAGAGACCCGATTTGTTACAGACATCCAAACACTTCACATAACAGACACGTGATTTGTTACAGACATCCAAACACTTCACATAACAGAGATCCGATTTGTTACAGACATCCAAATACCCCACATAACAAAGACGCTGATTTGTTAAACATCCAAACACTTAATAGTACAACACAAAAGTTTTATTTAAAATTCCAGATAATTCAAACTGTACATTCCTACACATTTCAGATGTTCATAAGTTCAGATTTACGGAATCTCAAACAAGCAAGACTTGATGTTATGATGGAGCGTTACCGAAACCCGATAGCTCAGGAGTTAATCGTAATGATTGCAATGTCTTGACAATTTATCTAATGATCACAAAAAGTATACACGATTGAAGTTTTAAAACATGGTAACGATTTAAATTTAAATTTTGAAATGTTTAACTTTAGGTTATCGTCGACCTATCCCTTCCACTTCCTGTATACATGTATACCCCCGTAAATCAGACTAGACATGATGACCTTTTGTTAAGTATTTTCGTTCATATTTCGTAGCTTCCACAAAAGGAAAAAAACTTTGGAGAAGGTGAAATCTATGTGATAAATGTGTAATAGACAGTAGATATAAGCTTTAGAACGTCCCTATGGAAAGACTGTGAGGTACATGTATATTTTGTTCGCAACTGGGACGTATATTGAGTTTCTTATATACTCATGTAAATTAAGTTTAGTCGGTCCTTGAATCCTCTTCGCATACTTTCATAACACGAGAACGGACGACGTGGAACACGGGAAATATACATTCGCGACTCGTTTGTTTATGACGTCACAATGAAATTATGACGTTTACGGCAATAACGTCAAGGCGACAACAGCAAACATGCACGTATGCTTCTGAATTTGGTGAGTTATACAACACGTCTCCGATAATAGGTTCAAGCAACATTCTGCATAAACTAATGAATGACAGTATGCCAAGAACGCCGTCCAAAGTAAGAGCACGGCGTGAAAGCTTGCAGCACCTGCAAGAGATCCCTGTACGGGACACTGGGGCCGCCTCAGGGTTCGGTGGAGGACATGCAGTGAAGGTTACACCTGAATCATTAATATATCAAGATTCAAGGATTTCTGTCATAGACAAACGTCGTCTCTCCGAACCTCCCACAGACAACAGGCGGACATCTAACACACCTGCTGGAAACAGTCGAAGAACATCCAGTGCCAATGGTGTTTTTTTACCAAAGTCTGAGCAGACTTGTAACCGGTCGTCACCGTCAACCCATGTGGAATTATCAAATTTCCTGTATAATCTATGGAGAAGACAGGAGATGTGTGATATTGTGATACGGGTAGGAGGCACCGAGTACAAGGCTCACAAATTAGCCCTAGCAGCCTACAGTGACAAGTTTACTAGCCAGTATTGCGAGCGGATTCCAACCTCGATTTCCGAGGTGAACCTGTCTGCGTCCTCCATGGAAGCGGTGGAACAGGTGTTACAGTACATTTACACGTCCGAACTGAACATAACACTGGACAACGTCGACGCCGTGATTGGCTGCTCTAGACAGTTAGGCATTCACTCGGCTTTGGATATTTGTAAGAGGTTTTTGCTCGATTTTACCCCAGACAATCTGTTTGACATGTGGTGGATTGCGGACAAGCACGAGCTAGTGGACGTGTTGTCCAGTCTGGAGACAGCTGTGTGTAACCATTTTGGACAGTTGTACACATCGGTGGGATATTTGCGGGGACGTTTCGAACAGATTCGACATTTTGTTTGCAAGGACAACCTAGGTATTCGCGACGAACTTGACGTGTTCTTGGCTGTCGTGTCCTGGATAGACTTCAATAGGCAGGATCGACTGCGTCATGCCCACGATCTCCTTTCACGTGTCCGACTGGTCCACATCTCTCCCGAACAGTTAGCCACAGAGGTAGAAGTGGTAGATTACCTGTTCCAGATTCCCGCCTGTAATGCTTTGTTACTGTCTGCTTACAGGTACAGTATTTTTGTTTTTGCTTGATGGGTTTATCATCCCTTTAGCGGTCAGGGTCATATAAGGCAGGTTTCTCTGTACTTCCTGGTGCTACCTTATTGACCAAAATACTGGAGGCCATTCCAATATATATATAATTGTTTTGATAGCGGTCAACAAACATGAAAATAAATGTTGGTATCTGTGGAATTTAATATATAGTTTCTTCAGCTGGTATGATTGATCTGGATTTCGTTTGGTTTTTAACCCCCAAAAGTACACTACAGGGTACTGATTTCAACGCCATTTTTTGAAAGAGATCACAGATTAGTTGAAAAGTTACAGCTCACGAGTTGTCTCCCTTCCTTCTCTTTGGCGAATTTCCTGCAACATCTTCATGTTATACATTATAACGTTTACCTTGATACACGTATGTGTGATGTTGAAAAAAACCGTTCGGTTTTAAGCCCTAGTATCTCTATCCGAAATTGTAGTTTTCTGTAAGAAATAGTGTATAATTATCACAGCTATTCGGGAGACAGAATATCATAACGGCTTAAAATAAGAACTTTGATTAAAAAAAAGTTCTTAAATATCAGTTAACTACACAGAAAACTTAATTTCAAATGTAACCAGGTGAACTTGTTATACAATGTCACCATCGCGCGTATTCCGCACGTGCTGTGAATGATAGTTGTGTATGTGAAAGTGTGGCGCATGCATTGCGCTCTCCACTATCCTTATTCACCTGATCAATCCTCTAACTTAGCACCGGACCCGACACCCAGCACGCACCAGGTTCCATAGGAAGCGGTTTAGTGATCTATAGTAATCGTATTATAATAATATCTTAATAGGTTTCATTCTGTGTACCACCATATGTCCAAATAAAAAGTGCGGACGGTCCAAAGCAGGTAAGTCGGTTTTCAACCATTCCGACACTGCAATATAAACAGTTAACTTATACAAATCACGCCTGTTGACTCGGATTAAAGCGCCCGAGGGATCTTACTGTGGAAGGAAACCGGAGTACCCGGAATACACCCACGAATCGAACGTCTGTTGCCTAGGTGAATGGGGAGTGCAGTACCACTGTACTGTATTGACATTTAATTAGGATGTAAGGCATACTGCTAACTTAGTCCTTCTGACAGTGTAACATGTTGTAGTACCAACAGCTGACGACGACAGCTTCACGTTTTATTGTCGATTTTACTGTCGATGTGGAATAATTATCTACACACCTGACTAATGGCATATTAATGTTTTACTGTTATATACAAATCACCCGACAAATAATCCACTTATTGTGACACAATTAAGGAAGGAAGACCATTTTTGACTCGTGCCGTGTCAGAGCATGTGATGGCGTAATGGTTAGGAAGTCTGAAATTTCTTGGCTAGGCGATTAGATGCGAGTTCGAGGCCCTATCCAGGACACGAATCAAAACTTGTCATCCTCCGTTAATTGTGTTACAGTGACTTAAATATCAATTAATTCACATAACGCATCATATACAGTAATGTTGTTGATCCGAAGGTTCCAGGTTTGAATACCCTGTCGTAATTCTACCCGACTTTGATATATACTCAAGGGATAACGAAACGCAGGGTAGACTTTGAAGATGATTCTAGGCAAGACGTCGAGTATAATGTTCAAGATTTTAAAGTAAGAATGACTACTGCTAGTCAATACCGAGCATGTCCCCCATTCGCTCTCTCCACAGCCCTGATTCTCCTATGCAGGGAGCTCATTGGGATGTTGGCTAATTCTTCTAAGAGGGCTGCTCTCAGCTGGGTCAGAATAAGAGGGGGAGTCTGGCGTCGTCAAACCTACCTATCCAGCTGGTCCCACAAGTGTTCAATAACTGCTGTATGGCGGCCAGTCCAGTGGGTGGATATTGTTGTTAGTGAGAAAGTCGTGACAGATCCTCGCTTTACATGGGGCAGAACATTATCCTGCTGGAATGCGAGGTTGTTTTGCTGCAATAATGGCAAAACACGGGGTCGAAAGATCATCTCTATACCTAGCGACAGTTAATTTACCCCCTACCACAACCAGTGGTGATTTAAGTCTATGTGAGATTCCGCCCCACACCATAACCGATCCACTCCCAAACCTATCTGTCTCTACTACGCAGCAGTCGGTATACGACGTCTGCTCGAAACAGTCCGAACCTGGACTCATCAGTAAACAAGACCTGCCTCCATTGTCTCAATGGGAATATTCTGGGTACAGGTGCCGCCACCCAAGCCATACAACGCTGGCGACGAGCAGTGGTAAGGGGGAGACCAACAAACGGGTGACGTGGCCGCAGACCTACTTCCTGCATCGTTTCCCCACAGTTTTTGCATGGATAGAACGGTTATGAATACCTATGGGATGAAGGGCAGATTCAGTGGCAGCAAGGTGCCGTTTGCGCAGATGCGGGAGACGAATAAACCTGTCCTGTTATTGTGACGTCACAATTTCATGAGTACATTTACACAAATTTAACATACATGTTTTTGGCTGCTGAGTTTGGTTTGGTACATGTTACAATCAATATTTTGAAACCGTCACTGCATTTCATAAGGGTCACGACTATTACAACACACAAACTGGTCCTCAAATTTAAGTTTATAACGATTCGCATGAAAACAAAAAACACCACGTGCAATAGAGAATGCACGCTCTAATACCACTTTACGAAATAGTTGTATTTATTCATTTAACGAGTTCTTCGTCCGCTATTAACGGCCTTCGGTCTTTCAGCGGACGAGAAAAGATAGGAAAGTGAGTAGAAGGGAAAACAGGGAGCGAGTGGGATACATCGATGGTGTGGAGAGGGGCCGTCTATGCTACTTGACCTGTTCTTAACTTATAATTAGATGACAATCCCCTGGCGTAATTGTATACCTAGCCTTACCCTAAGCACGTCACATCAAGAGGACCTGTTAGGGACAGAAAGGAAGAGGAATGGGATCCTAAACTAAGTAAATTTTGATATGTTAATAATGTTTTGGAAGTCCGTCAAAATTACTTGATAAATAATCCCTATTGCTATTGGAACCCTAACTTCTTGGCCGGCGTTATCACGCCAGCTCTCTCTCCCCCCCCCCCCCCCCCCAAAAAAAAAAAAAAAAACACACACAGCGGGATTTTTTCGTGCTAGTTGAACATTCTGACACGGGCTACCATTATAAGTCCCATCCTACGAACTATGGGTTAGTGGCTATTTGTTAGTAAGTTGCTGGTGATGTTTTTTTGTGTCCGTAAAGGTATAACTCATCTTTCCAATTCTATATGCCACTATATAATATACTGTTCACATTATAATCGTTGTATAGAGTATCCTCAACATTACACGCTAATACTACATGCACAATAGTAATAAAATACTGTTAATTGTCAGTCAAAGACAACACCATTACCAGCAGAGCACCTAATGAACTTTCACTCATTTTATTTGCCTTTGTTAATTTTTTGGCCGTTAACTGAAATTTGAGCATTATTTGCCCTATAAGCACAATATGCATGCTATAAAGTACAATAACCACGCCCATGTCTTTAATTCACCAGGTATCACGCCCTACGATACAGCGGAAGTGACGTAGCCAACTCAATGACTGTTCAGCCACGAAGAACCCCTCATTCCGTCGTCGATTCAGACCCTGCCATGGGACGTAACTTTTGTCAGAATAACGCATTTACAACTCGTATGGTAAGAGACTGAAATGTCAACTTGCCTAAAAGGAAAATATCAAGTTAATTATAAGAACGAAGCAAGCAATTTAATAAACCACATACAGATGTACATGTAAACAAGAAAGGCCATTGTATGGTATCTGTAATAGGTGTTGATGACGTGTTAAAAACGCCAACGCGATCGACTATTTACGCATTGTCATTTAGATATGAAGGGATATTTGGACAAACTATACATGACTTTCTTTCTTAGATAGGATGAAGCTACAGGCAATTGTAAAACATTCAACTGTTGCCAAATCTAGTCTGAGAAATGGCATAGGCAACGTTTGAAAATGAATTGAAAAAAAGAAAAAATCAATTAAATATTAAAACCTAATAAATAAAACATAATTATTTAGCGCGTCATTTAAGATATCTGGTTTACACACCAGTAAACAAGAAGGGAGGAATATTTCTTATATGTACACTTTGAAAGCATTTTTTTCTTTTTTTGCGCTTCTTAAAAACAATATTCGTCGCACACGGGACGTTACACGCATCTATAGACGGAACAGCCTGACAACTGATGGAATAGCAAAACAGCTGATTCCAATTCATGGGAAAGTTTGTCACCTACAGGGATATAAACCGAAAATGGTTCCACAACATCGTCATTTTTATTACAATTCTGAGACATAATTTGGTATTTACATTTTTTTCGCATATTGCTTTGAGTTTTACTAGTTTATAGAAAATAAATTCACAAAATTCTAAACGCAATAGCGGAATCACACTAATTTTCACCGCAAGTCTCCGGTCCGGTTTCCTACACTCAAGACGTGACGTTTACCTAAGTGTAAACTTCAATTTTGGTTGGTAAGGCCAAATAGAGAATACACACCGGAACTATAGATAATCAGTTTTGATTTTTAATGTGGGTTATTCATAAAGTTTAGTCATTGAAATATTATAACAGGCAACTAATTCTGCACTAAGTAACAATATTCTGCATGAACTAATTGCCGAAAAATCCGCTTTTTGCTCCGTCTAAAATTAACGATTGCTTAGTTTGAAGTGTAATTCAACAGGGCTGTAACAATAGGATATCAACCGATTATTGTTGTAGTCGCAGTCTAGTCCTGTAAAAGAAAGCTACAAGACAACCCAAAAGCTAACTTCCCCTCCAAAGTCTTTTCATTTGAAAAATTACCACTCAATGACCGATGGTACATCAAACGTACCCCCTTCTGTGCATCCTACAACACTGCTGGCAGTGGGAGGAGTGGACCCCTTCGATACCCAGGCGGACGAAGCTTGTCGTATGGTGGAGCAGTACAACCCAATGTCAAACAGCTGGAACCATCTTACCACCCTACCGGAAACACGTCATCACCTGGGCGTCGCAATGCTTGACGGCCTATTGTTCGTGATAGGTGAGTCATTACGACAATCGTTGATTCCGTTTGTGATATCTTAAACTGCTGTTTAGTTAACGTATTTTTTATCTTAATTATCAACAGGAGGATCGGTACTGCTCAAAGACGACATGGAGAATCTAGCTAATCCTACTGATGTCAACTTCCGGTACGATCCAGTCAGCAATTTTTGGGCGAGAATCGCCTCCCTGAGGCAGCCCCGAATGTACTTGAGTGTATGCATCTTAGAGGGCATACTGTACGCCATAGGTGGAAACGATTCTTACGGCAGGTAAGTATCTACTGGCCACGGTGGATTCATAGCTATCCTCAACACTCTCTTTTCCTTCTTCAAGAACCAAACACCGACATGAAGTGGATCATTGTCTTTGGAAACGATGTTGCAGCACGAGATAATTCGAACTTAACATGTATCTCATGGTATTCAGAGTTCTTTTCGGCCGACGAAATATTTCTGTGGAAATATTGCTTTATGAATTCCAAAATACGAGTTATGTCCCTTTGTTTCCTTTTGATACTCTTTGGTGACTCAAGGAGAATCATTTGTAATGCTAAGTATTATGTGGTTGGTTGATTATATAACTATGTATGAGATAAAGGATGAACGTTTTACGAATCTTACACTTTTAATGGATTGCAATTTCTAAATAATTATCAACATGCTTCATTAAACATTCAAATGGAAAATTGTCATATATCATAGAACGATGGCTTCCCGTTACAGATCTCTTGAGTCTGTGGAGTTTTATGACCCTGACTTGGACCAGTGGGGGTTTATTGCACCAATGACCTCACCAAAAATAGGCGTGGCAGCTGCCGGTTACCGTGGGAAACTCTACGTTGTTGGAGGATTTCAGGAGATCGGTGGTCAGCGGACTGTTCTCAACAGCGTTGAGTGTTACGACCCACGGACGAACAGGTCAGTGACATTGACAATGCTTTTTGTAAAACCTTTATGTACTGATGTTATTAAACCAAATTCAGCAGCCGCGCTTCTTTCTATCGTTTCGAGTCTGGTTTCGGAACTTTCTGGTATGCTTTTTCCATAAACCCAATGCATCGACCACATTTCATATCTCCCTTCTCTCAGATATATTTATTACTCACATCAGTGACATTAACACCTTTTTGCCAGTTTCACATGACTTTGTCGTGTTTTTACCCCATCATATATAAATACGTACATATGTAATATGGTCTCTGGTGCATTGCCCGGTGTTGCTGAAACCATTCCGTGTCGGATGGGTTTTGAGATTTCGAAACATTATAAATTAGAAAGTTGGTGAATTTTGATATAGAATATCTATGGCGTTTGATGTTTAAGAACTAAACGACTTGTGTAATTGAAATTGCACGTTTTCTTCGGTCATGAATAAAACGCAAATCGGTCATGGTTTAAAATGTGATGAACCAGCAGTTAGATGGTGTATGGTATTGATGTTAAATGTGTATCGTTCAACGGTAGGGGTTCTGAAGGCCTAAAACGTGGTCATTATCGATGGAGAGGACTTTCACACATACTAAGAACCGATCTGTTTCTCTTACTGCGCTTACATCGTTGTGAAAGCTGTATAAAGTTCTTACTCTTTCCGTCATTTCAAACATGGAATAAATTGTTAACAAATGTTCGTTTTTAACGATACTATGCAAAAGTGTAGCATGGAAAGATGACATGCAACAATTACTGTAAGGATTAGCAAATCGGAGTGGTACCTTTTGTCCCACATGCCGTAAAAGGCCCAAGTCAACGTTTAATATAAAGATGAGCGGCGGTAGTTTGTTGTTTTAAGTATTTACTCTCCTAACTTTTACATGATGTATTTCAAACCAATATAATGCCTCACTACTTGCCAGATTAGAGTTCGCATTTATTGAAGACTGGGGACCAGTCCTAAAGGACTTTGCAAGTAGTTATTTACGTTATATTCATTTGCATTTGTCTATTATAGCTTATAGCTATTAGCCTGTAGCCTCTAGCACTCCGACATCTACTTTTGCAACCCACTCAGATTTAAATATCTTTATCACATAATCACTTGGTCAGTCTATCTAAGGTCGTTCAGTACACACAAGTCGATCTGTAGGTCGTTCTGGGGTCATCGCCCACGACAATCATATGACTAGTAACGTGACATTTTGTAACTCCTCAGTAACGAAAACAACCCGCACGGCGAAAGTATTTATAACCCAGAGGCCTGTCTGTTAATACGTCACGGTATCAAAATTAGACAATGTTACCACAATGGTTTGGAAAGATTGATATACCTTAACATGTCGCCATTGTGACGTCACGTTGACGTTACGTCAACAATTTGCACGTCGCCTCAGATAACATGCATTTATTTACAGGATTTTCAGGAATCTCTTCCAATACGTAAATTATTTTAAAGAAAAAAACCTTTTGATTAGACATAATGATGTATTGAAATGTAAACATATAATTGAACGGTTGTCAGATTATATTCATTGCCAATATGACTGCAATCTGAGTGACAGATAAATACTCATGACGTCCTATTCACATTGCATTCACATAGACAATAAATGCAATTTGACAACTGTTCAACGGTTAAATAATCAGAACAGAGTTATTCTGAAATGTAAAAGGGACACATTTGAGTCCCTGACGTATTTGTTCCGACAGTTTACAATTTGAGTGAAAGACAACAGAATACATTGAGAAAGATCTACCAGAAATGCGAAACATCGATACAGCTAGTAACTGTACTACTCATAACGAAAAAGACAATATTACTCTAGTTTTTCCTATAGCTCACTTCTGATTGCACATTTCGCCTATTGTAGTCTGACGGGTCGAGGTCATGTGTTAGTAACGGAGATAAGATTAGTCTGTGTGGATCTAGTCACTACTGACATACATTGGCAGACACACTGACCCAGTTACGTGGGAGTTCCTTATCTACCATGTAGATCTAGTGGGAGATGATATGTGGACATCGCAAACAAAATTATATCAGCACGACCGTCTTGTTTCTATTTGTAGGTTTCTCGTTGTCATGACATCACATGATGTCTGACGTGTTGGAGGAGATATAATCTTTGATAAGATGAAATGGAGCATGTACCGTATAACGTCCTGACATTCGTTTTTCTGTGATCCTATTCTCGTATACATAACACATGTTCTGTCATTATGGTTTTAGGTGGTAGGGGCCCATGTAGACTGGCTACCCGCCCCGAAGTTTTGTTTAGAAATAAATTCACTGCATTTTTCTCCTAGCTTATCACCTTATGACCTCTTCTTGTGACAAAAACAAGAAAATACTAATATGTCAACATGATCATAATCCAAGCTCAAATTTGATAAGACTTGGGTAAAATATGAACACGGAGACTCCTAAAAAATAGAAGGAAATGAAGACCACGTGTTCATCAAACGAGTCCAGCTTCATATCGCATAAAGAAACAGATTATTTGTCAATGACGACACAATAGCGACCGTAAAACTTCCCCACGATTTTCACCAAACTTTGGGTAGATTTCAACGGGACAGATTATAGGACTCGATTTTATTTATAATTCAAATATTCTAGTGACTATTATCAAGTGTCCATGCTGGTGGTTTGTGTAGCTTCGAGAGTCGTAGGAATGGTCTGTTGATACTACTCTCAAATGACTACAGTATGATAAGATCTATATTGGTTATACGATCTTCCAAAGTTTATCCTCAGAGATGCCCGCCATTTGGTATATTACCAGGTTGTCAGATTACCGGTAGTGGTCGGTTTGACCCTTTCACGCACACTCCAGCATGTTCGACAGTGTTACATGTAGTACACGTATGGACATGTATCAACAAATTAAGCAATGATAATGCTGGAACCATATTGTATATCAGTCTGCTTGTAGGCGGAATCTTGTCCGGACACTGGTTCTTCTTGAAGATTTTGATACATTTACTGCCATTTTGAGTTTTAGTCTCACAAGTTCTTTTATTTCATTCTTAACTATCCGAGGCCTTAATACATTAACAGTTTTACAGACCACGTCAGTCCGTATTCCAGCACAGATTGAAAGTAACTGAGGATACTGCAGACTCCTCCCGACAACAGTTAGGCCCTTAACATCACTGACGAGCCCTAAAAGGATGAAACAGCTGTATGACACAGTTTACTTAATTATTAGACCTAAACATCACTGACGAGTCCTAGAAGGATGAAACAGCTGTATGAAACAGGTTACTTAATTATTAGACCTAAGCATCACTGACGAGCCCTAGAAGGATGAAACAGCTGTATGACACGGTTTCTAATTCTAAATTTATAGTGAAATGAGATATTGAGTGTATTTCTCCTGTACAATCTTTCGAGGTTGCAGGTGGTGGGCACTGCTGGTAAACGTTATGGGACACCTCCCCCTCCCCCCTTCCCCCCTTTTCCCCATCTATACATTGATATTTACTTCGACTAATTTTGATATTCCTCAGTCGCCTCCAAGGTATAGAAAAATTTAGGTCTAACATCTATGACGAGTCCTAGAAGTCCGCAGTATGATGCATTTTGCTTAGATTTGTTGTAATATGTTTATTTAAATTTGTATTAAAAGATGTTAGTAACTCCTTTGTGTCTTTACACGTCTCTTAGAAACAACTCCATATTAAACTGTCACGATGACCTTATGAGTAGACTAGTAAATTGCGGAAGATTAGAAATAAATATCTCCTTTCTTGGATAAGGATGTTCCTGAAAATCTGTGGCATGGCTGAATTAAGTGCTGCCCTGGATAAGTTAATGTTTCTAGTAGGAGATTGTCTTAAGTGTCTGTTCATAGATGATAAAAAGAATGCATATACCATTAGATAATTTTTGTAGTGTTTTGTCATACTACAACTATTGTACAAAAGACGTACAAGTTTTGCAATACATATTCATAAGAACGTGAAGTACATTTGAATGAAAATGATGTTTGCTGGTCACGTGAGCCGCCGAGACTAAAACTCAATTGGTGTTGTCTTTAAACTGCAATCTCGAATATTGTACAAAAGCCACACAAGTGAATAGCACAGTTGAGCAAAAAAGTGAATTAAACTGCGTCATATAACTATGACCCTGACTTGAACATTAGAAGGGGTTCGTGATAAGTTCACACAGATATTTGATCGGTTTGATATCTATGTACAGTGTATTTAGCTCTGACTTTGTATTAACAGGAGCTATTCACCTGCGTGTCTTTTGTACAATCTTTGTATTAAAAGGTGATATTCACCTGCGTGTCTTTTGTATATTCTTTATTACCAATTATATTTCACAGTTAATAACATAATCTTAATTCAAAGACACATTCGAACAAACCCAAGGGGAAAATAAGAACAAAATAGACCAGCTGTTCCAGAAGATTAAGCGTCTTCTGGTTCATCAATGACATCCGCCATGTAAACCTTGGTCATTCCAAGTAAGTAATGTCACATACCCAAATGAGATCAAGTTATACAACAACGGAAGCAACAGGCAAATTAATGAGCGTAAAATACGTCCTACTTACCTCACAAAGGAATTGAATATTTACCAACGAGATAAAAAGTTACCGGACACTTTGTAGACGTAACCACATTACTTCATCAAATACAACATTCTGAGAGAACAGTTAATGTACAATTCTGTCATAGTCATACACTCTGGTATAACTTAGTTTAGACTCTATGTCGTTCTTTGAAAACTTACTGTTAGAGAGGCCATTTAATGTACAATTCTGTCATAGTCACCCACTCTCTGGTATAACTTAGTTTAGACTCTATGCTGTTCTTTAAAAACTTACTGTTAGAGAGGCCATTTAATGTACAATTCTGTCATAGTCACCCACTCTCTGGTATAACTTAGTTTAGACTCTATGTCGTTCTTTGAAAACTTACTGTTAGAGAGACCATTTAATGTACAATTCTGTCATAGTCACCCACTCTCTGGTATAACTTAGTTTAGACTCTATGTCGTTCTTTGAAAACTTACTGTTAGAGAGGCCATTTAATGTACAATTCTGTCATAGTCACCCACTCTCTGGTATAACTTAGTTTAGACTCTATGTCGTTCTTTGAAAACTTACTGTTAGAGAGACCATTTAATGTACAATTCTGTCATAGTCATACACTCTGGTATAACTTAGTTTAGACTCTATGTCGTTCTTTGAAAACTTACTGTTAGAGAGACCATTTAATGTACAATTCTGTCATAGTCACCCACTCTGGTATGGTGTAGTGTTTTTTTAGATAGACTCTATGCTGTTGTACTGTAAAATCATGTATTTTCACGGAGCTAAGATTTGTCTCACGAAATCCATTACTGATTGTATCTGTTTAACATTTCGTCGGCATTTGAATATATTCATGATAAAGATAATGAACGTTTTAACGAAAATGAATTATTCTACAGTACATTGACACTTTTCGTATCACGATGACATAGTAGACATCTATGGGCGAAGTGAGTAGATTACATAAGTCATATTGAAAAAATATTAACATTGATGCAATATACGTTTGATGATTGCTCGATAATGAATTATTCTTGTTTTAGGTACCTAATTGTTGCTGTGCTTCCTTTGTGATTTTATTAAAACGGTTTGCGATATACAACACTTAGGTGATATCGCTTTAGGTAAAACACGATATCATTGCTCATCTGCGTGAAAAATGATAACATTGCTAATGCTCCATTAGTGAAAGGCGTGCAACTTGAGCTGGTGTAGTTTTCTTGCGATAAGAAATTGCCTTTACGACACGGAAACCTCATTGATGTCTTTTGGAATAATCGACAGACTTAGTGTTTCAATAATAACACTTCGAATTGTTGTCGTCAACAGCGATGTTGGTTTATTTTTATCTATTCTAAAATGGTTTAACCCTAAACAATATGTCCCCGGAATTCACATCACTATTCTACCGGATGCCTGAAAGATGAAGTGCCTTTGTCGACCTATAAGTGTTTCTATATATATATGTGAATAAAGCTTTTTGCCTCATTTTTTCGCCGGTATATTGACATTAGGAGACAAAAAGCATTTTAGTGATTCTGGGAAGCCTGTTATCAATCTATTGCAGCTGGACCATTAAGAACACATTGCCGGTACCATGTTGTCACTCCAACTTAGTGGAAGCCCGGGGGGCTTTGTACCTTCTGGGAGGTTCAACCATTCCCGTGGGTAGTGCCTCGATTTCTTCCTTAGCGTCGGTCTACCGTTACTCTGATGATGAAGACGTGTGGGAACTGGTCGCTAGCATGAGAATCCCCAGACATGACGCGGGGGCCGCTGTTATTGGTATGTTAAGCACGCGACACGGTGTAAATTAATAAGTAGTGTACAGATGTTTTAGCAGGTAGTCTTTACGCCATTCTACTTTTCTAGTGGGTTCGGACATGTAGTCATTTCAGCTTGGTTCCCCCATAATAAAACTCCTGATCAGTATTAAGCTATACCGGGGTACAAATATTTGTCAGAAGTTTCACAAAGAGATCAAACCACGATCTAGAGTCTTGATTCCAAGGTTAAACAATTAAACAACAAAGTCATCTCTTTGTAACGTCAGCGTTTCACTGTAAGCAGTATGGTTATATCTATATCGGTTTCAGCGACTTTTTTTTTTAAAGATTTGAATACTGATTTTATCCCTTCAGATGTCTCTTTGAAATATGAGCCCATAGGGAATGTTCTTTCCTTGTCTCTTAGTTTATGATTGGATTTCAGATTCAAGAATATTCGTTATCGGAGGGGTGAGTTCAGATGAGGGAAGAGCCCTAATGGACACAGAATGTCTAGATGTTGATCGCGACTTGATGACTTGGATAGATGACCTCCAGCCACTTGGACATCCTGTCCTCGGTATAGCATGTTGTACACTGGACGGCGGCGAATCAACTGTCAGAGGACGAGCTCATCATTAAAGCCACACTTGAAGGGTTTGAAATCTAAATTTAGACACGTTAGGATGTGAAGTAGGCATGATATCAAAAACACAAAAGGCACGCGGCTGATAGCTTACGCACACAAATAGGTGAGCTCTAACACACAGAACAGGGATATGAAAATATGCCTTCTTCTACACACAGGGAGGGGATCTGACAACATATATACATATGACGATAACCTCAACACATTCACACAAGATGGGGATCTGAAAGCTTAAAAATTCGCGACGAGGAGCTGAAAACTTATACGAACAAAACGAGAATCTCAACAAATTCAGACAAGGCGGGGATCTGAAAACTTATGCACACAGGACTGAAATTTGATAACTTTCACACAAAATGGGAATCCGCAGACTGATGCGACATGAGTGAAATTTGAACACATTTGTAGAAAGAAAGGATCTAACAAAGTGTACACATAGTTCGGGATTACAAACACATACCATGGACATTATGTACACGTGGCGGGAATCTGATAACCTAATGACAATTTGGGGACAGCTTATACCACCAGGGCAGGGATAACTTTCGCACAAAGTGGGGATCTACCACGAAACGAAAATTCCATGTATACTGATTAGGATATTTTGATCCTTATTAAAAAGGCTCGTAGAACATCTCGATGGTCGAGATCATTGGTACAACACACGTATGTAATGTTTTTATGATCAGTTGTGAATATGTGGTCTGTTGCTGATGAAATTCTCGTCGACTTATCGTTTAAAGAATGTAAGCACTGAAACAGGGGTCATATTTATAAGTGAAAGTTAATAAAGATTGAAATCAAATTGATTCCACAATTTTTATTCTTTGTAAGATATTTCCAAATGAAAGACATCCTTTTTCATTTTCATCGGGATAATATGTGTCATCTTTACTTGCATGCCTGCCAATGTGCTTTAATTTCATTAAAAGTAATTTTCAAATCAAATAAAATCATTAAACACCCGTTCAAAACCTGTACCGTATAGCAGGTTATTTTCGCGTTGAAAACATCTCTCGAGACAGATATGTATAAGATGTCCTTTTAAATCGAGGGCACCAATTTTTATCTTTATCTTAAATATATTACTTCGACAACTTTGAAAGAAAATCACGAAAACTTTGACTCGCTGAAATTACGAACAACACGATGTATACCGATAGCAATGCCTCAGGTGATCGAGATATAGTGCGCAATCGTGAAGATTAGCTGGATAATTATTCATACATGTCTCAACATCAAATATTTCATGGCAACGTGGGAAATTGTTTCTTGATGGTGAAAGGAATGTTTGCTGCGGAGATCCACTCAAAAACTCGAAATTCATAGAATGAAACTATGTTGACAACCTGATGATTATTTTTATATGAAAGAACCTTTACCGCTACGTGCTTGTTTAGAAATCTTGGTCACGGCACCATCTCGACTAATGACAGTAATTGATAGAAAATTGCGTCTATTTGTGTTTTACAATATACGAATTCATCGTAATGCATGATACAATTTGTTGGCAAATAGATTAATATATGCAAATAATAAACTTTAAGGTAAAGTGACATACACACTATTCATGTCCATTTAGGTATTCACTGAGGCCATATGTATTCATGCACTCAAAAAATATATATTTCCGCTGATGATTATGCATTGATCCCATGTTAAGACACTCACCATGAGATACCGTCATGCTGATGAAATATATCATATGTTCTTTGATAATGTACATTGTATTATCTAGCATTCTTAAATAATGGTTATGTAACGCGTTTTTTCATTGGATATTTTTCATGGTGTAATCCCAATCTTCTAGAGTTGTCGTTACTAAACAGTCACAATACACCTATGTAAACGGCTCACGGACTGACAATATTTGACCTCACGGTCAGGGTCAGAGATTATCATCAAAGAGAACTATGGCGGCATTCCTGACAACATCAACGAAGGACACATCTGTAGTTTGGTGGGTTTTTTTATGTCATCGATCAGCATTTAAAAAAATAATTTGCGTTATCTGAGGTGTTATGTGCCAATATTTTAGATAAATTACCACCAGTTATCGCTGATACTCCTATATATCAACATCTATCTCTTTTCGAAATAAGAATACGAATATCAAGACAGATAATTAATGAAAGACTTTATCATTTGACAAATACGTTTTTCAAGAATCTTGAAATGGCGCGAGACGTTTACATACGTGTTATTGGAGTTCCGCAATGCACTCTGGGAGGGATTGGATGTAATACCTGATATACTCATAAATTATGACGCTAGCCCATAGATGGCGGCCATCTTTCCGGTTCAGGCGGATAATCAACATCGACATCTGAGAAATTCATTTGAACGAAATGCTAAATTGTATCATTGAAATATGAAGTTGAAAGTACGATAATGATAATCTATGTGACTTATTCTGATTCACTTTTCTCCGCTTCAAGTGAGTTTGTCGGTCATGTCTGAATGTCAATAAGGACAGTAGGTGATATTCTCAATCCAAGGATCAACTTGAGTTAATAAGATCACAACTAAATGAAGTCATATCACAATATCCTTTTGAATGAAACATGGTGTCAACTTCGCTTGATTCGCCCGTCACGATCTCTTGTCGATAGCTCTTCACGATATCTGTTTTATCGATCTACTTTACCTTTCTGAGATAGATACAATAAATTTAGTGTATGTACACTAGAAACAATATAATCAGCAATTTACACAGAGAATCCACGCAGAGAAACCCGTAAAGTTTTTTTCAAATGTCTTGACCAACATCTTGACCCAAATATGTCGACAACTTGACTGGAAAATTTTTGTCATCAATAGTGGAAAAGAGCGTTTTCATTGGCTAAGAACAAGTGATGGACCGTTTTGAACAAACTTAGATAGTCTTTGGGTTAAGTTGTTATTGCATCAACCACATTGTTGAGTCAGACCATACGAAAGGGGCATCAACCACATTGTTGAGTCAGACCATACGATTGGGGCATCAACCACATTGTTGAGTCAGACCATACGATTGGGGCATCAACCACATTGTTGAGTCAGACCATACGATTGGGGCATCAACCACATTGTTGAGTCAGACCATACGATTGGGGCATCAACCACATTGTTGAGTCGGGCATCAACCACATTGTTGAGTCGGGCATCAACCACATTGTTGAGTCAGACCATACGATTGGGGCATCAACCACATTGTTGAGTCAGACCATACGATTGGGGCATCAACCACATTGTTGAGTCAGACCATACGATTGGGGCATCAACCACATTGTTGAGTCAGACCATACGATTGGGGCATCAACCACATTGTTGATTGAGTCAGACCATACGATTGGGGCATCAACCACATTGTTGAGTCGGGCATCAACCACATTGTTGAGTCGGGCATCAACCACATTGTTGAGTCAGACCATACGATTAGGGCATCAACCACATTGTTGAGTCAGACCATACGATTGGGGCATCAACCACATTGTTGAGTCAGACCATACGATTGGGGCATCAACCACATTGTTGAGTCAGACCATACGATTGGGGCATCAACCACATTGTTGAGTCAGACCATACGATTGTGGCATCAACCACATTGTTGAGTCAGACCATACGATTGGGGCATCAACCACATTGTTGAGTCAGACCATACGATTGGGGCATCAACCACATTGTTGAGTCAGACCATACGATTGGGGCATCAACCACATTGTTGAGTCAGACCATACGATTGGGGCATCAACCACATTGTTGAGTCAGACCATACGATTGGGGCATCAACCACATTGTTGAGTCAGACCATACGATTAGGGCATCAACCACATTGTTGAGTCAGACCATACGATTGGGGCATCAACCACATTGTTGAGTCAGACCATACGATTAGGGCATCAACCACATTGTTGAGTCAGACAATTCGATTGGTATGTCAACCACAATCTTAATAATATCATGCGATTTGACATGCCAGTAAAATTGTTTCACTGTTTCATCGTTGTTTTTTATGACGCACCCAGTGTTGGATTTTTCCTCAACTGCTTGAAAAACATAAACGTCACAAGGATCACTCTGTGTCGCATTTGTATCGCGCAGCCGTTGGGATTCATGATACGTAGCCGATACAACAATCACTTTGTCAGATATATATGGTCATACAAGCGTAGCCGAAGGCGATACAAGCCGAAGTGAAGCAGCTGTATTAGTGGGATCACGACGAATGCAAGTCCGACAACCACGCCTACCGCCAGTCCAGGATTATTCCAGTCAAGAATGTTGTACACGACGTTGTTGACAGTGTCTCGACTCCAATATATGGCACTGAACGTTACGTATGTGATACCGAACACGATAGGGTAGATGACGTGCAGTAACCGTACAGGACGAGCACCAACAGCAACGTCTATAAGAACCAAAACCGAACTGATTCCATGCATGTTGATATCATTTATAGCTATACCCTGGATACCCATGAACGGAAATAAAGCCGTGAAATATACTAATGTTACCACCAAGGTGAAGTGGTGGGCAACGATCGACACCAACCAACAACCCTGGAAATACCACGGCAAGGATTGAGCAGATTCATCAGAATTGTGTCCGGTCTCTTGATCTGCTGTTGACGAATCGTCAATATTGCTCTTCGACATCTTCCGGCCATCGTCGGTTTGGAAGGAACCGTTCACTGCTTTAATGGGTTCACTTTGAACCTGTGTTAATACAATACTATTTGTTTGATCGTCACCACAACGTGTGCAGTGACACACAAACGCCAATATGGCGGCTGTTAGGAAATGTAATGTCAAGGTGAGGTATGTCCATATTGTGAGGTAGACCATAATGTGGGGACCTCCACCTTCCACCAATACTGCTGATAGAGATCCAATCGAGTACGCTGCTATCATGGATCTATATATCAAAAATATGTGGGGATGCCATCGCCACTGCAATGAGAAAAAAAAAGAAATTTAGAGATATCAAGAAATCGTTATTTCAGCAGTCATGAGGCCATAAAAACATTGGGATTCCGTGTATGTTCCTTAAATCGCGTTATAAATTCAGTTTTTTTTTTTTTTTTTTTTTCCATTTAACCTTACACGTCGAACATGTGCCTGGGTTGGTATTTTTTAAGTCAAATATTGTTGATCACATAGCTTCTAAACCCCTATTTGAATATTAATTACCATACGAAGCAACATCAGTTCAGACAGGCAATAAAGCTGACAGGAATCAATCAAACCGACTCTTAACAACATGACAAGAAATAAAATTCTATTTGAAATTAATTTCATCAAAAATTGATAACATGGTAGGAGGGATTGTTGAAGAGTTTTGATTTCCAATCACGACATCAGTCTTAAAACTTTGTAAATTGTGCTACTCTGTTATATTTCATTTTCAAAACTGATACTTGATCTAGCTCGTGTTCCTGTAGAAATATACATCTGTTGTATTTTGGTTATTGTTGTTAAGGTTTAAAGTGGAACATGTGGCACTGTTGGAGAGATATGCCTGTTCTACCTGGTATCGTGACATAGCCTTGATGTTATCAGTGTACACATCCTTATACGTTTGATACAGATAAATCACTTAGTTTCCTGTCTTGGAATCAGTTCCAGGTCGATGATTAATTTCAAACTAAAATGTATCGCTATAATTTTGATAGGTTTGAAAATACATATTTTCGGCCCAGCCGATGAATACGCTGTTCGATGTTGGTTAATTCAAAGAAGAAGTGGGTCATCTACTGTAGGAGCCTTGAATTATAGTAGAGTAGCGGGTTTATGCGTAATTATATGTCTTAGTTTCACGCTAACGTTTAACATGGATAAGATATTACTGAAATTTTGTTATGAACTTGTTAGTAAATGTTACAACAACACAAATTCTGTTTGTTTTCTATGTTAACTAACTTTAACAGATAACACAGAATCTACTTTCAAATTTTACTAGATAATCATCTACATCTACCCAATATTCGACCTCCGTCAACTGTTAAAGTACAAGAACTTCCACAAAAACGTTTCTTATCATCATAAATCACCATAAATGATGGTGATAAATAAGGAAATAAGATGAAAAACTTAAAAACAAGACATGAATTTCCCATTCTAGATACCGGTAATGTAATTCCCTGTTAACAGAACGTAATAAGTCTCCCTGTTTATATGTACTTTTTCAACAGGAGTGCTCTGACTCAAAATGAAGAAAAAGTCAAATTTTAAATATTTCTGAAACTGGAAAATAATATAAAAGTACATTGTTTTAAATTTGTTTCAAGTTCAAGTTGCAACTGCTTTAAAATGTTTTACGTGGCGAATGTTCATAAACTTTATGCAAATTATGTAAGATGTATTTAGAATTCACTTGGTTATGTGAGGGAATAGTTTTATCTACATTCTAAATAATAATTCTAATACACACTGTATGGATAGGTATATTATAAATCACAAGCGGTTTTGAAACATTTTGAACAAAATAACTTTACAAATGCACTTGATATTATTAAACATCAACATCTAAATCATGAAAATAAAGTTTGATATCGACGACACGATTAGATTTTGGACACATTATCTACATTTCTATTTCATGTTAAAAGTCAACATCAGTAAGACCTATGTATGATTGTCACTATGATTACATATGGAGTTGGACACATATCTACGATTAATTACTTGTCTTGGTTTTTCCTGTCGAAGAACATCTATTACATTTCTGTTACACAACAATCCAAAACGACAGACTCAACAAAGATTCTCGTTTAGTTTCATCGATACTGTGGTGAACAGCGTTTGTACCAGTTACATTAAGGAATCTTTATATATAACTTATATATAAACGATATACATAATGTGAGAATACAAACATTTGATTTCCGTCAGTTTTTATTTACATTCTGTAGGGATGTTAACTCTATGTTGCAAAACAAAGCTGTAGTATTGTTCGACATTTAAATTTACAACTTATTTGACAAACTGAAGTCCAAATCAAATGCAAGCTTATGGCATCTGTAATGTGATGCCTGCTGCAATTAAACTCAAGTTTACGCTTCTGTCTCTTAATTTTTCATATCCTGATATTTAGTCAGATTTTTCAATAACACATCTGTCAAACGCAATCAATTTCTCATTTATTTGATTGATATCTTTTCGAATGTCTTATTCATAGTAAATGAGAAATATATTCTGAAATTTAAATTTCTTTTCAAAGTAAATACGTTCGGAAAGACCGTAGATTTATTGCATACTACGAACTGAACTAACTAGAGAAAGTGATAATTAATTTTACTTTAAATTAATTAGTAAAGGCACCAGTAACATCAGTGTTTTCTTTATTAAAAGTTGACATGATATCAAACGTCTTTTAAAGCACGTGTTTATATCATACACGTGCACTTTGTAACACCTGATCAGAACTGGTTTGAAGTATAGATCTCACTTACATACAGTTATATCTTGGAAAGCAATTTTTAATATAAAAAAAATAAGTCAATGAAGAAAAAAGGAATTTATCATTTCAGTAGAGTGCGACTGATCGGGAATACCTTTTTTCAAAATCAGGTGCAGCCGGCATTTGATTCACAATGATAATTTGTACTTTAGATGAAAAAATGCACCCATAAGTATAAGGGTCATTTAAATTCCAATAAACGTCGTTTGTTTCATTAACGTATGTTTGGATTTTAGGTCCATATGTTATCGGTCGTCAGAATCAAAATTTATGTCCGTTTCAGGAATAATCATTGGAATTTTGGTGAAAATTTCAAAACGTGCGAAATGACCCCTGTTCTGTAATAACTAAAGAAAATCTAATATTTGTTCAATCAATCCAAAAACTCTTTTTAACAGTTGTATATTAGGACATTAATTTCCTGGATATTACCTAATCTGATTTTATCCTTTCACGTGGATACTATTTGACGATGTTACCCTATCACGTGGATACTATTTGACGATGTTACCCTACCACGTGGATACTATTTGACGATGCTACCCTATCACGTGGATACTATTTGATGATGTTACTCTATCACGTGGATACTATTTGACGATGTTACCCTACCACGTGGATACTATTTGACGATGTTATCCTATCACGTGGATACTATTTGACGATGTTACCCTATCACGTGGATAATATTTGACGATGTTACCCTATCACGTGGATACTATTTGACGATGTTACCCTATCACGTGGATACTATTTGACGATGTTACCCTATCACGTGGATACTATTTGACGATATTACCCTATCACGTGGATACTGTTTGGTGGTTTTATCATTTTGAATTTTGGAGAGAAATTCCATTATGAATGAAAAATAAATAATGGTATTTAATAATAGATGAGCATGCGGTTTATGGCATTAAATGTTTTGATTTTTGTTTTTGTTTGTTTGTTTGTTTGTTTGTTTGTTTTTTTTGAAAAGTTGGAGGTGTTATTGGATGTCAATGACTTTAAACAATGACGGGTTATGAAAGAATATTATTTATATGCCTTCACCAAGACTGTTCATCGTTCCTATGTTTCTTTTACACAAGATAAACCTCCTCCTCAGACTTTACTACTATGCGATATACCAAACGAGGTGAACGTGCGAGGAAATACCTCGATAACTTCATATTATCGTTATTTATGAGAAGAAGGAATTGTATTAATGCTTCCAATTAGAATAAAAACCGTTATTTATAGAAAAGTTTAGCCGGGTAAATAAAAGTAAATGTGTGTATAATGAGTTTTCCTTGATGTGTAATAGATTGATAAGGGTGTAAGAGCCTGTTTTTCACGGTAACACCTCTTCCCTTTGCGACCTCCCAATCTGGCGTCAGTGTTCACTAACAGACGTAAACAAATGGGGCTGACACCAGTCTACTGATACCTACATGTAAGAACACCTCCTATCTTATCTATCACATGTCGACATTTTTATCCATTTAACTCCAGAAATAAAATTTCGATTTCTAGTTGAATGATTTGGTTTCTACTCTGAAACAGAATACTATGAGAATACTTAGGGTAAGTACCTGTAAACGGGTCATAGTAACCTTATCATCGTCCTATCAATCGTAGGCAATATAATAAATCGATGAAATATAGCAGTTTCTCATATAACGATACTGTCTAGTTGTGATGTTTAGCACTCACACTGTACTAGGTAGACCTGTTCATTACTTCACCATGGTATAGTTATCAATGAAACGCGCTTATCACTATTGTGAATCACACCGAGGAGTTAATGGGTCTCGTGTGCTACATATGTATCACGGCTTATTGAGAAATAGTAATATCAACAAATATAAACTTACAACAATATAGAAGAGAAAAAATAGAAATAATAACAAACAACAACAAATAAATACAAACACATAAACGTAATCGTATTCCAAACTCAAATTAAATAAAACAATGGCAAAATATGCCTATGAATGAGAGATATACAAGGAGACCCCTGAAAAAGTACTAGGATGATAAAACCATGTGGTTCAGAAGAGGAAGCGTCTTCTGTTTCTATAACAAACAAAAAAATATACAGAAATTCATACAAATTCAAAGCTTAGAAACAATTCATTAGAAAGACATTTTAAAAGAAGGCACAGTCATCATTGTAACGGACATCTGGTTTACGTTAGTTTGGTGTGTCATTTAGTTTGCTGCTAATTGTACTTTGTTATCAAGGTTAGCTAGTGCAGACAGACTCCGAGACAAAATTATTTGTTCTTCCAGACTTTATATTAAATCATATCTTTATCAATTATGCGTATACTTTGACTATTAATTTACGCAATATAATCATTTGCAGAAAAAGATTGCCCAATTAAGTACTCAACTCAATCCTTCTCCCTCTTACCGAGACACAAGGTAGTGAGGAACTATAGATACATTGTAACTAACCCCAATCCTTCTCCCTCTTACCGAGACACAAGGTAGTGAGGAACTATAG